ACAACACATCACGGATTTATATTACAACACATCACGGATTAACACATATAATGCAAAATCTTATTTTCAACAAGGCCTTCCATAACAATGGACATATTCAAGCAATTATAAAAATTACAACATTCAGTTAAACTTAATCAACAAAGAAGACAGACATATTATTATAGTATAGGTAAATTTTCTAGAATTCATCTTTAGATAATAATAAATGTTTGAAATGTGATTTAAACAATTTAAGACTTGAACAATTTCTTATTTTTAAAGGAATATTATAGTGTTCCATAACTCCATACTAGAAAAAATAAAAAGTACGTTTCAAATAATTTGTTTTAGGTCGTTTATGCATAATGTCTTTTTTATGTGTTGATCTTAGTAAGTAAGTTTTATTTTGAGATAACGGAATTAGATTAGAAATATATGCTGGCGTTAATTTATTCATCGCTTTATATACCATAATTCCAGAAAAGTATTTTCATCTAGATGGAAAAGGTAACCTTTTTATTTTTCAAACATTTCAAGAGAATTTGTTTTTACGGGTTTATTTAAAATAATCATCAACAACATCATCTTCAGTAATCGCCTCACTCTTCAAAGAGCAAAATCGCGATGAAACATAGACTATGTACAAGCGCAGCACAGTCAAATCTACAAGCACCCGCACCGGCCCCTATAATAATGCCGATCGTTTCCCCTCATTATTTAGTCTCAATATTTCGACTGCAAGACCGACCGATTTTATAATCTGATTTTTCATAGATGTCTGTCTTTACAGTCACGAAGGGCGAACAACATCTATATAATAAAAAGCTCTAAAGCGCACAATTTGTTGGACTACTCATTATTAAGCTTTTCATCTAAACTGTAATTTTAAAGATGGCATTGTAAAGACTAAAGTATACATGGTTCTGCGTACCGCATCATGTGTCCGCACTTAAAATTGTGACACCGTATACAGTAGCACTAGACGTACGTATACCGCATCATAATGATGCTAATGCAGCATTAACTTATTTGCATTTAATTATCGTTGGCCATCTGGGCGAGACCTCTAGAAGTATAATAATACGTAAGATGCCTCAGTCTTAGGTGCAAACCTGGTTTCTTTGGTGTGCTCAGCGTAAACACAAGGGACCACCGTCTTATTCGAAAGAATGTGAGGAAATAGAGATCGAACTCGTGTCCTCTAATCTAGACTGAAACTATAGTGACTTAAATTCACAATGCCTTTTGTAGTGTAGCAACATGTATTATGACATATATATGTTACAGCGACGTAAAGATGACTCCGTATAGCAAAATTATTTTTGATAAAGGAAATGGAAAATGTTCATTAGTTATTAGTGCAATTATTACAAATATTCAAATACTAACTATGTTTGTTCTACTCATATACCTAGAACAATTTGGTAAGACCACAATCAAAACTTGCCTTAAAGAAATTTTAAAGGATCGTTTTATTTCAGTAGAATGCGTAAGTTATGGTATGTGACTTGCTTGTGCATTGTATTAGCAAGTTTGAGAGTTTTAATAGGAATTTATCTTTCAAAAATTACAGAGAGTGCAGATTGCTTCCAAGCCCAGACCATCTCGTGCCCCGCTTACCCTTACTAGTATCACAAACCTAAACCTTTTCTTGTTCGACGGTGACATCCATCCTAGAAAAAAGATAGAAACGGTTACACTGCGATATTTCCGCGCAAAAAATAACGGTGTCATGTTTAAGCACGATGCGGTACCAACTTTTTTAGGAAAAGGATAAAACATGTTCGCATCAACAACACAAATGTGTCACGTGTATTTAAGTGTTTCATTACTTCCAAATAGTGTTTCAAAACGTTTAGCAGACATAAATGAAACATTAAAAATTTCCATGATGTATGCAAAATCTCAAAATAAAATTCATTATATGCGAAATTTCGCATTTCTGAACTTACCTTTTGCCCTTTTCCAATAATACAGTGCTGCGCAATTATAACAATGATGCGTAAGGGAGCTTATTTTTTTTTGTAAATCGATCTATATTTGTAATGATATGTATGACGATTGTTTGTTTGTTTCATTTTACGCCTTTTCCCAACTATTTCAATCATATAGGCGAGTAGTTTCCTAACCATCGTTCCTTGAGAGTTACACCAGTACTAGACTACCTTCCTCCGTGCTAAACTACCAAGGCATATCCCGGGGATCGAACCCACGCCAGAGAGGTAACTGGCTTAGAAGTCATTGACTCTAACCCCTCGACCACGGAGGCGGTTTCATATGATGATGAAAGATACTGTCCTAGGATGATAATTTGGTCTTAACGGTACATTGGAAAGTCCAAAAAAGGGGTTATCTGGATTATTATCCGATATCGTAAAAGTAAACACTTACATAAACTATATAGCATTATTCTTACAGACTCGTTGGTGTATTACCGTTATGGCTCTGCCGGTAGATCGGAGTAATTGTAACTTTTGGTGTTTTGTACTCATAGGTTCGAACCCAACTTAGTGCCATTTAATAACCTAAGTTTTTTTCTCCTTACACTATTTTTATCATTATTATTTAATCATTTTTCGTTTTCCTTTTTGTTTTCTTCTTATAATATATATTTTATAGTATATATTTATTTTTTTTATTTTCATTCTATTTTTTTTTGTATTTTTTGATCGCAGTGTAATAAAATATTCGATCTCATATTCATGTATGTATATGAAAAACCCGGTCAAACTTGTTTTCTGAATAAGTGACTGTTCTAAGGTAAAAAAGACAATGTCTTACCAGTAGTCGAACTTCTGCCTGTATGGGTAAAACACATTACTGACACGGTTGCTTTACCTACTGCGCTAACAAGACATATGATAACATGCAGTTTTATTTTCATTTTTATAGGATGTGGCATTGATCTGCCTAACCTATTTTTCGCATTGTTATTGGTCTTTGTTATGTAAACAAAGGCTCAAGTTATCATCCTACGACAGTATATTATTGATATATTATTATAAATGTAAAAATATACAAATTGTGATGCATATCATAATTTCATGAGCTTAACCTATGTTTAAAATGATCACACTGGCATCGTAGCGGCAGTGGAGTATTCGTCGCAGAAGCCATGGATAAAAAATGGCCGTTTGCTGTTGTCGGCACAGGCACGAGTATCGGACCTGGGAAGAAAAAATATGACCAGATTGATAAAAAAAAAACCTGTGTTCATCTTAAAAGTGTCAAAAACCAAAAAAAAAAAATGTAAACTATGACCCCTTTAAAAACAAACTATAAGTTAACTTATAGTATATTTTTAAAGGGGGTCATAATTTAATTTTTTTCTTTGGTTTTTGACACTTTTAAGATGAACACAGGTTGTTTTTTTATCAATCTGGTCATATTTTGTCTTCCCAGGTCCGATACTCGTGCCTGTGGTTGTCGGTAAGTTTATGGCTGAATTTTACTTCATGTTTAAATGTTTCACGCGAAACACCTAGTGATACTGGAGCCCACATCTGTAATCTTTAAATTTATTACACGCACAGAATGTAACTCACTGCCATTTATGCAAACACTAATGTACAGTTTGACGAGGGGACACCATTTCTGCCCAATTTTGCTTAAAACACGTGCAAATGTGTGCGAAACGGCCCCTAAATACACCTGCATCACATCGTACGTATGATACTTGCACAGAACAACCATGTCTTGGAACTTTTGGAAATCGTTATTGTTTGTTTGTAAAATAAATGACAAATATGATTACAACGCAAACGGCGGTGGATTCGATTGCAACGCAGTGCTGTGGGCTCGAAATAATTAATTCAATTTTAATGGTTTAATTTGACATATTACGCAATTTTCATTGGAGTACAACCTTTTTCTTACTTTGACCTCAGAAAAAAAGTGTTTATTTGGTGTATATAATTATATGTGAACACCAAAAAGTTCATATTTCACTCGTGGCTGCGCCACTCGTGAAATATACCTTTTGGTGCTCACTCGGTGAAATATATTTCGATCTTACACTGAACTAAACAATTATCCTCTATATTTCCTTCAGGAATCATGCATCAATGAAGACGAAGCAAGGCTCGGCGTAATCTAGGCCTGAGTCTTGACATTTGACCCTAATGCACCACCGAAAGGAAATTTACCGATACGCGCGGAATTTCACAGCATGTCTTTTTCTTGTTACCTCCCTTGTAAAAAATAATGATGACGCCCCTTTTCATATCAACTGGTGTGTCATGTGGTTATCACTTTGATTAATAGTTGACCGCCGTGCATAAAATTTTCGTAGTACATTTTATCGACGCCACAAGCCTTGCCTGTTTTACAGCTTTTCAGCGCTTCTTTTGTCATGTTTTCTGTGATAACAAATTTCCGGCCATTTATTGAATTAATGTTACCGTTTATTTCATCGAAATCTATCTGAATTTCGGTTTTGTAACTTTCTTTAAATGATGAGTGGCAGCTTGGTGAGTATAAACCACTAAAAATGTCTTTCCAATTCGAATTTATGTCCACCGGGTCAGTCACAATATTACCATCAAAGTTCATTTCAAAGGCTGGGTGTTTGTTTCTTGCGTCTTTTATTTATTTATTGCCAGAATGAGCAAGATAAAGCCCGGAATAATCTTGACGGGCACACCAAACCGCCAACTAAGTCGACCTCACCACTATGCAAAATACAGCGCAAACAAATTATTACATGACCTCTTGGTGATAATCAACATGGAGAACATTTGTGCCGTTTTATTAAAATCCATCCATGAATATAGAAATTATGCTCCATACAGGTTTGGCGCTGATCCCCAATGTGACCTTTTTTTCTTTGAGCGACACACCACCCCATCATGGTGAACATTTGTACCAAATTATTTTGTAATCTTTCAAATAAGCAAGATTTAGACCGGACAAATCTGTACGCACATACACTGAACTATACACCAAAAGTGACAACTGAGACTTATGTTGGTCTTGCAAAAATTTAAGCTGGTGAAGTAAATAACAATAAGATTCAAAAGTATGAGGTACATATTTTTATTGCCCTGAACATTTTTCCACATATATTCTTGGTACACTACATTGAAGCATTCAAACAAAAATACATGAAATAAATCATAAAGGAAGAATAAGAGACAGATACAGAAAATATGCAATTTGCAAGTAGCTCGTTTGAATTCGGATCAAGCTAGTGCCTTCTCATGCTTTAACATGAGCGAGTACTTCAATCTGCACTAATGTGAACACTTTCTTAATGGTGGTTATTTATCATACTACTGCTGTTTACCTTAAAAGACATACAGAACAAAACACACTTCAATACCTCACAGACATTGAATATTATACGAATGTGATTACAGAAGACTAAAAACTAGTAAAGAATAAAATCTACAAGGAATTTGTATGAAAATGGTATATACAATGAAACTGATATGAATAAAATTATATGCAGCATTTAAATTTACATTGTGAGATCTCTGAATAAAAAATTTCATACTTGTTCTAGTCGCACATATAGCTTTTGCTATACTGAAAATTAATCCAACTGCATCATTTCCACATTCTTACAAATATAAAAACAAAGTGGCTTAGTAATGATATTTCTATAATTCTTTTTAAAAATGAAACTCCAAATATTTATGTTTTTCACAGTGAATAATGATTAATACAAAAGACATGTTGCATAAAGTATTTCAAAATAAAATATAATAGTGTATCTACATTTATATAAAAATGAAATTTCTCAATAAAAAAAACTTTTACCAAGAAAAAGACACGATTCCAAGTTTTTTTGTTTGTTTTGAACTATACATAAAATAAAACAGTATTTAATTGTATCTATATTAAAACAAAAAGTTATTTAAAACATCACTCCTCTTCCTGTATATCTGTAAATTTTCAATGACAGAAATTAAAATTTTATTTTTAAAATAATTTATTAAATATACCATCCAAAGGATTAAAAAAAGATGTCTTCCTCAACCAAAGAATCTATTTTGCAAATAAACATCAATATTACATTGCATTGCACATACAAGTTTATAAGAAATAAAACAATACAAAATAAGATAAATAAATATGAATGATCAGTGTCAAACGTGTCGAACATTTTCTACTCATGTGTTCTACTTATCGTCGAGTGCGAGTAACCCTTTTTGCAGGAGTGGCAACCTTCTTTTGTTTTTTAGCTGCTTGTTTGACAGAAGTCTCTGCTTTCGGCTTCCTTGATGCAACTGGTGATATCTTAGGTGTTTTCACCTTTTTAGTTGCTACAGTTTTTTTAGGTGTTACTGCTTTTACAGCTGCCTTCCCTCTAGTTTTCTTGGGTGAAGATTTTGGTACTGCTATTTTAGCTTCCTCTTCAACTTTTGATTTAACTTGTGTTACTTCTGTAGGGGAATGTTTCCTCACTGGAGAAACATTGGCTGGTTTAAACTATTAGTTCTCTTTGCAGGTGTTAGTGGCTTTTTTGGAGTTACTGCCTTCACTGGAGTCTTTGTCTTCCTGAAAGACAGTTATAATCAAGTGTTATTCAAATATGCATTTCTTTAATATATGGAAAGATCCAATAACAAAGAAACCTGCTTTTAAGCCTTTAAATGTTAGAAGCATAATAACTAAGATAATGCTCTGCCAGTTTGTACACATTGCAAAAAGATGATCTATACAATGATGTTTTAGGATTGCTAGTTAAGTCCCTGTTACTCTTAGAGGAAAAGGAAGCTTGGTTTACAATATACTGGTGCTTGGCATGAAGTACTACCACAAGATATTTCTGTTCAATAAAATCTGCAATGTTAAAATTTCATAGCAATCATATGGTAAGCAGACAATCGGGTATCACAACACTATTTTCTAGTTCCAGAGAATACTGGGATTTCAAAACCTTTCAGGAAACCATAAATTTTAAATTGTGATATTTACCTGACTTTTTAGCAGCAGCACCACGTTTAGGTTTCACACGCTCAGGAGTTACTGCTTTAACCTCTACAGCTACTGGTGCAGCTACCTTTGAAGTGCCTCTTCTGCTTTTCTTTACTGGAGAAGTTTTTACTGGGCTGGCTTTCCGTTTAGTTGATTTTACTGGAGAAATTGTCTTCTTTTGATTTTTTGGTGATTTATTTTTTTTTTTTACAAACTTTTTTTTTTTTTTTTTTTTTTTTTTTTTTTTTTTTTTTTTTTTTTTTTTTTTTTTTTTTTTTTTTTTTTTTTTTTTTTTTTTTTTTTTTTTTTTTTTTTTTTTTTTTTTTTTTTTTTTTTTTTTAGGACTTGCTACTTTTGGAGCTCTACGAGTAGCGCGACCTCTTTTAACTGGAGTGTCTTCTTTTGGAGTGGTCACTAAACAAATAGATAATATAAATTAGTTCATTTGATAAATATGATACTTATAAAGAAAGATACCAATTTAGATGGTAAAGTTTTTCTTTCTAGTGTGAAAACATATATGAAACTAATTTGAGGTTTAAATTATGCCAACCAATATTTGATAAACAACTTAATTTCTAATGCTGTGACCATTATAGAAGCTAAAATCAATTGTTACATAAAAGCATAGCACTGTTTATAATATACTTTTTAACAGGTAAAGACAAGTCAATGAAATGATTTCTGTCAAAATAACTGTCTTACCTATTTCAGTTTGCTTTTCCACAAGGTTGGGCGAGGCTTTGTTAGGGACAGGTGATTTGCCCTTTGCAACTTTAGGTGTGGCTACCTTTGGTGCTGCCCTTGTAGAACGACCCTTAGCTACCTTAGGGGTTGCAACTTTAGGTGTGGCTACTTTGGGTGCAGCCTTTGTAGAACGTCCCTTTGTGACTTTAGGGGTTGCAACTTTGGCTGTGGCTACTTTGGGTGCAGCCCTTGAGGAACGTCCCTTTGTGACTTTAGGGGTAGCAACCTTAGGTGTGGCTACTTTTGGTGCTGTTCTTGTAGAACGTCCCTTTGTGACTTCAGGGGTAGCAACCTTAGGTGTTGCTACTTTAGGTGCTGCCCTTGCCGATTGGCCCTTTGTGACTTTAGGGGTGGCTTGTTTTGGTGCTGCCCTGGTAGACCTGCCCCTTTTCACTTTAGGAGTAGCAACTTTAGGTGTTACAACTTTAGGCGTGGCTTCCTTTGGTGCCGCCCTTGTAGACCTGCCCTTCTTGACTTTAGGTGTAGCAACTTTAGGCGTGGCTTCCTTTGGTGCCGCCCTGGTAGACCTGCCCCTTTTCACTTTAGGGGTAGCAACTTTAGGCGTGGCTTCTTTTGGTGCCACCCTGGTAGACTTGCCCCTTTTCAATTTAGGGGTAGCAACTTTAGGTGTGACTACTTTAGGTGCTTCCCTTGTCCTGCCCTTTGCAACTTTGGGGGTGGCAGCTTTAGGCGTTGCAGCCTTTGGCGCAACTGGTGATGCTAATTTTTCTATTTGTACCACTGCATTCCTCCTGCCAACTCTTCCAACCAATGGAGATCCTTTCACTGTAAGTAAAACCATTCAAGTTATGAGCTTTTTACGTTTTTCTTGCCTCTTTTTTTATATACAGAAAAAAAGAAGAAAAAAGGCAAATAAGTGATTACGGACATTTCTAAAACATAATTTATCTGCTTGCAAGACCTGGTAATCTAGTCATTCTGGGTATACTAATTGTAGCAAGGATAATCGAGTGTTATACTATATGCAATGTTCGAGGTGTGAAACTCTAAAACTAGTAGCATTCTGGTAAGCTCTATTCATAGCTGCTTTATGCATTACATATGATTTAATGAAACTGCAACAAATCATGTCTGAATATTTGACAAATATGTATACTCGTTAATAATGTTCTGTCAAATAAGAATCCTATTAAATGAAAATTTCAATATTTTCAGTCCTGTTATATAAAAACACCTTATTGGAGTCTTTTTCATAGAGTAATTTTTTTATTTACTAAGCTTTAACAGTAAATTATCACTTGTGAAAATACATTTTTATCAACTTGCATATTAATTTTTTTTAAAAGAAACTGAATTCATACCTCTTTTCTTTGCACAGGCAGTCTTTTTAAGTCCACCCCTTCTTGTTGCCCTGTGCACAAGTTAAAAAAGAGACAGAATAATTTTTTTTTCAAACTTGATGAGGAGGCTGTTAAGATTTATTTGATGGAACGACAAAGCGAAGCTGTCATTTTTTTCATTATTATTTGCCATAAAAACATACACACCTTTATCAAAGAAAAAAAACACTTTATGTATTGGAGGTATTCTCAATTACTTTTCTTAATCTTAATCTTTTTCCTCTAAGCTTATAATATCAATAATAATAAACTTGAAAATGGCAGAACAGTACAAAAAAAATTCATGTTATGTGTGTAGAAAAACTAACCATCCTATTTCTAAAACAATCTGCAAAGATGTATTAATTTCTTCTTTTTTAATTACTCTGGATAATAAATAGAGAATGTACCAAAATACTCTCCTTTAAATAGAAAAGGGAGAAAAAGTCTTTAAATACCTAGTTGGTTGTGTCAAAGATGGTGAAGTGGCAAGTACTTCTTCCCTTCTGACTTTCTTAGCTACTGGGGATTTAACTGGCGTTGCTGCTCGCTTTCTACCCCTACAAATTAAGAATAAAATATAAATGGCATTTAAAATTGCAGTACACTAAGAAATACACAAAGTTAACAATCTAACTTTTAACATTCTATAATTATTGACTCCATTTACTCTATTTAAAACAAAAGCTGCAAAGCTTATAAAATGAATACTAAAATAAGAAAATAGACTAAGCTTAGTACCTTGTAGTCCTTGCTGGTGTCTTTTCCTTTGCTGGTGTTTTTGCTTTAGCTGGAGATTTGACTGGTGTTTTTGCCTTAGCTGGAGATTTTGCAGGTGTTTTTGCCTTAGCTGGAGATTTTGCTGGTGTTTTTGCCTTTGCAGGTGATTTAACTGGTGTCTTCACCTTCTTCACTGATTTTGTGGCAACATTCTAAAACAAAAACTTGACGTGAAATTTCAAGGTTATGTAAGTAAATTTTGTAGAATAATAGTATGTGCTCCATGCAAGACCTAAGGTATTTCAACAAATGAGCACAAGATGTTTAATTTTTTTTTTACTTTAAACAATTTTTTACCATATTTTAAAATCAAGTATCAAAATAACAAATGAAAATTTGACTAAAGACATAAAAATGATCAGCTAGAATTTACGGTACCACTTGGTCATTTTTTAAGTTAGGGTGAAATTGTATTTTAATAATTTAACTGTGAAATTATGAGATGTAAATCTTTATAAAAATTCAGCTATCAACTGAGCAGCAGTTTAAAATGAAAATTAAAATTAGAACTTGAATTGAATATCTACAATGGTAAGAAATATATTACCTCAACTATTGGTGATGCAAACAAGTTTGCAACTCCAGAAGGACTTGCTGGTCCATGCTTTTTACGAGGAGTTTTCATCAGTCTTTTCAATCCAGTTGGACTAGCTGGGGATTTACTGACTTTAGCTTTGAACAGTTCCTTCACACCTACAAGACTTGTACTTTTTCTTGATTTTTTTGCTGAAGACTTGGCAGATGAGAGAGGTGAAACAAGCATTTCCCCAGGACCATTTGGTGTATCTGGTATATCAGCATACAGGACAGAATCTGGTGTACCAGCTGATAATGGGGTTGTCTGTCTGGACTTTGGTGATGATTGTGGTGGAGTAGTGAACAGGTCTTTAACACCTGCCAGGCTTACTCTTCCAACAGATTTCTTGCTTTTCTGCAAACATGAACAACTTTTGAATGTCTGGCATATTATGTAAGTTTAGCACCTTTATCATCTATATCAGTTTCAAAAAGTTTATTTGAACATTGAACATTCAAAACCTGTAATTTTTTGCCTTGGCCACATTCCATTTATTTCGAGTCAAGCTGCAGTGTATCACTTATTCTTTAATAAATCATGTACTTTGATACAAAAATCAATAGACTATGATTGTATCAATAATAATAAATATTCAATTAGTTTTCTCACCCAAAAGATTTTTAAGCTTCCAGAATGTAATGACAAGATCAAATTGAATTGAGGTGATCAGCTATACAAACAGCTGTCTTTAATATCAAACAATAAACAACTCAATGTGCTTAGTAGTGCAGACTAAAGTAAACCGTGATTGATATTACTGGAATAAAGTCAATATTAAAAAAGCAAAAACTACAAGTATATAACAGACAAGTAAAAAAAGCATGAAAATGACTAACCTTTCCAATACTTTTTCTTCCTTTCTTTGGCAGCAACTTAGGGGTCTTAGTTAATTTTTGCTTTTTGCCAATAACAATTGTAGCTGGTGATGCAGCATGTCCAGTACTTGGGGCAAGGTGAGCTGCTTTTGTCCTTGGTGTCTTTGGGAATGCCTAAAAAAACAAGATATCACATGCGGTGTTAAAGCTCGTCATTTAAGGGCAACAACTATCAATAAACAGTGTTCATCAATGTTCAAGGACATAAATCCTAAAATTAAAAACCATGATTATGCCCCTATTGCTATGCAATTGTGCATTGTCATATTAATCAAGTAATTTAAACTTCATATTGACATATCTTTAAATAGTTTCGAAATCATATAACTTAATAGGCAATTTTGACAAAAATTCTAAGCAGAACTTCACAAATATAGCTTTCAGAATTATGGCATTGATTTTTAAAATAAAAATGAATCTAATTATCTCACCTTGTTTAAAAAACTTATTTCCAAGTAAATGGACTAACTGCTGATTACATGTTACTGTTGCAAGTTAAAATTTTAGTCTGTTAATACAGAAATTTATGCAGATGTGCAGCATAAGCACACTGAATGCACTGTGGACAGTGTGTTCTAAATTATATATCTACTTCTTCTGACCTCAAAAGGAAAATAAAAAAAAAAGAATGCAGCAAGCAAAAAATATTTGCGAAAAATAAGATATTTAAAAACATTTCATTATTTACCTTAGCAACTGGTCTAGGAGTTGGTGGTTTCATAGCTGGAGCAGGTTTTTGTTTAGCTGGTGATTTCTTTTCAACAAGAGAAGCTGGCTTCTTCACAACATCTGCCCAACTCTTTAACTTAGGTGTTGCTCTTTTACCATGAATTGCTCTGAAATATGAAGCATCCATTTCTATATAAATATGCTATTTTGCTGGTTAAGATTCAGGTTACACAGGAAATGTTATTGTGTAAAGTAGTTCAGACACCCCGTTATTCATCTTTCTAAATGACATAAAACAATTACAGTAATCAAGATTTAACAACTCTATACCAAATCACCAGAGAATAATACTTTCTACTGATTATGTCAAACTAAAGCAGTTGAATTTAAAGAACTTTCAACATTTAACATACCTCATGGCAACAGCATTCTTGATTGATGAAGGGGGTGATTGTTTTGGTGTGTTAAGTTTCATTCTTTTCACATTTGATTTCAGTGGGGATGACCTCTTCCTTTTCAAATTTCTTCCACCTCTAGGGGTTTTTGGAGTTTTCTTGGATGACAGAATCTTAGGTGTTGGTTTCCTTTGCAAAGTGATTTTAGACATTGCCTCCTTGACGGGAGTGACAACAGGTGATAATGATCTTGCTTTTGAACGGGCTGAAGCAGGTGTTGATACAATTGGAGTTGTCAACATTTCTGAAAGTCCAGTGAAACTGATGTCAAGAGAATTACTGTTATTGGTATTTTTTCCAACAGATTTTCTATGTTTGACAGCAGTTGACTTTTTAACTGACTTGGGCGATTTTCCTACAGATGGAGATTTTTGTGCAGATTTTGGTGTTACATTTGATGCAACTTTTGGCGACTTTCCTTTTGGTGATAAAGATCGTGCTCTTCTTGGTGAAGACTTGGTAGATGCTTGTTTTGCAGGAACTGTTTTTGGTGTTCCAATTTTAGATTTCTGTGTATTTGAGGCACCTGGGGTCTTTTTCGGTGATGGAGTTCTGGAAGCTTTTGGAGTAGCTTGTTTTGCAGGAACTGTTTCTGGTGTTCCAATTTTAGATTTCTGTGTATTTGAGGCACCTGGGGTCTTTTTTGGTGATGGTGTTCTTGAAGCTTTTGGAGTAGGTGGTGCAGACTTGCTTCTTGCTGCAGTCTTCTTTGAACTACTTACAGGAGACCTTGTCCTTGGAGAAGCTGATGATGCTTTCTTGGCTGGTGTTTTAACCGGACTTCTACTTTGACGGGACTTTGGACTTCCAGATTTCTTTACTGACAATGGTGTCACTGGACTTTCTGCCACATTTGTTGAAGGTGTGCCTTCTGGGCTCTTTGGTCTTCCTGGTGACTTTTTAGCTGGAGTTGGCGACTTTGTTTGTTTCACTTGTGAAGAGGGACTTCTTGGTCTACCTGGAGATTTTTTTGCAGCTACAGGAGAATTTACCTGTGTTTGTTTTGTTGGTGTTTTAGCAGGGCTCTTAGATCTAGAAGGTGAATTTCTGGTTGATCCTGGAGATGATGTTCTAGGGGTTCTTGTCTGTTCTAATGTATCATTTGGACTCTTTGATCTACTTGGTGACTTTTTAGCTGATCCAGCCTTTGGAGATTTATTTTGTGATGGTGTTTTTGGGGTTGATTTATCTGCTGCAGGAGATGCTGATCTGGATGGTGACTTTTTAGAGCTTTGTGGTGTTTTACCTTGTTTTGTCTGTGGCGTAGATGCAGACTTAACTGGTGATTCTTCTTTGATTGGAGACTTTTTTGTTGGAGCAGCCAAAGACCTTCTCTTAAGCAAAGGGGAAGAGGGAACTGGTGACTCTGTTACTCTTGGTGGCAAAGCACCTTTCCTGATGGGGGTAGATGGGGGTAACTTTTTAACAAACAATTCTGGACTAAGCTTTGGTCCAAATGATACCCGCTTTCTTTTAGCTGATGGTGGCACTATGCTGCTATCTGGCGCACCAGCTTTCCTTTTTTTACCAGAACTCTTCGGTGTCTTCGGTCCTTTGCCTGAAAAATAATTTAATCAAGAAATACTTGACCAGATTGGAGTGGAAATGCAAAACAAAATTTCAATATAAAACTTAATTAAAAAAATATTGATCTTTAAATGTGCCTTATATTTATCTTCTAAAATCTTCATACACTTTTTTTCCCATATGATTATAAGAGAATACAGTAAACTCTGCTTGTAACGATATTCAGGGGATACTGCATTAAACCATTATATTGGGATATTGCTATATCAGAATGGTAACCAATTTAAGAGTCTGGATCACAGCAACAGCATGGTAGGGGGATAACTGTATAAAAAAGCAGGAACAAGTCACCTTTTCAGTGCATGTCAACATCAATATTCTTACCTGTTGGTGTTTTCTTGGCATTATTGTTAACAGTTGCCATTGCTACTGCTTTAGGGCTAGCAGCTCTTGGAGTGGCACCCTTAGGTGTTGCTGGTTTTGGACTAACAACTCTTGGAGTGGCAGCTTTGGGTGTTCCTTGTTTAGGGCTTGAAGCTCTCGGAGTGGCAACCTTAGGTGTTTGCTGGTTTTGGACTAGCAACTCTTGGAGTGGTAGCCTTGGGTGTTGCTGGTTTTGGACTAGCAAGTCTTGGAGTGGCAACCTTGGGTGTTGCTGGTTTTGGACTAGCAACTCTTGGAGTGGCAACCTTGGGTGTTGCTGGTTTTGGACTCGCAACTCTTGGAGTGGCAACTTTGGGTGTTGCTGGTTTTGGGCTAGCAACTCTTGGAGTGGCAGCCTTGGGTGTCGCTGGTTTTGGACTTGCAACTCTTGGAGTGGTAGCCTTGGGTGTTGCTGGTTTTGGACTAGCAACTCTTTGAGTGGCAGCCTTGGGTGTTGCTGGTTTTGGACTAGCAACTTTTGATGTGGCAACCTTAGGTGTTGCTGGTTTTGGACTTGCAACTCTTGGAGTGGTTGGTTTTGGACTTGCAACTCTTGGAGTGGCAACCTTAGGTGTTGCTGGTTTCGGAGTGGCAACCTTAGGTGTTGCTGATTTTGGACTAGCAACTCTTGTAGCCTTTGGTGTTGCACTTCGAACATTTGGCGTCATTATTTTAGCAACTACATTTAATGCCTGTTTAGGTGTCATACCCTTGGATATACCTATGTTTGGGCTAGCTGTCCATTTTGTTGTAGATTTTGGGGGTGTCAATCCTTTCAAAATAGCCTTGGCAGAAGATCTAGGAGTCTTCTTGCCTGGTGGTGATGAAACAGCTCTTGGTGTTGATAGAACCTTTGAAGTCTTTTTCACAGATGCTGGCGTGGACTCAGATCTCTGGCTTACTACCTTTTTGGATGGAGTTAAATCTTTACCAGCTGATTTTGGAGTTCTTCCACGAGACTGACGATCTTGTGCTGGTGTTGATCTCATAGGTGAAGGTGACTGGATTCTCTTCTTTGCTGAGCCTGGGGATACAGACTTTTTCAAGCTTTTTGCAGGTGTTGGTGGCTTAGACTGTAAAATTTAAACGAGCACATTCAAACAAAAAATCTTACTAAATCTTTAAAATTAAGGGCTTTCTAATACAACAGAGCCTGTACAGACATCCAATGCCAAAATTCAAGCACATTATAAGCAGGTCTTCCAATCTTTCAAGCACAATTTGTTGCACATATATCATTTGTAACCAATAACAAAGTAACTTTTCTGCCCATTGTGGATTGGTAATAGCAAAGTTTTGTTGAAAACACATTTTCCAGTTTCAATAGAACAAGAAAATCTCAACAACAATATAATTATATTTATACCTAAACGTAAGCATTTTTCAAGATGGTAATCAAATTAAAGGATTTTTAAGCACTTTCTTCTCTTCATTTTAAGCACTATTTAAGGCACTTATTAAGACTGTACAAACCCTGTATAATAATGCTGTGAAAAAACTGTGAAAATGAGGACTTAAATGATGAAATTCTGCGATGCAAAGTTGACAATGAGATGTTCTGATGTAATAATAAATGTAAACAAGCACATTCACAAAAATACATTTGATGTTATAATGATATAATAAATGATGATCAACAAATTGTAAAATGATTAATGTAATTAATCCACAAAGATGCATTGGTTTGCTTTCAAAAATCAATGAAACTTATTAACTCATTCGACCCGTACGCCGAGTATAGTCGTCGTCTTTATCTGTTATCGTGTACCGCGCGCCGAGTATAGTCGTCGTATTAAATTTATCGGCTATCCCGCATGACGAGAGAAGTCGTCGTGTATTGAACTACTACTGTATACCGCGTGACGAGTTATGTCGGCGCATTTCATTGGTTGTTTCGACGGGTTATATTTAGATTTGAGGTATTTTGACCAATCAGGAAACGCGTTATATGTATAGTATACAGGTTTACCTATACGAAAGTGAAAATTTTATCGAAATATCTCTATCTGAAAAAAAGTTATATTGCGTTAAAAAAATCGAAAATCGGAGGAATTTATTTGACATTATGTTTGATACGGACACGGAAAATGGCGCAAATTCGGATTGTGACATTAGTCTCGATAGTGAAAGTGAGATAGAATCAATCGGATAGATCGAGTGACAGTCAAAATGAAAATGAAAGTGCGGACGAAAATGTGGAATATTCTCAATGGAAGACAAACGATCGGTCAGAATTGCCTAAGAGACCATTCACAGGCCCAAATCCAGGACCTACTACAGACCTTGATTCGGACTCAAATGAATTTGATTTCTTTGAACTGTTCTTTTCTGTGTTTCTTATTGAGCTACTTTGTAGACAGTAATTTTGATTTTGTCTTACAAAAATATTTAGTTGATCTTTTTTCATTCCTTTTATCCAGAAAAGTAACGTAATTGAAAGCTCCAGAAAATAAGAGTAACTGTTCTAGTGTAAGAAATACAAAAATGTAAAAACGTTACAGTTTTTGTATATATTTTGTAATTATTTTTATATTAATATTATATATAATTTTTATAATTATTATATATAATTCTAAAATTATCTAAAATTAATCAACACATATAACAATTTTCATTCATATTTCATATATCAATTATTTTTTCCGGCTCATATTTTCTTACTTTTAGACACAGAAGTAAAGATAAATTATTTATTGTTTTCTTTGAAATTTTCTTAAAAAAAAACAACAGGAAAATAAAAGTTTTTTTTAATGAATATGAATTTCTGATGTATATACACCTCTGCACCATAAATGTTATATTTCTTGTCTGTTTTTATGAGCTCCATAACATAATACTTATATTTGCTCATTAGTCATTACTAGATTTATTTGCATAATCCTTCCAAAGTATTCATTTCTAATTTGTAAATTAGCAGTAAATTTCTCAATATATTTTTTAAATTATTATATTATGGAGAAGAATGTTTTAATAGAAATTTATACAATAAATAAAGTTCTTTATTACAAATAAACTGATTTTATGTTGAAATCTTCTTTATTTTATTGATAATAAATCAGTCCAACATGTTGCCATAGTGATGGAAGTTACACCACTGATTAGGTAATTTTATTGCCAATATTTATGTGTCATTTCAGCTTGATTGGATTAAAAATGAGATTGCCAGAGGCAAATTACATAATGCACCCCCTATTATTTATGACCTGTCAATAAAACAGTGCAATATCCCTCAGGGAGACAGGTTAGATAAAATCAATAAGGTACCTAGGAGTTGGCTTATCAGTTATCAGTAGGGTTTAACTGGTAGACAGTGTACAGGGTTGAATGAGTTAAGGAATAAAATTTCGAAAAATTTCTTCAAGTAACATGCTATCCCAGGATAGTTAAAATTTCTTCCCTGTTACAGAATTTACATCTAATTTATTATGATTTTGTCTTTCTCATTCTTTTTCGACAGTTTTCAATTGTGGATATTTAATATTTCTTAGAAGAATCAGTACTCAACTCATTTTTAACTCCCAATGCTCTTAAGTGTGATGGTTATTGTTCGCATAAAAATCCTAAACAGCATTTGTGTCATTCTGGGCGATGATAAAACCCATCTGTACTAACTAACGGGCATCATAACACTAAATTGCAATATATTAAGTCTGGCCTTAAAAAACACAATTTTTAAAATGTATTAAGCTTAATTTCTAATACATAAATTTAACACCTTAATACCTGAAAATTAAGAAATACTTAGAATTTTAACCTTAACTAAGCATCAAATAACTAACCTTTGGGGTGAGTATTTTTGAATCCTTAATTGGTGTTCTTTTACTAGGGGATGGTGACATTTTTCCGGCCTTCTGTGGCGTCTTCAATTTACTTGGCGATCCTTTCCCACAGTCTGGTATTTCCAACCTGAATGATCTATCAATTATCGTAAAGACGTCACGGTGTTTCAGTTGGATGGCATCCTTTAATGCTTTTTTGTTGACCTCAACAGAGTTTTCCTCTCCACAATTCACAAGAAAAATCTGAAATATTTTCATATGTAAGCACACACCTGACCTATCAAGTTAGTGATGATGGCTGCATTTCATAGAAAGTCCTTAGTGTATCCCAAGTCCTAGGACTTGACAAACTATAGGACTGTTTCAATTAACATTATCTTTAATCATAGTTTTAGACTTGTGTAATTCATTCGCCTGAGAAAAGTTACAAAATACAATAGCACACGCTTAAATCTGCTTTGTGTTAATGTTCAGCTGCATTGTTATACAGAAATGGATGAGTCTTAATGTAAGTCATAAGTTAGGACAATTTCTTAGTACGAAAATTGTCTCAGTTTTGGTCTTTTGGACAAATTTTAGACTTTGGTGGACTTTCCATTTAAGGGCAGATTTCTCGTAACAGATTCATTGGCAAGCCCCATTTTTTTGCTTCATATTTTATGTTCCTACAAAATGTGATTTTCTATGAGTTTTTATCCTTCTATTGACAATTTATTGACTCACCTCTGAATTTTCATTAACTTCAAGTCGACAGTGTTCCAACCCTACTTGTGGCAGTTGTATCCTAATATTGCATTCATTACTCCTTAAAAAATAAAAGCATTTATCATAATTTTCAATCTGAATAGGCCCTTTTAAAGAAATGGAACAAATTAAGAACATGATTAAGATAAATCTCAACAAATTATATAATTCTATTGAAAAATATTTTTTCTAGCCTAAATTTTACAAATCACATGTTTAAGTATGCTCTAAAAATATCCAATAAAGAAAGTGTGAGAATCCATCAATGATCAAATTGTTGACTGAGAAGAACATCTTATCAAAAACATTCATTTTAAGTCAGAGTGTGGCCATGACCATTGAGCTTCAGACATATTGCCGCAATATGGTACACATTTATACAAATCTATGTTAAAATCATTCAATAAATGACAAATTTATGGACCAGACATACAAAGTTCCAATGGAAGGCCAGATGCTATAAAAACTATATTCATCCCCATTCTGTGGGGCATAAAAAGTAGAAGCTTTCGGGCTGAATTAAGTTGAGGCTTACATTGTCAAAACAACGTACAAGATTTCACCAAGTTAAAGCAGGTTCTGAAGGTTTTACGGATCAACTTACCAGTATCAGTTTAATTTGTCTTTTATGTTATATAAACTTCATGAATTTTTATACAAATGGTATGTCAAACTGTGAAACATAGAAAACAAGCAATTATCATAGTATTGCAAGCAATCCATAAGTCCCCTACCGGATAGAACCCCATCAGCATTCTGAAGGGCCATTGGCCATTCACTAATGTGTAAATTTTTGTCTGTTTTAAGTAAATTTGTTGGAAATGTTCTTTAAAAGTGATTACAGGAAAAAGTTTTTATGAACAGACAGACAGACAGACTGAAGGACACTCTAAAGTTAATATTTGAAACATCCATGTTACCAAAATATAACATTTTAAAAAGCAAAATTCTTAAAGAGGAGATAACTCTGGAATTAAAGATGCAATTTCATAAAAAGTTTCAGCTCTTTTTGACTAATCACAAATATTGTTATATTTGCCATGTTTTAAGTCTATTTGTTGCCAAGGCAACCAATATTTTTTCAAAATAGGAAGAACAGATAAGACATGCATAATCTCAAGACTGCCATCTACCCACATGTCAAGTTTCATAAAAATATTTCCAGTACTTTTTGAGTTATCACTGGATTCAGTTTATGTGTAAAATTTGCCATATTTTCAGTCTATGTGTTGCCATAGCAACCAGAATTTTCAACATAAGAAGAAAAGAAAAAGACGTGTATAATTTCCAGACTGCCATCTACACATATTACAAGTTTCATAAAAATATTTCTATTACTTTTTGCGTTAACACTGGATCCAGTTTATGTGTAAAAATTGCCATATTTTCAGTCTATTTGTTGCCATAGCAACCAGAATTTTCAACATAGGAAGAAAAGAAAAAGAACGTGCATAATCTCCATACTGCCATCTATCCATATATCAAGTTTCATAAAAATATTTCCAGTACTTTTTGCGTTATCACTGGATCCAGTTTATGTGTAAAATTTGCCATATTTTCAGCCTATTTGTTGCCATAGCAACCAGAATTTTCAACATAGGAAGAAAAGAAAAAGACGTGCATAATCTCCATACTGCCATCTATCCATATATCAAGTTTCATAAAAATATTTTCAGTACTTTTCAAGTTATCGCGGGATCCAGTTTTGTGGACGGACGGACTGACAGACAGACGGACGGACGGAGGGTAAACCTAAAGTCCCCTCCGGTAAACCGGTAGGGGACTAATAAGTGTATTTTCACAATATTACAACATACCTTCCAAATAAACAGGATGTCGATGTTAGTGCATATGATGCTCCATCTGATCCATTTCTTTTGATGACTACTATATTTGCATACAGCATGTTGTTACATCCTGGCAAAACAAAAATAACAATTTATTTAAATTATTTCTTTATCAAACAAAGGTAAAATAGGAAAATTAAATTTTTAGAAAAAAAAAACTGATTTATATTTCAAATATTGGAAATAATTATGAAATTTCAATAAAAGTTCTTACTGATACTTAAGTTTATTTTCAGGAACTTTACAATTTTACTTTTTAATATGCCTGGGTTTTTTTTCTTGCAAAAATTTGTGCATGTTACAATTTAACTTAATACTTTTTAATATGCCTGTTTTTTTTTTCTTGCAAAAATTTGTGCATGTTACAATTTTACTTAATACTTTTTAATATGCCTGTTTTTTTTCTTGCAAAAATTTGTGCAGTAATGTCTGCTATTAAATGATAAAAACCTCATTTCACAAATTTAAATCAGTGCAGCAATTTTTTTCCTAATATAAGCGGTACCAAATAACCAACACATTCACAATCATGAACAGTCCTTCACAATTGGGACCGAGTCTGACAAATTAGACACAATTCTGGTGACATGCACACAAAGTAAAATCTTCAAAGCCATGGAAGCTTAAATGAATATTTGGGATAGTATTCTTAACTGCCTATCGGCTATATGCTGTTGCCATCTACCTATCGTTAGGGCAGCCCTCAATGCGATCTAAATTGCAAGTCCATAGGTCATCTCTAGTTCAGTCTGATTCGTAAAATTTTTTATCATGTCATGGTCAACATCAGGCGGTTAGATTGATGTTTATCTAACTTCTGTTAATGACAAATCCCTTTCAGAATGATATGCAATTTTATTGAATGTATTCATATTTTAATAATCTTAATAGTTTAAAATGATTTGAAATTTTTTCAAAAAGAATAAGGAAAAGGATAGATTATTTTGCAAATTTAAACAAGGTTTCACCAACATCAATGTGTCAAATTCTGGTTAAGTTTCATAACGGGTCTGATCCAAAACGTTTAATGCCTCATTAGACAATAGAAGCAATGGATTATAAAGTTTTCTCAAAACAAAGCGATGTAAAGAAAGAAATATCTTTATTTTGTTACAAGTATCCAACAAATCACAACGCAACCAAGTTTAAAAGTAGCGTTGGCTTATAGAATTGTCAAATGCACAATCACAGATTACGCGGATATATATCATTCTAATCAATGAAAATGCTATTTTTTACCGAATACTTGACTAGCATTAGAGTTGGGTACCACCAGAAAGAAAATACCACGGTATACCACGGTTTTTTCCTAAAAACCACGGGTATACCACGGATTTTCATTGTATGCTATAGGTTAATTTTTATCCCTAAAATAAGTATCAAGGTAGGCTGGTATAGAATTTCAAATATTTAATTTAAGCAGATCTATAAAATACAGATTAATCAAAGCACCATTTAACTTTTTTCAATCAGGTACTTTCGCATGTTGACAATCATAAATTAATTGGGTCATGGATCAGTTCTTGTGGGTTTTTTTATTACATATTGGTCTCTTTCAACATTTAACAACTGTTAAATAAATTGCATAGTTAAAATGGAAAAATAAACTGTTTTTATTGCTTATTGATTAATAAAATAATAGGTCAAAATGCACGTTAGCTGATGACAAATATTTATTTGTCGGTTAATTTTATAAAAGAGTCCCAGCTGCTATTGTAATTTTTTTATTGCAAGGGCTAAGTATTTAATTAATCCGTGTCAAAAACCAAAACAAACATGTACCCCAAAAGCAAATTAAAATTATCACATAGAAAACAGCTGACCATGTTACTGCTTAATTAATATTCATTAGTTGAACGACCAGTTTCTACGCCGTTCTAAAATTAGTTAATTGCCATGCGCATGCAGTAAGTGCGTGACGTAAGGAAAACCCCTAGCCTGATTGGTCGCTCTTTATATAAATACTTAAAATAGTAATGCAAGGAATGCCCTCATGAATTATCAATCTTTACGATTAGTTTTGTATCAAATAAGCGATATTTGGACAAGTAAATGTAAGTCGACAATTTTTGCTTCTTCAACTGAGATCATGCAAGTCGACAATTCTGGCTTACATGCGGTAATTGATAAAGCATTCAATTTTCGCTAAGAAATATCGAAGAATGATAATAGTCGGTGAAAACTGTTTGCTAAAAGATTAACTCAAAGAAACATTAACATATACAACAGAAAAAGTTTTTTAATTTAGTACATTTTACGGATCTGTAATTGCTTTAAATTAGAGCTAAAAGTACCGGTTTTCCAGGTCTATACCGCGGTACGTACCGCAGATGTCTCGGACCGTGGTTTACCGGTATACCAGTTAAACCGCGCACCTCTAACTAGCATAGTACACAAATAAATCTGATTGTCAAGTAGTGAAATATATACATGTCGTACTGTTTTGGCGAGAAGATTTTCGCTAAATTATTTACATCAGTGTTAAACAACAGGTTTATACAAAATACCTCGAAATTGATAAGGATTACAAACCCAAAATGGAAATTCTAAATTTAGTATTATTTTATTTAGGCTAAAATTCTTCGTGTAACCTCCCCGTGCTGCAGGGGTAACACGCTTGTCTATGGTGAGAGGTCGGGGTTAGAGTCCAAATTGAGGTATTCATTATTTTTTTCAACTGCCTTTTTTAAGGAAGTAGCCACAATATGCAAGGATAAAGTGTGACCATCATAAAAAAAACATAAATGGTTATTTGATGCAAAATTCAATATGTATCAAACTGTTATAATAAACAGTTATAGTAAAATATCTAAAAGCAGTCGGTGTATCTCGGTGCCCTGAAAGTAATAGAAAGAGCATCGAAACACAAGGCTCTCGGATCTGTACAAGGCTGCATAGCCCCCAGTATTTATCAGATTGTCGAGTGTTTTGATGTTTATTCTCTTTTGTATCATAGTCAAACATAAAAACATGTTCCCTGTTGTTACAATATTAAACCGAAAAATAGGAACCAATGAACGAGCATATGAATATGATATTTCTTTCGCTATCCCTTTCTCTACAGTCACAATAAGTAAACCCCAGCAGAACTAATACTCTGCACTCGAGTTAACGCATTGTGCATGTATATGTATACAATTTAACTCTGACACATTTTCAACATCTAGAAAGGTCCCCAAACTATGATACAAGATAAAATATATAGGATATAAATATACAGGAAAATACATACAGATATACAGATGATTTAGATTGCAAAGATAAGAAAATACCACAGAGCTTGCAGCCTTTGATTTTGTTTGGGGTGGGCAGAGTAGGAATGCCTTGCAAAAGATGCAGAAATAGGAAAACCTTGCAATTGAATTAGAGTAGAGTTTTAAGAGCACAAATTCATTATAAAATTCGTTTAATTTTTAGGCAGTCCACAAATTAACTGCGCATAAATGTCTATCTGTAGTCGATTATTTCCAGAAATGAAGATACAAAGCAAGCGCATTCTTTCCTGATGCGGTGCAACCTTTTCGCATTGACTGAAAAAAACAAACCTACAAAGGAAATTAAAACATGTAAATAAAAATTTCACTAAACAACTATTACTTCAATTCTTACCAATATATATCGATGACCCTATATGCTTATAAACAGCTTAATTCATTTCAAACTTTGATTCCTCTTGTCTTCTTTTTGGACTACGCGCGAATGAAGAAGTGACAGCTAATATTAATGCGCTTAAAAAGTAGATCTAGTGTTAATGTTAATATTAATAAACAATAGTCTCTGAAATCAGCTATAATTTTTCATATAATGAAAGAATATTTTAATGAGCAATTTCTGTATCATAAAAGTATTTTTATTTTCACAAAAACACAAAATTGATATCAATATTTACCCCACGCTTTCTTGCGTAGGAATATATGTTTGATGCGTTATGAGAAAATTCAAATCTACAAAAACGACCAGCTCTGATTGGTCTACTTCAAGTCAGGTGACTCTAGACCGAGTGAAAATATTTATCGGGAATTTCCGTAATGTAATTATTTTAAAATAACGGGATATCCGACTGTGTACGGAAAGAAACGAACGTAAATAAACAAAAGGCGGTCGTTTAAATACGATAGATACAAGTTGGGCGGTAATACTTTCTCTGTTTTGATTATGTTTATGTTTATAGTTTGTGTCATATTCATTGGTCATTAATGAATGCATTATTTTGCCATATTTTTACCTATTTTTAATAACGATTGTCTACTTTCATTATAAAGACAATTCGATTCGTACTACGGAGGCCTCGAACCAATTTCATGCAGCTTATCACTAATTTCTTATTGTGTCATTTGGCGACCCGTAATTTGGGAATGAGTTGAATAAAATTATATAATGCGAGACTCTAGCCAGTAAAATATTATTTATTCAAAGCTCACTAGATAAGTTCAGAATGATTTTTTATGGTTATCACATCAACAACTTTATTATTTTATAGTTAAAAAGAATTTTGAAATGAAGATTGATTGTTAGCCCATATATAATTTACCTTAATATGGGATAGATAAATGATATATCAGTCACTACGAATTCAGACATTGATATGTATGCAGACGATTCAACATTACACATAGCTGACCAAAGTTTGAGTAATATACAGTCTGAGTTGCAAATAGACTTACTAAAAATACAAGAATGGTGCACTCTCAATAATATGGCCATAAATCCAGAAAAGACCATGTGCATGATAATTGGATCGAAATGTAAAATAAATAACATAGGCAATCTTTCTCTGCATATTGAGAATTCGAGTATAAATAATGTTCATTGTCAAAAGCTACTTGGATTGCATATTGATAACTGTCTATCTTGGAAAACACATATTGACAAAACATGTTCTAAGCTTGCTTCTAAAATATCTCTGCTGAAAAGAATTCAAATATTTCTTACACCTGAAATGAAACAATTATTTTATAACGCTTACATTGCCCCTACTTTTGATTATGGATGTATTATTTGGTCCCAATGTAACAAATCAGATCTAAATAGAATAACAAAATTACAAAAAAGAACCGCCAGAATTATTTTAAATAAACCCGAAAAAACAAATTCTCTTGATATGTTTTTTGATTATGGATGTATTATTTGGTCCCAATGTAACAAATCAGATCTAAATAGAATAACAAAATTACAAAAAAGAACCGCCAGAATTATTTTAAATAAACCCGTAAAAACAAATTCTCTTAATATGTTTCAAAATATGAAATATAAACCCGTAAAAACAAATTCTCTTAATATGTTTCAAAATATGAAATGGTTATCTTTTCCATCTAGATGTAAATACTTTTCTGGAATTACGGTATATAAAGCGATGAATGAATTAACGCCAGCATATATTTCTAATCTAATTCCGTTATCTCAAAATAAAACTTACTTACTATTAAAGATCAACACATATTAAAGATATTATGCATAAACGACCTAAAACAAATTATTTGAAACATACTTTGTATTATTCTAGTATGGAGTTATGGAGCACTATTCCTTTAAAAATAAGAAATCTTTCAAGTCTTAAATTGTTTAAATCACATTTCAAACATTTATTGTTATCTAGAGATGAATTATAGAAAATTTACCTATACTATAATATAATATTATGTCTGTCTTCTTTGTTGATTAAGATTTACTGAATGTTGTAATATGTCCGTTGTTATGTTTATGTTTTATTGAAGGCCTTGTTGAAAATAAGATTTTGCATTATATGTGTTGTATCTAATGCTTTGATGTATTGTCTTAATAAGTTACCTTCGTTAAATAAAGAGTTTATTATTTATTATTATTATAAAAGGAAAAGAAAGACAATTAACAGGCTGGTAAAAATGCATGACCGGGCTAATGACATAAAATCATAAAAATCTTATTTCTAGAAAAATAATGAACAAAACTGTAGTTGAGTAACCTAACATTATTCTTCCTGTGTATGTCATATATTAGGCTCAATAAACAAAGTTTAAAATAAATCTTTATTATTTTTCAAGAAATATGATTTTTATTGTCATAAGCCTGACCATGCATTTCCACCAAGCCTGATTAATTGAATATTATGAGAATTCAGAAAGGATCAAAAGCCTCTTAGCAAAGATTTCATTATAACAGGTAACACCTTATCAATATGAATAGTTACTTTTATTTTCCAGAAATACTAGAGGATCTTTTTAGAAAATTGTATGGTTTTAAAATGGTGGTGCCAAAAAGAAATTTGAAAGCTAGGTAAGCTACTATATAAATTTTTTCTGGTTACATATTCCTGTTACGCTCATATATATAATTTATCAGTACATGTAGATAATAAAATTTAACTTTTTTTTTTAATAAGTTTTTTTAATAAGGTCTTTTTAGGATTTAAATCTCAAATGAATTGAAGCAGACTATGATCTTTCCTGCTTAAAGGGACACGTTTAAAAATAATGTACTGGTTGGGGAGATAACTCTGACACTTGATAAATATAGTTGTTATAACTTTGCACAACAAACAAGCACATGGGCACCAAGTTGTAAAGGTAAGGACAGACTGTGATTAATGGTAAACTTTTAATGTGTGTTAAATGATATTGAAATTCACTTTTTGTTCACAATAATGCCCAGAAACGTTCTTTTTACTAAATTACAATAAGGAAGTAAGAATTGTCTTCGCTACAGACCATTGACTCTGGAAAACATTTTTGAAATATCAACAAAGATCAAACATATATAATGTAAAAATAAATGATTTTCTTGCTCTTTTTTAATTAAAAATTCTGGTGTTAACATTTTCTACTGTTGTGGGGTAAAAAGACCATGTTTTGGATACCTCAGTCAGGACCTTATAGAAGTACCAGTTTCTTTTTCCATAATTCTTGTAGTATGTTGAACTTTGTTTAGGTTATTATATTAGATATACAAAAAGATAATTAATCAATTGCAAAAAATATGTGATTTAGTTATCTCTCCAACCAGTATGATAAATAAACAAAAAAAAACGTTATACTCATCTAAGGCATTTAGAAATGATTCATTAAAATAATGAAGAAAAAAACAACAGTTTGTAAATTTTTTAACTTTCATATGGGGTTTTCAAAACCCAAACCCATGTCTATTAATAGCTCTATCTCTAATTAAGTGCTCATACACTTTCATGATTAACTGTTTAAAAACCAAAATATGAATTAATATCCACATACTTTTAATGAGAAATAACAAATCACACTTTTCATGTTTTTATGCTAAATCTCAAATAAATTTATCATAATGCTACAGTGATTTTTTTACAATTACATCATTGTGGGTCCTAGGATTTGCTGGGTCTATGAGTCCCAAAATTTTACCAACAGTTACAAGTTACCAAAAATATATTATGGGGCTTAAAGTTCCTATCAACAAGGTGTTCTTTTTAATAATATAATGATAAGAGCATATTAAGAAATTTCTCAATTTTAAACTCATAAAAATCTAGCACCTCTGGAAAAAATAAGATATTGATTGAAAATCATTGTTTAGAATCACTAAATTTTGACAAAGATTCTTTCTCTTTCTTTTTTTGTTAAGAAAAAAAAACAACAGTTCTTTTTTTTTATTTGACATAAATTATTAAATATGCATAAAAGACATTTTATTAGGAAATATTTATTATATTGTTAGATCAATCTATAGGATTTTTTTCTGTTTGTTTGTTTGTTCTTGGGTAGAGAATTTGAGATTATACATATTTCAATGATACAATTTAAATTAAATTTTACATATATTAATACAATGATTAAATAAAACATGTTAGTAAAAAGATAAACAAATATGAGTATAATTGTGAGGACATTATTTTTTCCAGATAATGGTTAACTTATAAAAGTTTAAAATAAACAAATGGATTTGAACAAAACAGAGTTTACTATTTTTTAATGAAAAATTACCTTTATCAATAAGTTATTCAGGTAGTCCACTTTAGCTGATGAATTCCTCTCTGTTCTTTTATTTCTTATATTAATATTATAATTCTAATATATAACATCAATTTGTAACAGAATCTGGTACTTTATGCCACTACTAATAACATAGATATGGTTAAATGACACAACTGTTTAAAATATATATCACTAATTTAACTCACTCACTTCACACATGATTAACCATTATCACAGTTGGTTGCTAACTGTTAATTGTCAATATGGAATTTAGGACTCAATTATTATCAAAGATAATTGTCACAGTTGATTTGGACAATCTGAGTTAATCAGGAGGCCAGATGTCAGGCCTGATTGATTTATGACCTTTCAAAATGTGATAAAAAATAAACAGCTGTCACACAGAAATACTGAGGATATTTACCAAAGCAAGTTAACTGATTGAATCAATTGATAAGATGAACTTGTAAAATCAAATTTAAAATCTGTAAATAAGATAAGAAAAACAATAAAACTTATCATTTAAAGATCTGAAAATTTCACAACCTTTTTTAATGTTAATGACTATTTCTTCCTTTTTTTCATTTGAGTCAATGACTTCTTCCCAAAGTAATTCACATGTTATCAAGACAGTAAAAATAGTAACCATTGAAAATAGTGATCATTGTGCACAATTGTTTTAGAAAAGAAATAATATACAACTTTTTTTTGTTGAATTTTTATTATTTGACATTCAACAAATAGTTTTGTTTATTTAGATCAGCTGTTACTTCTAGAAAGAGTTCCCTAGACTCACCAGTGTGGACATCTGCAAAAGAAGTATTTAAGTCACCCAGTTCTCCATCACCAGTACGCAGAGTAACTCGAAGGTAAGTTGATAAGTAAAGATTGGTTAATATTAGTTTTTTTTAAAGATTATTATCATTTAACATTGTTAATGTAATCACTACTGAATGATCGGCCTGGCACCATCAGACTTGCCAAGTAGGCAGGACTTTTATATCAAAGTGATGTCTCTGCTTCTCCAGGTTGTTCATTATAGCTTTTATTTTCACTGCTGAAAGGTTTATAGCAAGGGATGAAACTTGTAATATCTCCCATATTTTCCTTAGTACAGTAAGATCCATTTATCAGAAAGTATCAAAGCTTTACAGACTTATTCACTAATAAGATGTGATTCCATTTCTAAAGGGAAAATAATCCTCAAATGAATTTTTGCAATGTTCATAATGTCCCTTTTTTACTTAGATGTGCCAGAGTTAAAACTTTTGTTAAATTTTTATTTTGCAACTTTAGACTAATATTAATCTTACACCATAGTATTCACCTCAAACTTTGTGTTCTTGTTCACTATGAAAATTGAAATGCATTTCAAAAGGACAGGTTACCTAAAAAATAATAATTTTCTCAGTTATACCTTCTGGACTTAAAATTTCTTGCTTATCCTTTTGATTATAATGGGACATTGTTCAAGATAATGCTATTTTTTGCAAACCTAAAGCCAATAATATGGGAACTTCCGTGTCTTACAGAGTTACAATAAACTGTTAATGTTTGAAAACACGAGGGTGGTCCTTGAAATGGCCAATCCAATGTGCTTTCTCTTTATACCTAATGAAATGTTTTCATTACATTTAAAAATGGTATGATTATGTTGTTTACATAATCTTATGAGTTGTATAGTAAAATGTCTCAGTTATTTCATAATAATACTCGTGAAAAATATGCGTAAACAGAATGAAATGTTTCAGAATAAAATATTATGCTACTATTATCAGTAGGTTTTGAACTATATAGATTTGTGTATGCAAAAGGACATAATATACCAATATATTTATTTCATACAGGCTTTTTGAAACTATTCTTTTCAAAATAAAAACAAAGTATGTTAACTGCAGGCAGCAGAGATAGACTAGACTTAATACACTAAAAGATTTTTATTTCATTTGTGTTCTGGTCCAAAACTTAACTGCTGTCAAGGGTCATAATTATCTGCTAATATCATTTTCATATTATTTTCAGGACTTCAGTATACCAGAGTAAAGCATCAAGCTCAGACAGCTTTAAGATGCCTCTTCCAAAAATGGTATTATCACCACCTGGAGTGAAAACACGTGCTAGACGTTCATCAATCTACCAGAAGGGAGGTGGAAAGCTTATATCTCCTAAGAATACCCGTGCCCGTAGAGCTTCTATGTATATATCTTCAAAAACTAAACAGGAACCTACCACTGTTTTCTCCAAAGTATGGGCTACCCCAATCAGACAACCAGAGACAGTTGTTGAGAATTCACCAGAAAAACCAGTAGTGAAGGAAAAAGCTGACACAAATAAGACGCCAAAATCTGTTAATAAATCAAATACAACTGAAAATAGAAATAATTCATCACAGAAATCCCCTACTCCAAAGAAAATTAGCAAAACTCCAAAGGTGGTCCAACCTGTCAATGAGAAGAAAGAAAATGAATCTTCAAAACAATTCAACAAGACCCCAAAGCGCTCACCAACCAAGGCTAGCCCAAAGCAACAAACAAAATCTGTCAGTAAATCAACAAAGAAATCTCCAAATACAAAACGCGGAAAGAATACATCACCAGTTCAAAAAAAGGCATCAATGATTAAGCAAGGAATTGTTACATCAACTCCAACCAAGTCTCTGGAGCAAATAACTGGCAAGTCATTTTATGCCACACCTGGAGAAACACCAATCCAATCTCAAAGAACAGATGACATTTTCGTGTTTTCAGCAAAGCCTGTTAAATCTGCGAAAAAGTCATTGAAGAAGTCTGTTCAGATAACACCAGTAGAGACACCAAAGAAGTCTGCTAAAACACCCAAACGAATGCCTACCCGTAACACACCAGCTGTTAAACGATCCAGACTGAATGATTCAGCAGATTCAGATGCCAGTTTGAGGGATAGCCCTCCTGCAAAGAGAGTAAAAGCTACTCCAAGAACATTAAAATCTGTAAAAAGATCTGTTAAAAAAGTCACATCTGTAGATGACAAGGTGATGATGGTAAAGGAAAAGCCGAAACTTTCCCCTGTCCAAATGTCATCAGTTTTGAAATCTGTTACTGAGACAGAGAAGAGGAAAGCTTTAGATTCTCCTTCTCCAAGACCTACAAAGAGAGCGAAGGTAGATGCTGCAGATCAACAAACTCCAAGAGTTTTCAAAACAGTAAAGAGAAGTTCACCGAAGAATCTAGCGGAAGTTGTTTCCATCAGTCAAAATACAAATAACAATGGTGAAGAGGCTGGAAACACATCTTTGCTTAATGATACCATAAATAGTGACAGCAGGGGTGGGCGATGTATCATCTTATAAAGCAGACTTCAATAGTGGTGTAAATATTTCTTTATAATCTACTGTAATTTAACAATGACTGTACTGTACTTAAGTTTTACGAGTCACACCAAAATACATTTGTATCCAGACTAATTCATGCTTGTTTTCTGCAAAATTTTAAGAAATTGTCTTGACCTATATACATTTATCTTATTTATTCATAATTTTAGAGAGTAGTCAATTTTCTTAAATTTTTGTACTGCATGTATTACCCAAGTTTAAAATGTATCAATACTGGGATTGTTATTCTTTGGGAAATGCTATCTGGAGACAGCAGGCAAATGTTATTGCATTTTGACCTTCAATTTAATTTGTTTTGGCAGCTAGTTGTTTGATTTAATAGTATGTATTTCAATTAAGAGCTTATGGTATGAGATTATTTCATCACATATTTCCTTCATACTAATTAATTTACTCACTGAATGCTAGTGTCTATGTAACCTGTATGGACCCAGGAACGGTTCAATGGGACAAGACTTTAGTAGTACTGAACTCAATTTTTCATTTTTTGTTTGATCATGTCGATGTTTAAATGCCATGTGCAAACAATGGATAATACAAGCAGACCTAGTAGTAATAATGATAACATAGATTTCGTGAAAATTATCACCAATATAGCAATACAATACAAGCACTGAGAACATTGATATTTTTGTAGCTACGATTTATTTTGGGGACATTCTTGTTGAAAGAGAAGTATGAAATTACATTTGTTTTAGTATTTTAATTTCTTTTTCATCAAAATTTGTTACCAGGTAAATTGATTTGCAAGATACTCCCTTGTCTTGTTAGCACTTGCATAACTACTGAAATTGTTGAATTTGCTTCTGTTCATTGTTAATCTTGGGGAATTCAATACTTATATTAGCATTTGGCTGTCTATAGCTTTATAGTCTAGACATAACAGGTCTGGAGGGGCGTTCGTGTCCGACTGTTAAGATCTTTGACTTAAAACCACTTGTCCCTTACTACTGTGGGTTTGAATCGTGACAGGGACTTTGGATTATTTCATGTGAGGAAGCTATCTAGTGAGCTACGGAATGTCAGTGGTTCTACTCAGGTGCCTGTTTGTGCCTGAAATAATGCACGGAAGTTGACCTGAGGTTTTCTTCCACCAGTAAAGCTGGATATTCGCCGTATGACCTACACTGTGTTGGTTCAACATAAAACCCAACAAAAAATTGCAAGATTCAAAGCTGTTTGCAATACTTGCACCTTAGATGGTAATTATATCAGACATCTTCATGAAATTTGTCTTTTACAAATGGCCAGTGCACTTTTTATCAAGGACTATCAAGTTCATATTTTAACAAATTCATGTATATAAAAAAAACTGCCATATCTTGGTTATTTTATAACAATAGTAATGATAGATGTTATATGCTGTGTAATGTATGGTGTGTTTTTGTTATAGTTTGTTTTGTATTTGTTTTTATCACATATATTAGTGCCATTTATAAGAGTTAAAAGAACAGTTTAAAAAAAAAGTCTTGACATATAAGTCAAATTTTCATGGCTTGTGTCACTATGGCAAAGAAGCCAGGGTTGTTGTCAGATAGGAAGCTGTACTATTTATATAAGTGAAGACTTACATTAATAATTATTTATTGTTTCCATCTTAAGCTTCATTTCATAAACACTGTCATAATTTGCTCAAAGTGTTTATTTCATAAAGATAATGTTTTTCATAAACTTATTTTTGTGGTCTGATGTTGGTAATGCATACTACACTAAAAACTCTATATTGAATTTGTTAAAGCTTTCAATATTCATTCTGTTGTAAGACTTATTTATAATGTACTCATCAATTTTTTTGTTACTTCATTATAAATTCATTTTATTTCATGAAATATACGAAATGATAAAATATTGTAGATAATGGCAGCTTATAAGATTGATAAAAATGGCAAAATGTTATTTTACTTTTTTTTTAATGTTTTAAATGAAAAGATCTCCGGTCAAGGAATATGCACATAATTATTGGCAATAAATTTTACATTTCCCTATTATTTTTCTTTTAACATAGGGAGTATGCCTTTTTCATAGTGCCTTAATGAAATGACTTACATCTTAGAGTAGATAATTTACGTGTGTGAATGGGTTTTATTTAGGTCAACAAAATGAAACTGAAAATAGATATTTTTTTTTAAAAAGAAGAAGCATCTATTTGTGTAAAAATGTTTCTTGTTAGAGAGTTAATTTTAGATACAAGAACATTAGCATTATGAATAGACTGGCTATAATACCACTATAGTATTTCTTATTTTATCTATTCTAATATGGATTGGAACTGTTTTATTTAGGTTTATTATGTAACTAGTAAACTGATTCTTATATTTGACCTTTTTTTAGAGTTCACAAAATTATAGAATTTAATGTTTTCTTTCTGAGACCACAGAGAATCTCAGACAAAGTGTTTTTAATATATTTGAGTATTGTAAATTTACTTCTTATTTTAATTTTTTTTGTTGCTGTATATGTTTATTTAATCACAGTTTTTCACTAAGTATAATATGCCTCTTGTGTTTAAGATATAGCTTGATGTGTTTAATGTTACTCATTCTGGTTAAGATGGAAATATTCTCTTGAAATGTTAAGTTCACTATGTTTTCTATAAATTGCTTATTATCAATGAAAATAGTAAAAACTAATCTATGTCTGTTGAATATAGTGATTACACCTTACAGAATATTATTGTTTCCTCTTCATTTTAGAAATGTTTTGATTGATTGTACCTGTCTGTTTATTATGTAGATAATTTTTGAGAGAGAAAATAACTTGACATTTGGTTTGCACAACTATTTGAACTTTTATGAGGAAAGAAAAATATTCCAGTTGGTTGATTGAGTAGCCTTATACATGAGTTTTTCGTAGCATTCTTTAAGTTAAAAACTACCAAATAAAGTTTGTAAAGACAAGCTAATAACATAGATAATAAGACATATCTCTGAAATAAAATTATTAAGAGGCTGTTTTGTATTTTGTCTTTTCTTGAAAATTGTTTGCAATGAATATTAACAAAAATTTCCTTGGGCCACAGGAGTTATTTATCGTTTACTATGCTAAGAAAAATATTAAATTGAAAGGAATTATGGCAAAATGAAAACTTATTTTGACTCTCACCTGTTCACCTACTATATACTAGTACCCTTGAATGGGCTTAATGTGGTAATATCTTTAAATCAAACCAATTATGAATTGGTATGACTAACTTAATATGTTTTTTTAATGCATTACATGATTGTGTACTATTTAGTTTCTTATTTAGTTCACATTTCTATGGCATGTGAGTGTCTTGAATTTTAAAAGAGCACTTTGATACATGATTCATCCTTGCATAAGAAATTATTACTCTTTCAGCTTTTTAGCTGAAGCGACAAGGTGAGCTTTTGTGAGTTTTTGTGAGCGTCTGTTGTCTGTTAACTTTTACTTTAAACGACATCTCCTCATTAACCACTAAGCAAATCTCATCCAAACTTCACAGGAATGTTCCTTTGGTGGTCACCTTTAAAAATTGTTCAAAGAATTTAATTCCATGCAGAACTCTGGTTGCCAAGGAAAGGAAAAAACTTAAAAAATCTTCTTTTAAAAAACCCAAAGAGCTAAAGCTTAGATTTTTGGCATCAAATATAAGCCATGGGGTCAAAATTGGCCCTGCCCGTGGGGAGGGGAGGGGGTCATTAATTTTCCTTATATTTATATAGTAAAAACTGAAAAAAATTATCTCTTAAAAAGCCATAAGAGCTAGAGCTGAGATATTAAGCATGAAATATCTCAAATAAAAGCCCTGGGGTCAAAATTTGGGGGGTTATTGTCCCCCGCCTTTTCGAAGAAAAAAGGGGGATATAGAAATAGGCTCCGTCCGTCTGTCCGTCCGTCCGTCACACTTTCATGTCCGGTCCATAACTTTGTCATTTATGAAAGGAATTTGAAATAACTTGGCACAAATGTTTGTTATAATAAGCCGATGTGTCATGCGCAACAACCAGACCCTTACCTTCAGGGTCAAGGTCGTACTTGCTCATTCAAGGTTAACATTGTCTATTTGAGGGTATATGTCGTGTCCGGTCCATAACTTTCTTATCTATGAAGGGATTTTGTAAATACTTGCCATAATTGTTCACAATAATCAGACGATGTGTCATGCGCAAAAACCAGTCACCTACCTTCAAGGTCAAGGTCACACTTGGAGGTCAAATATTAACATAGTCTGTTACAGGGTATATTTCGTGTCCGGTCCATAACTTTGTCATTTATCAAGGGAATTTGAGATAACTTGGCACAAATGTTTGTTATAATAAGACGATGTGTCATGTGCAACAAACAGACCCGTACCTTCAGGGTCAAGGTCGTACTTGCTCATTCAAGGTCAACATTGTCTATTTGAGGGTATATGTCGTGTCCGGTCCATAACTTTCTTATCTATGAAGGGATTTTGTAAATACTTGCCATAATTGTTCACAATAATCAGATGATGTGTCATGCGCAAAAACCGGTCACCTACCTTCAAGGTCAAGGTCACACTGGGAGGTCAATACTTACATAGTCTGTTACAGGGTATATTTTTTGTCCGGTCTAAAACTTTTTCATAGATCAAAGGATTTTGAAAATACTTTGCACAAATAGTCACTTTAATAAGAGGATGTGTCATGCGCAACACCTGCATCCCTACCTTCAAGGTCAAGGTCACACTTAGAGGTCAAAAATTAACATAGTCTGTTATAGGGTATATTTTGTGTCGAATCTAGAACTTCTTCATAGTTCAAGGGATTTTGAAATAACTTTGCACAAATAGTCACAATAATAAGCCGATATGTCAGGTACAACACCTGCACCCCTACCTCTTAAGGTCAAGGTCACACTTAGAGGTCAAAGGTTAACAGAGTCTGTTATTTGGTATATTTTTTGTCCCATCCATTACTTCTTCATAGATTAAGGGATTTTGAAAATACTTGGCACAAATAGTCACAATGATTAGATGATATGTCATGCGTAACATCTGTGTCCCTACCTCCAAGGTCAAGGTCACACTTAGAGGCCAAAGATTTACATAGTCTGTTATAGGGTATATTTTGTGTCCAATCTATAACTTCTTCATAGTTCAAGGGATTTTGAAAATACTTGGCACAAAAAGTCTCAATAATAAGACGTTATGTCATGCACCTGCTCCCCTACCTCCAAGGTCAAGGTCACACTTAGAGGTCAAAGCTTAACATGATAGATTTTTAAATTCCGTGTTTCATTTTATTTTTTTAACAAATTTATTGTTACATTTGCAGATCTAGCATTGATCATAATTTTGGACTGAATGTCCTGAGATCCATTAACCTCAATCTTTTGGAATAGCACAATTTTATGCTTCATATAAAACTCCCGGGGCGGGGGACGTTGGTAACTCTGTTACAAATTCTTGTTGATGTTACTTATATGTATAAAGTAAAAATTTAAATATCTTCTTTAAAAAAAACCCAAAGACTTAGAGCTTTGATATTTGGCATGAAACATCTTCTAGTGACTGTGGGTGTCTACCAAGTTTGTTCAAATAAATGCCCTGGGGTCAAAATTGGCCAGTCCTTGGGGGTCATTAAATTTCCTTATATGTTTATAGTAAAAACTTAAAAAATCTTCTTTTAAAACACCCAAAGAGCAAGAGCTTAGATACATTAACATCTTCTAGTGGGTGTCTACCAAGTTTGTTCAAATAAAAGGCATGTGGTCAATATTATTCTTGTTCATGGAGGGGGTCAATATTATTCTTGTTCATAGAAAGTTTTTATTTAGGTGAGCGATTTCAGGGCCATCATGGCCTTCTTGTTTTAAACTGGAATTCTGATATAATAATGTTATACAGCATATTTCTCCAAACTTCTGTCCTCTAAATTTTATTGACATGGAGACCACTCTGAGACTGGCCTGAAGGATACTAACATCTGCTCACTTCAATGTGAGAATCAGAATTTATTATTATAAATTAGTATTTTAGACCTTTGTTTGATGATTGCCTGAGTCAAATTAAATGTAGTATTGTGATGCCTGTCTCAAGTCTTTAACAAGTTTGCAACATTGGGAACATATCTTGAGTGTAGATATAATTAAGGAATAATATATCCCAAACAGTTATTTTATCGCTGAATAAATATCATTTTTTGGAATTTGGATGCAAGGAATTATATCACGAGGGCGTAGCCTAAGTGATATAATGATGTGCATCCAAACGACAAACAGTGATTTTATAAAATGATAAAGGAATTATATCAAGAGGGCGTAGCCCGAGTGATATAAAGATGTGCATCCAAACTATTCAAGCGATAAAATCACCGACTTGGATATATTATTTTGATTCTATCGCGACATAAACAAATCAATGCTGCTGTACCTGATATTAAGCTAAACTGCGCCTGACTTGTTTCCGTACTTATTTTCAGCGCATCGAATTTTTAGTGGTTACGTCACATGTATAATGATTACGTCACATATCTAAATATAGAATGTCAACAGTGATTTTATTGTATACTTTTCACACACTATGTTCTTCTATGTTCAATAGGGAAAAATGCTTGTCGTGTTACAATACTAAATATTGAACAAGTTGAATAAAATCATTTCAATATCAAAAACAGTTTATATATGAACAGTCATTTTCATTGATGCGACTGTATACAGGAAAGTTAACAATAGCTCTCACACGGTTTGATTTATGTAAATGACATTACGTCACTACACTCCTGTAATATCATTTTTGGCTTTTGAAGAAAAGTCAAGCTATAATGATCACTGTATGTGGCGTCATAGTCGTTGTTGTTGTTGTGCAAAAACTTTGTCTTGGCCCATTCCTCAAACAATTTAACATGTGAGGAAGATTATCCAGCTAGCTTACGGAACATCAGTGGTTCTACTCAGGTGCCCATCCGTGCCTGAAATACTGCACGGAAGGGCACCTGAGTTCTTCCTCCACAAGTAAAGCTGGAACGTTGCCAAATGACCTATACTGTGTCGGTGTGACGTAAAACCCAATCAAACAAACAAACAATTTAAATGTATCAATATGAAACTTGGAATGCTTACTTATCATGACAAGACTTAAAATTGCAGTTGAAAGACAAGGGGCATTATTATGAAAGTTATGTCCCTTTTTAATTTAGAATTTTTGTCAAAATTGCCTATTTAGCAGAATAATTTTAAATTAAGAAAAGATGTTTAACATGAAACATGGTATAATTATTAATCTTGAGTTAACCTGAAAGGTTTGTTCCGTATTTGGAGTTATACCCCTTTTTATTTGACTTTTTTTCAAAATTGCTTATTAAGTTGAATGATTTCCAAATTGTGAAAGATATCAATGTGAAACTTGCACCACTTGATGATCATAATAAGGTGCAATTGAACTTGTAAAACAAGGGGCATTATCCTGAAAGCAATACATTAAGATACATTAAGAGTCATATTACCCTTTTTACATTCAAATTTTGTCAAAATCTATTTAGTAGAATGATTTCAAGAAAAATGAAAGATATAAACATGAATATGATTATCTGAATACAAGTATGTTACGGCAAGTCACAGTAATGTTGAAAGTCATTGGGCATTATTTTTAAAGCAGCATGCCTCCAGATGACCCAAAATATTTCAAGAAAATAAAACTTTGAAAAACCATACTAAAACTTTGAGAAAAGTAAACAAATTAAAGATTTAAGTAATAATTTATATCTTATGTGCAATTTAAAAATGACTGTATTTTGTAGTATTTATCACCATATTTCTACTGCTTACTAACGCAGTAGAGGCAACTGGTATTTATGCATATTTTGACCTCTTTTTGGTAATTTACGTGGATTTTAAGTGCTGATTGTAATGTGTCAAGTACTTTCTTTGTTCATTTCACAATATTTTACCTTTAAATACATTTTCAAAATTTTCATGAAAATTAGGATGAATCTGGAGGCGTGCTGCTTTAAAGCTACATATTTAGAGTTATGTCCCTTTTTAGCTTAGAATATTTTTTTTAGAACTACTTATTATTAGTTGAATGATTTCATTTCTTTTAAAACAATAAACTTGAAACTTGTTATGCTTGAGTATTATGACAAGGCACAGTTGTGAGACAAGGGACATTATCCTGAAAAACAATACATTTAGAAGTTATTCCCCTTTAAAAGTTATGATATTTAATAAAATTGGTTATTGATAGAGATAATTCTTACATGGCTTTATCATGTTAAAGCATGCTGATATTAGCTTTACACTATCGACGCATCAATGCAAAAAAAATGACTCTTTTTAACAGTTTACCGTTCTTATTTTGTATATGTGATAAAAAGAATATTGTATTTGTGTAGATTCAATACTAAATTGAGTATTAAACCTACACTCATTCAATATCCTCTATTTATCATATAAAACGCAGCGTAGGAGTGTAATTAAGCCATTTAATAAAAACGATATTATACTAGTGTAGTGACATCATTTGCGCTATATATAAACATAATGTTAAAGCTCTCTTAAGCGTGACACTATAGGCGTGTCAATGAAAAATTACTCTTTTTACAGCTTTCAGTTCTAATTCTACATGACTTGTATATATAATGTAATATATAAAATATTATATTCGTGTAGATTCAATACTAAATTTATTGAACTTGTTGAATAAAACAATATTATGCTCGCTAGAGGGTCGCAAAATATGATTTTATTCAACTTGTTCAATAATTTAGTATCAAACCCACACTCATTCAATATTTATTACACTCCTGCACCACTGTGTTGATCAAGAATAGAAGGCTGTTGCTAAAAAATAGTTATTAATTTAATTTAAAACTATTTACATCTATGACTGATTGAGATCAAACGACCAAATTGTTTTCAAATAGCGAGCAAAATCAGTTCCCTAAATAGTGATTTGATATATTTATTTTTTTTTTGGCGGGGGGGATGAACTATACTACAGAACCGCATATTCTTTATTCTTATCCGCTTGGTAAACTTTTCCTAACATCCGGGCAATACGATATGGAAAATGGCGGCCGCTTGTAACGTTGTCCAACGTAATATTTTCCTTTAACTTTTGACAATAATTTTGCTCTTTATATAAAATGAAAATGAGATACAGAGGAGTTGAGAAATAATCTTCAAACTTGTGGATGTTTTCTGTCATTTTCTTTTGAATTATCATTTGTAATTGTCTTTGAATTGAGTGGCTTTGGCCCACCATATCCACGAATCTAAATATTTTTTAAACAACTTTCGGTTTTGGTTAGTATGCCAAGTCCATAAGAGAGAATAGAATTGAATGGAAATGGCCTAAGAGAGCTCGATACACTCTTATACAAATGATTTAAATGAAAGATGTCATAGAAATAAAAAGTCTAGTAAAGCAGAGTAAATGTGGAAGATACAGTAGTAGCCTGGAACCCCGTTGTATCGATCTATTAACCTATAAATCACAACTGCAGTTAAAAAACATTAAATTTCCCTGAATCTTTATTTTGTATCATTTATTTTGATTCTTTTGTCAAAAATATTACATGGCAAACACCACTGATATATAGTTTTAGCTTTGAAATAAACGGTTATTTACAGACATGTCAAACAGGTTGAAGAATTAGGTCACGCCATTATATCGATGCATTGTGAGAATCGCTCAGTTAATCTAAGTTTTGGAAGGCTGACGCATCTTTATGCTATATTTTTCAGTCAATTGGAATAAAATGTCAGCATAAAAAATTTAGGAACTTTCAAAAGACAGTAAATGTGTTTTTAATAAGAGCACACTATTTATAAGTCCATTTATTATATACAAAGTCTGACGGTACTGGAAACCTGTTTTTGGCCGTTTTTATGGCACAAAACAAATGCAAAAGATTTTCGTGACACTTTTGTAAATGTTAGCAATCAGTAGCTAGTTCATTTTGCAAAAAATCGAAAGATTTGTAAATAGATCGATACAATGAATAGCACGATACAATGGGGTTCCACTATATGTTCACCAACGCTGAATTCGCTAAAAAACAGACTCGATAAGGTTATGAAATACAAATTATATACTGTTATACCGGATAATAATTATTGGGTGTCAGACCTCGAGGGGGTTATAAGAGATTTCTGATCTCGCGACCCTACGCTGGATAAAGTAAAGTAAAGAAGGTTCACAACCACAGACACTCGGGTGATCAGACGCAGCACCCGGCATGCAGTGTTGCATCTAGAATTTCAAAATTATGGGGGATTGTCCCCCACTCAATTGAAAAATATGGGGGATTTGATAAAGATGTGGGGGACATACATTGACCTTACAATATGACATACCGAATAGAGTTAATTTATTTTACATTCAGGCATTTTTGACAGCTATCGTCCGCTCAAAAACGGAAGTAGAAAAAATAAAATATTGACTAATCGAGATGACTTAGTCGGCTGCTACACGCGATTTAGTACGTATTTAGTAGTCAAAACATGGCTGAACGTTTAAGATAAGAAAAAATAAAATTAAAAAGAAAAATGCGGGCCCTGACGCCCTAAAAAGCCGAACAAAACGTCTGGGGGGGGGGGGGGGGGGGGGGGGGGGGGGGGGGGGGGGGGGGGGGGGGGGGGGGGGGGGGGGGGGGGGGGGGGGGGGGGGGGGGGGGGGGGGGGGGTAGTCATACACAACGAGTGAACAACAAACCATGGCTGAAGCGTTTAAGATACGATGAAGATAAACTGAATTAAGTTGAAAAGATTGTCAGATGCGCGACTTGGCATGCACTGACTTCAATAAAATGCGCGATCTGCATAAAAAATGTGCAAATCGCGCTACCTTGATGCAACACTGGGCGTGACTTGTACCTGTCAACTGCCAATAAAAAGTTTTTAACATTTAAACACAGATGGGGCAGCCATCTGGATATCATAGATTTGTTAATAACCATCAACTGACAAAAAAAAACCCAGTTACCATCATGTTTCGATATAGCCAAACAAATTGTGCGCCAAGGTTTTTAATATGAAATTAGGCAAAGCCTATAAACGGGGAAGTCAGTAAAAATTCTTTCATTTTTCCGTTTTAAATGTGTCATTCGATATTATATGTACCCGCTTTCAGTTTCACTTGAACACTCGACGATTATTTGTAATCTGAAAAGATGAGATTTGTTCCGTTATCGGAATACACCGCCTTTTATCATTGAGTTACATTGTAAATGGCGGCGCCTAACTAGAACTGACACTGAAAATTTCATTGATAGGTATAGAATTCTATAATATATTTTTTAATTGTTTTTTTTTTTTTTTTTTTTGACTTCCTTTTAAATTATACACGTGTAGTCTATAGCCGGGCAAGCCAAAGCCCAGCAGGCCCGGACTTTGACTTTCCTGTATTATCTATACCTTGGTAGCTAGTTACAATAAAGTAAAAATTACAGACTTTGAAAGGCACTCTTGTCCAATTCTTGTACTGCTAATTCACTTATACGGAAAAAGGCTGGGACCTCGAAGCGTGCCCAGGCTTTGTCTTCAACCTTGCCCGGCTATAGCCTAATTAGCCCGGTTACAGACTAGACATGTATTTTTAAAAGAAAACCGAATAAATAAACAATTAAAAAATATATAGAATTCTATCTATGAAATTTTCAGTCAGATCTAGTTGGACACTGCCATTTTCAATGTAACTCAATGATAATAGGCAGGTTATTCCGATAACAAACAATCGCAACTTTTCGGATTAATAATAATTGTCGATTATTCTGAGTGAAAACAGATGCGTAGACTGGTCCCCTGCCCACTTCTAATAAATATGGGCAGCCATCTTGGATGGGAACCATAATAGACAGGGAACCAGATTGAATAGAAGAGGTGCATAAAATACCAAATGACACCTTTAAAATGGAAAAATGAACTTTTATTTTTTAACTGACTTCCCCATTGGCTTTGCTTAATTTCATATTAATCGTGGGCTTGAAATTTCGTGATTTGATAAAAATGGCATTTTTGTGGGGATTAAATTTGTGGATTTTCAATTTTTTGTAAAAAAAATAGATAAATGAATAACTTAATGCCAAGTAATCTTTGGCATGAAACATCTTCTAGTGAGTGTCTACCAAGTTTGTACAAAGAAAAGCCCTGGGGGTAAAAATTGGCCCTGTCCCAGGGGGTCATTGATTTTCCTTATATGTATATATTAAAAACTTAAAAAATCTTTTAGAAAACTCAAATAGCTAGAGGTTAGATATTAAGCATGAAACATCATCTAGTGAGTATATTCCAAATTGTTCAAATTAAAGCCCTGGGGTCAAAATTGGCCCAGCCCCAGGGGTCATTGATTTTCTTAATATGTATATAGTAAAAACTAATAAAATCTTCTTTTAAAAACCCAAATAGCTAGAGCTAATATATAAGGCATGAATCATCTTCTAGTGAGTGTCTACCATGTTCTAATAAAAGCCAAGGGGTCAAAATTTGCCCCGTTCAGGAGGGTCATTGATTTTCCTTATATGTATATATTAAAAACTTTAAAAAAAACTTTTCTTTTTTTTTTAAATCCCCAAACAGCTAGAGCTTATATATTAAGCATGAAATATTTTCTAATAGGTGTCTGCCAAGTTTGTTTAAATAAATGTGTCAAGAATGTTTGTTATACATAGAATAGAGAGAGACATTGTAAGAAGAATTTGTTTTGGATCTTTAATTCATGAATTGACCTAGTACCCATGAAACCTCGAAAATTCATGCCCCACAAATAATAATGATATCTTGATGTCAATTTGACAGCTGATCGATAAGCGTGTTTGGCAGTTTGAAATGGTACAATCTTTTGAAACTATACTTCCTGCCTATATAATTGTTGGCGGATTGCATTGTAAATAAGGCATTGCATATTTATGTTTTGATAAACTGAAGTTTCTTCATATTTATTTATAGTCATGAATCTTTCATTAATTTGATAGCAATCTAACTGAATTTGTACAAAATTATTTCTCTAACCAATAAAATAATAAAATATACATGTATGTCTTATAGAAACAGAAGAATCTGGGGAGGTGAATGCTGAGTTGTTGGAAGCGCATATTGTGGCTCAAGCAATAACAGAACTACAAGAAATACAGGCACCAGCAACACAGGTAACACAAAGGGAAATTTAATGATAATTAGCAAAGTAACAGAAGTATGGTGATGTTTAAATCAATTCTAAAATTTAATGTGACTGCATGTAAGCAATGACTTGTTTTTAAAAATCATATCTTTTCCATTATTGAAAAGGTGCACATTTTGTCCTTTAAAAAGGTACTAAACTCATATTTTCATTCATGGAAGCATCAGTAAATAATAAACAGTTGTTATTGAAACATGTGCAAAATGTTTGCTCAACTTTGATTTTGTTGCATAATACTTTATTCTGTTTTCATATATAATTCATGTGAGTTTAATTACAAATATCTCCAAATATCTCTATAAGAAAATGAAAACATGCAGTATGATATTTCACCAGTTATATCAGCCATTAAACAGACGAACGTTCTCTAAAAATTATATAAGAAAAAAATAACATTTACTGTTTTAAGAAAAAATTAAGAAAAAAATAACATTTACTGTTTTAGCAATAAAAGTTATTTCATGTTTGTATGTGAGACATGAAATGAATGATTAAAGTTGTTCTATAATGTTTTCTCAAAATGCCTTTCAAGCACTAAAAGTCACAAGTTCCTTGGTTTGAATGATGTTCTGCTATAGTTTTTTTTCTGTTCTAGACCTTGGTAACAGAGGGTGATGATGAAGGGTTGACAGGTGAAGTGGAAGGTGATATACAGGGTGTACCAGGACAAACTCATGTCATCTATTACATTGAAGATGGTGCTATATCGAGGTACTTATATAAATTACAATACAAAAGTAAAATTTTATAAGTTATAATGATTGAAGATTTAAAAGATTATTATTGTAAAGTAATTGACTTAAAATTGCCTTAAAACTGAGGATAAATAGGACAATTTTAAGGAAGCTGGGTATTAGGATGAATTGGATAAATCTAAGATTGCCCAATTTGGATAACTGGGTATTGGGATATATAGGCTAATTCTAAGATAGTTAGCTAGATAGTGTGGGATATAAGGGGAATGTTTGAATGGTGTAATTGTCAGATAAATATCTGTATAAAGTTGTACATTTGGTTCACTGCAACATTTGAACACCACTTCTAATATAAATAAGTTAAAATTTAATGCACTGTGTATGTTTTTATTTTTAGGACAGAGGATCGAACTTTGGTTGACTCCTCTGTGCAAGCAAATGATTATGAAATTGAAAGGAGATCTGGCAAATTGCCAGCTAGGAAGAGGGTTATACCATTCAAGTTCAGGTAAGATTTAGCATTACTGTTTCAGCATTGGACATATATTAATTGTATTACTGTGGTATACTTAGACATTTATTATTTTGTAGTTCAATATGTGATAATCAAATCAGTACAGGCAGACCATGATAGTCAGTCATCCATGTTGTTGAAAGATAAATAATATTTTCAGAGATACATGTGAATCAAACAAAGTATTCTTGTTGTAATTCTTACTTGCATTATTTGTATTTGACATAATCTACTGAATTCGCATTATTATAACTGGTCATATATCCTGTGAAAAAATCTATATTGTTGACAATAAGTATTTTGTTATTCAGAGATTACAAGAACAACTCCAATGATGAGGACAGTGACTCTGATTATGATCCTCATGAATACTTGAGTAGTCGTCCTGCAAAAAAAGCCAAGGTATCAAAGTCAGAAACACCTATGTCTGGAGAAAGGAGTACAAAGACTAATGTAGATGGGATAAGAAGAGGTAACAAATCTTATCTATGTCAAGTATTTTATTCATGAGGTAAATGCTTGGAAAATGAGTAATGTCATTTAACAGTGACCTGATACTAGAATTTTCACTTTTCTTTTGTCGCTTTAATAAAAAATGGTTATTTTTTAAATTCATATGAAGAAAATAAGTTAAATTTGAAGTCTTTGGCTGGTTCTTAATTTTATGTAATATATAATTTTTTATTTGTAATGTTAGCAGTGGGGCGTCCAAGGAAAAACTACTATCCATCACAAACTGACAGTCCAGCATTACAAGATGAAGTAATTACAAATGAAGTGGAAAAGATGTATCAAGAAGCTATTCAGTTAACTCATAATGAGATACTGGCTGGTCAGGCTCAAGGAACAACTGAGGAAAGTGAAACTGCACAGCCGGAGAATGGAGAAGTAAATGATAGAGAAGATTCAAGTAATGTTACAGCACAGGATAAAGACACAGGAAATATGGAGGTAAAAACGGAACAAGTCAGCGAAGAAAATGAACCACCTAAAACTGTGGAGCACAGTCACAGAATGACAACAAGAGGAAAAAGAGTGTCAGTCTATGGTGCAGAATTTGAGGGAGGTAAGCAAGCATGACATAAAGTTGTATGAGAAGATGTCGTAAAGTTAGCTTAATGTCAGGTGTTCAGTTCAAGTGCCTGATATTGTTTGTAATAATACACAAATAGGGAGTCCTATTGTTATCCTTCTACATTAAAACTGAAAGCAGCCATTTGACTTTAACAATGCCATTGTTATTGAATATCCAATCTAATTTAAGAAAAGAAAATCATCAATTAATAAAGTCAAGCCAAATAACACTGATTTGCAGGCTTGTCTTCCTCTTATTTGGTCTGTACAAGTTATTTTTCATTACATGTACATTAATAGAAGCCAGGGACCTTGGATTCTTTCATGTGAGGATGCTTTCCAAGTTAAGCTTGGTGGTTCTACACAGGTGCGGGCATGTGCCTGATTTAATGCACAGAGGGGCACCTGAGATCTTCCTCCTTGAGTAACTTTGAAAAGTTGCCATCTGATCTCCACTGTGTTGGTGCATCAACAACAAAAAATTTAAAATTTAGAGGAGCAGGAGCAAGCATTATAATAAAGCAACTATCTAAATAATTTTTTGTATTACCAGTTTAAACATGACTTATATTATTTACGACAGGAGCTTTCTTTGGACGTGGACGTGGAAGACCTAGGATGTCTAAACTACCTTTCTACAAATGTGCAGAGTGTGGCAAAACATTCAAACAGAAAGGTAATTGAGCTAACATGATTCAGTAACATGATGTTGCATTCATTACTTTTTTCATGATAAAATTTTTATATTATATTCATATTTTTAACTTAAATTTCTGTACCATTGATAAAATACTTCTACACTTTTCTTTACATATGTTAATAAATTCACATCATTATATGTTTGTTAATATTGGCATTATGCAGTTTTCAGGTGATAAGTGTCTTGTTTTAAAAATAATTTGTAAGTTTTGTAATGAGCCTGGTGATCCGTGTAGCAATAAAGAAATTGTTGTTAAATAGCACTTTTGATAGGAGTGATTTTTTGTGTCGCCTTAGGGGTTACTTTTGTCGGCGTCTGCGGTGTCAGCGTCGTTGTCGGCGGCGTCCCCTAAAGCTTGTCCGGAGCATAACTCAGTCCTTATAAGTCAGATTGACTTCAAACTAAGTATGCATGCTTCTTTCAATAACCCGAAGTGCAGTGCACAAGGACCGGTACTCTGCACTTCTTAATTTTTGAGTTATTTCCCTTTCTAAATTTTCATACTTTAATTTTGTCCTGGCCATTTCTCTTCAACTATAAAAGCTATAGACTTGAAACTTCATAGGATGAAGGGTCTCATTAAGAAGAAGTGCAGTGCACAAGAACCGGTACTCTGCACTTCCTAATTTTTGAGTTATTGCCCTTTGTTAATTTTCATACTTTATTTTTGTCCGGGCCATTTCTCCTAATGTATAAAAGCTATGGACTTGAAACTTCATAGGATGATAGATCTCATTAAGAAGAAGTGCAGTGCACAAGAACCGGTACTCTGCATTTCTTATTTTTGAGTTATTGCCCTTTGTTAATTTTCATACTTTATTTTTGTCCAGGTCATTTCTCCTAAAGTATGAAAGCTATGGACATGAAACTTCATAGGATGATAGATTTCATTAAGAAAAAGTGCATTGTACAAGAACCGGTACTCTGCATTTCTTATTTTTGAGTTATTACCCTTTATTAATTTTCATACTTTATTTTTGTCCAGGCCATTTCTCATAAATTATAAAAAATATGGACTGGAAACTTCATAGAATGATAGATGTTATTGATAAGAAATGCAGTGCACAGAAACTGCTGCTCTGCACTTCTTATTTTTTGAGTTATTGCCTTTGGTTAATTTTCATATTTCATTTTTGTCCTGGCCATTTCTCCTAAACTATATTGTTCACAAGGCGACACATCCGACTTGTGGAGTTCTAGTTACTTTCTTTGAGTCAAATTATATACTTAAGTATGCATATTAAAATTGAACAAACTTGAAAATACCTGAAATGATAGTGTATAGTTTATATGACTAAATTCTGCCAGAATAAATGGGTATAGTAGGTATAGTTTTAAGGTTATTCTTTTTTTTTTTAAGCATAACTAATCCTGTCATTTACATGTTTACAGGAAATTTAAAAACTCATCTGAGATTACATATAGCTGGAACTGCATTTCATTGCACGGAAGAGGGATGTGATAAATCATACAGATCTAATGAGAGTTTGAGACGTCATCTCCTGACTCACCAAGGTATTACAATGGTATTGTTATCATGTACTAGTCAATGTAACATCTTCCCCCACATGTAAATCCTTCCCCCCGGGAAGTTTGTGGGATATTGGAGCCAAGTTTTATACTCTAGTTCCCGCATTGTCAGGGCAGTTCAGGTAGTTTTGTATAATAAATGATGAAAATACTGTTTAAAAAGTATGTTGAGATGAAATTTCTGTTTTATGTTTGTGTATGTGTTATGGTGATATTACTGTTTGAAGTATATTGTTTTAAAAAAGTCAAAATATATTATGGGAAAACATACTTTAAACTCAAACTGTTATTGTCCAGGTGAATTGAAATTTTAGCATATACATGTTTAAAGCAGTGTAAATGTCAAATCATATTTGGATCTAGGCATATCAGATGCTGGAAGTAAAATAATTAACATTCTTGTTATGATGAGCTGTGATCTCCCATTGTCGCCTGTCCGTGTGTCGTGTGCCGTCAACAATTTCTTTAAACAACATCTCCTCTGAAACCAATGAATGCACATTAACAAATCTTTACAGGAATGATCCTTGATGGTCCCTTTTCAAATAGTTCCAGTCTGTTGCATAAGTAGATGACAGGGCCAGAAAAAAATGCAAGTTTTAAATTCTTCTTGTCCAAAAGTACAAGATCCAGAGCTTTGATATTTTGTATATGATTTTGTATAGGTCCTCTACTAAAGTTTTTCAAATTTTGTCTCTAGTGTCAAAATTGGCGCCACCCTTGGGGGATGGGTCATACGTTTTCCTTATATGTATGTAGTAAATACTTAAAAAAACTTCTTCTCCCAAGTAAAAAAGGCTAGAGGTTAGATATTTAGCATGAAACATTGTGTAGTGAACCTCTACCAAGAATGTTCAAGTTATAGCCCTGTAGTCAAAATTGGCCCTGCACTTGGGGTCATAGGCTTTCCTTATATGTGTGTAGTAAAAACTTAAAAACTCTTCTTGTCTGAATTGAGGTTGGATATTTATAACACTTATAATATTGATTATGATTATAATTTAATTGAAAGTACAATGTATTGCTACATAAAGTTGGATTTCCCAGAAATTATGTTACAAAAATATTTTCCAACATTTTATAGGTATTAAACCATTCCCGTGTGATATATGTGAGCAGAGGTTCTCAAGCAATGTTGCTCTCACGGAGCACAGATCTCGACATTCAGACGAGAGGCCATACCAGTGCCCTCATTGTCAGAAATGTTTTCGCCAGATTTCCTGTTTCAAGCGCCATGTTGTGATACACACAGGAATGTTGCCATATTCTTGTAATGTTTGTCAGAAGAAATTTGCTCAGACAGCATACCTCAAGTCTCATATGAAAGTGCACACAGGTAATAGTTGTTAAATCTTACTAAAATTGAAAGATCCCTACTCTGACCTTTTATGTGAATAACAAAAGATTTGCCACAAACATTGACATGTGTTAACAAAAAGGTTGCAGTACCATTCTTATTGTAATGCACTAATCAATAGACAGGTCAGGGTCACATAGGGATTTACCCATTATAGATTTATGCTAATAACTTGTGCAAGATATTGTGCCTCCTAGTATTGATAGTTAAACTTATGAAAATTAGTTATAAGAATTCATTTGTAAAAGTATAGAGTAAAACATTACAGTTTCAAAAATTTGCTTTTTAGAAATTTGGTAACTTTTTAAGGTAGCTCTCTAGCTTTAAGACTGTCACTTATTTGGCTTGATGTGTCTATTGGTGATTAAAGTGATAAAAGTGGTTTCTTGGTTGTTTAACAAGTATAGTATGAATTGGCCATATAACATTAACATGAGTAAAAAAACCTATTAAATAAAATTTTAATACTTTGGTCAAATTTTTTTCACATCTGTGTAATGTTGTGATAGAAAACAAATCATTTAATAACAGTGTGTGTTATTTTTTATACAGGAGAAAAGCCATACCAATGTACAGTGTGTTTTAAGAGGTTTGCCCACCAGTCTGACGTGAAGAGACACAGTACAACACATACAGGTATAGATCTCCAAATTTTACAAATATCATTCAGATAATGTATTTAATACTACAAATATCTAATGAAGTGACGGTTAAATTTCATTTTAAACTTTATTTACTAGATTATACTAGTGGTTTGATTGGTGAAGGTGTGAACAATTTTTTTATGTGCAACTTTTTCTCAATGGATTTCAGTTAAATTTTCACAGAAGTATTTCACAAATTACCCTAAAACGTTTTGTTAGGGGTTTTGTGATTTGAGTATTTTTGACAGAATTATTGCTCTTTGTTTTTGTTCCCACTTATATATATAGATATACTTATAAATTTGAAGTAAATGATTTAATATATAGTTAAAATGACGTGTTAAAACTTGTTTACTACTGTTTTGCAGCAACATTGTGTCTATGCTCATTTCCCATTTAAAAAGACAGAAAAATTAATTTTGTTAATTTTAGGAGAAAAGCGATATTCTTGCAGTAAGTGTCAAGCCAAGTTCAGTGATGTGTCCAGTAAAAATCGTCATGAACGAGAACATGAAAACAACAAGCGATACACATGCACATTGTGTAATGACACTTTTAAACGTCCCGGACAGTTACGGTCTCATCTCAGCAAAAAACATTCCCTTGCTTTTGCTGTAACTGTTGAAAAAGACAACAATAATGGAATGTTTGCCTTTAATAGTCTAAAAGTTGGGGAAGACGGGGAATCAAACTTGAACAATTTGTCTCAGCAGAGGATAGTGTCACTCATCAAGAATCTGCATTCAAAAGCTATACCAAATGAGGGAATTATTGAAAATGTACAGTTAAGTGGAGCAGAAATAGTGAATCAATCAGCAGAAAATGTAACAGATATAAGTCAACTAGAGAAAGAAGTAGATGCCAGTATAATAGAAGGGGATATTCAGGTTCCTATAGAACTACAAGGTGTTGAGATACAAGGAGATGGTAGTGGGCAAACATTTATAGCAATCACAGACTTGGCTGATTCTCTTGGTGTAGCTGAGAAGGATTTATCTGGTGGACAGGTATTGCATATTTGTATTTTGCATGTTTATAATGGGGATAATTTCTCTGTAAATATATGGATGGGAGTAGGTCCCCTGTATAAGAAGTTACATATTTATGATAATGATGATTGTGGCCAAGTGGATTAATGTTATCCTTAATTACTGTGGGTTCAAATTAAGGAGGGGACATTGAATTCTTTTATATAAGGAACCAAAATTCTAGCTTAGGAAAGTTGTGGTAAAATTATAAAAAAAGCTACTTTGTTACTTTTTGAACTATTTACTTTTCCATGAACACAGCTGAGCAGTTAGAATTATTTGGGCCTCTTGTTTATTTTATATATTGTATGTTTAATAATAAAACACCTCAGACAAAACTTTTTTATAAGCAGTATATGTGTAATTTGTGTATATGTGTTTGTAATTTTTCAGATGAGGTACAGGGTTCTATATGAAATAGATGATAATGGTGAACAGAAGCAAATCCTGGTTCCCTTTAACCAGACTGAGGAGGAGGAGGAGAGTATTCAAGTAGAATACAGTACAGAATCTATGGTTCCTGGTTGTGTCTCTGAAGAAACCACGGCCACTGAAACAATTATTGAAACAATTGACTCAATCCAAGAAATCAATGCACGCTCTGATGCCAATGAAAACTCTGATATGAAATTAGAATTTTTTGTGGAAAAACAGCAGAAGGAAGTACCAGATAGCACAGAAACTACAGATGTTATTGATACAGCTGGGAATCAAAAAGAGGATGTTCAAGTGACAGTAGCGAGTGGTATAGATTATGTTAATAGTCCTGATTTCTCCAAACAGGAGTACTATAATTGGTTGACTAATTTCACGGAATGCTGTAAAGTAGTTCCAATGCCGCTAGATGTGTCATTATTCCAAAAGATTTCTCAGGTTCACAAAACATTGTCAGATGTGATGGCAACACCTTGTGGAGTTGTAGCAGATAAAGAAAACTTCCGCGTGTTAATGAATATCTCTAAAGAATTAAGTACAATCATTAATGAACATTTGGTATATGTACTGGAGAATTTAAAAGGTAACGAAAAGCAAGTTGAAGGCTGTGAAATTGTGGAAAATGAATAACCGAAAAAATTGTATTGAAACATAAACTGATGATAAAATAGATTATCAGTCTTTTCCTAGCCATTGTGGGGAAAAGTACATGTATCTTTATCTCACAAACCTGTGAGTAATTAATATTTATTTTCATATTGAGTTAACATTCTTGTCCAGTCATTTTCTGAAATGACTCTTCAAATGGGGGTTATATGAATATATGTTTAACTGAACAAAAAAAAATGATGGAGTACTTATTTCATCTCCAAGTTGTAACAAATGTTTAGCTAAGTTATGTATTTTGTATGAAATCTTCCTCTTCAGTACTCAATTTATTGAATGAAACAAGATATTGCTCACAAAATATGATTTTTATTCAACCTGTTCAATAAATTATTCGGTTCAAACCCCATCAGGGACAAGCTGTTGTTTCCTTGATCACAAAATTTTACACTCATTGCTAAGTAAATGTTGATTTGAGTGTTTCAATAAACTTTTAGCTTCCAACACAAACTAAAAAAAAATTGTTTATACTAATTATTAAACATAGACTTGTTCAATTTTCTTTATATACTAGATATTAAGGACATGTTGTAATTGCAACTTTGTTTCTCGTACTCTTAAGACTTTGCTATAATCCTGGTATTTCTTATGCTCACATATTTGTTTACAGAATAGCATGTGTTAAATTATTTAAATGTTGACATGAATTAGGATTTCTAAATTATTAAAATGTGCAAAATTTGGTTTTCTTGTTGTATTTCTTACATAATGTTTATTTCTGTATTATTGTTTATAAAGTTTGCTAGTATTGTACACAACATTGTATGTTTGTTTGTTTGATTGGGTTTTATGTCACACAGACACAGAATAGGTTATATGGGGACATTCCAGCTTTACTTGTGGAGGAAGACCTCAGTTGCCCTTCCGTGCATTATATCAGGCACGAACAAGCACCTGAGTAGAACCACCGACGTTCCGTAAGCTAGATCGATAGCTTCCTCACATGAAAGAATCCAAAGTCCCTGTCGAGATTCGAACCCACAGCGGTGAGGGGCAAGTGGTTTGAAGTCAACGACTTTAACCACTAGGCCACGAATGCCCCACAACATTGTATAATAACCTAGTATTAGACATTTGCGACATAATGTCGGGTAGGATTACCGAGGAACAGTTACGCTAATATTGAGGGGTCATCTCAACACATAGTATGTACGCGTTGAAATAAGACCAGGACATTTGATTGTGTTTCTTTTTTTTTCATCTCAATTTTCGTGATTTTTTTTGCTGTGCTTCCGCAGATATTTCAACACTTTTTAGATCATATTTGGCTATTGCTTGTTTTCGATATATTAAACCTTTTCACTACTGTTTAATTGATGAGCGCCAGGCCAGGGGTTGTTAGTACCATTTTTCATGTATTTGGCATCACGTGGCTTGAACTAATAACCTTCTTCTGTCGAAGCACGCTCTACTAAAAGTGTTATGGAGGATTTAAATTGTATATGGAATATTATAAATACATCAGCATAATGCTACAGCATGAAGATATAATGCGTCAGTTAGATAGACACTGATAAATTTTATTGCATTTAATTCAGGTTTTTTTTTTACACGATGCCAAAATATATAAGAATTTGGTACAGATTTAGGGTCAATGATTTATGATGTAAATACTTATTACTTATGTAGTTTATCGTTTTTTCTTAATCATGCTTACTTAATATCTTGATTATTTATTTCGGTAGAATTTTTGCTTATAATCCCACCACGATTCTTACTGAAATAGCAGAAATGTATTTCAAATGCACACATAGATACAAGTTCTCCGAGTTGAGTTCTGAGACACCCGAAACACTTATACATTATTCTTTAAATAAAAAGATAAATAAACTAGTTTACTGAAGCTATGCACTAATGGAACAAATGCGAGTACATATAGCAGTCACGGCTATTGATGGCACATCTCGTAGAATATACAGATCTATAGTAGAGCCACAGGAATTATATTATTCAGGACAAAGGCAATATCGCGTAATACCAGTACAAACAAAAATTATTTCGTGGACAATGCTCATGTTATCCGTTACTTAAAAATCGCGTTTATTATATTGTTCGATAATTTTGAGAATATCCCTTCATATAACTTGTCCTCGATCCTCAATCCCCGTTCCTCATTATAAGCCGCAAATGTCTAATATCATGCAGGAAAACAACAAAATGCCTTGTTTGCATTCTTCTTTTAAAGTAGAAGACATTATAATGTACACTGAAAGGATTCTTGTTCTGGTATGAAAAAACAAAAACAGTGTCATGAAACTGCAATGCCTAATGCTTATTTTGGTATGTAACAAATCCCTATGGTGTTTCTGTGTATCTTGTAACAAAATTTGAACCACCAGATGGTTCACATAGTGTACACAAAGACTTCTAGAAAACGCAAAGACTTATAGAAAAATACATTTAACTCCTCTTGTATAGAACAACTTGTCATTTTTAAGAGACCTGTTTGCACATATCATAAGGAATTTGACCTTTATCAATATAATGACCTCTCTCAAAGTAAAATTCCTTGTCTTTGCTGAAATTAGCTTTAACTCTTGTTGTTAAAGGATGTATGGACATAATAATCCTTTAAATAATTCCTGCAAGTAGGCAAACTCAATTTGACACTGACTTTTGTGGTAAAATCATTGAATTTTGCTAAAATTAGCTATATATCGTCATTATAAATGGACAGATATCATTCAGAATTGAACAAAACAACACTAAGCATACATCTATTAAGTTGAGGACTTCAAGTATGACTCAGACTTTAAAATGACTGACCTTCAAGGACAAATCATTAAATTTTGATGAATTTGGCCATAATTTTGTTGTCATTTTTGTCTGGTGACCTTAATAGAAGGACTGGTAGTTAACCAAATTTCATTTAATTTGATCATAATAAAAGCAGCAAATGACGTAAAAACCGTTGGCTCCCATGGCTCGTTCCCACAAGACATGTCAACCAATCGTTTTAGGGATAGCTAACGGTAAATAGATCTTTACAAAAGCTACGGTACCAATAGTTAGCTGTAAATGGCCAGGTGGAATGCCTGTATTGTATTAGTACTTATCTTCAAGTATAATCAAACTGAATTTGACCTTGACCTTTATATAATTTTGTCCTTTATAGTGAAATTATTGAATTTCGCTAAAATTGGCCATAACATTGTTATAAATGGCAACACTGGGTATAAAAAGTCATATTGAGTAATTTAAGTACAGCACTAGCTTTAAAATGACATTTTGGCCATATAAGAAGGTCATATGGTAAAGCATGGTAAATTTTAACTATTTTTTAAGGGATGTGATATACTTAATGAAATGTTTATGATAAATTTATGAAATTAATCAACAGTAAAATATTAATAGTGTTGTTTTCAGAATTGTTTGATTGATTCTTAAAAGAGATATAACAAAGAATGTGAAAATTGTGGTTAGTTATAAGTTATAATGTTATGTTCCGAAACAAAATATTAAGCAGCTATTTTAAGTAGGCTTAACGCCAATTGCTCTGAAGAAAATATTTTGGAATGGTTATTTTCCAAAAATCAAAAATTTTGTAAACTTCAGGCAGCAGATATATTATATGTTATTTTGGTTTTGGAGTGATATATGTGGATATATTACCTGCTAAGATTTTATATCACCCGAGCCGTTAGGCGAGGGTGATATTTTATCTTGGCAGGTAATATATCCACATATATCACTCCAAAACCAAAATAATAATTTTATTACCCTTCCCCTGCCGAGTTTAGACGATTTTTTAAAAAATCAGTGTTGTTTCAAATGAAACGTCGAAATAAGATTCCCTTTAGGGTACCCCTTCATCACAACATGACGTCACATAAATACATGACGTATTTTTTCCCGTACCTAACGAATGTAAACAAGAGAAAAGGAGTAGTCTATTGAACGCACTTTTTTGTAATTAATATCAAGCTTTCACAAGGTCATATTTGTTTTCAATACTGATGAGGATATGTATCATTACTTTACTTTGGTGAACATTTATCATTTGACAGTTAAAAAGTGCTTGTAAATCGGAATTTACACCGAGTAAAATCAAACCGTACGCGCATCACCTCAGCGCATTTTGTTTACAACGTGGGGTACCAAACGGGGAAATTTAGTGTGTATATTACCCGTCTGGCTCGGTAATATCAATTTCTTTCGGGTGATCAATAACCAATCAGAAAGGCGGAAAAAATCTGGAAGGGTAATAAATCTTTATACACTTGAATCATTTGCAAATATAGAAGCAAAGAATGAATTCCAGTATTTCTTTATTTTCTAATAGACTCTTTAAAATATTTTATTATAACAAATCACTGCATGCATTCTAATGAACATAAACAAGCATTCAATTAAATAGAAACAGCCTGATTTAATGTGTGTTTAAGCAATAAAAAATAAAAACAACTTTTATAAATTAATAAATCATTCAAAGCATTCTAAGAGGGTAAAAAATACAAAAGAGGACCTACAATTAAACTTTAAGTTTGCCTTACAATATCAATCTAACTCTTAAATCCATTCTCAACACAGTTAGTTTGGCACCGAAAGAATTCTTGTACCCCACTTTAATAGGACAAGGTTAACAGAAAAAAAATGTTGTGACAAACATTACATGAAAACATCATAAAAACTTTGTCCAAAAAATTGGATACCTTGAACAAAAATATGAAAACTGCTTTCGTTCACCTTCGAATCTACAGACCTGACTTACACGAGACGCATCATTTCATGAGAGTAAAATTCATGCAATTTTTTATGAACATACATAAAGGAATGATATTTTATATCAAACAAAAGTTTAAGATTTAGACAAAGATAGGGTAATTACCCTACAGCCAGGCAATGGTGTGCATGAGAATATTTTCTTGATAAAATAACAGTGATTTACCAGCAGCACCAAACAACTATGTTAATTTCATCAACATCTTTTTTAGTTCAGTTTTACGCCACTCTAACACAGTATTTCCAGCTTTATTGATGAAGGAAGACACCGGTAGCCCCTTCATGTAGCAAATTTCAGGCTAGAACAGCCACCTGAGTAAAACAACCAACATTCTGTAAGCTAAGTGGATAGCTTCCTCACTTGAAAGAATCCAAAGTCTCTTGCGGGATTCAAACCCACAGCAAGTGGTTTTAAGTCAACAACCGCAACAACTCAGCCACACATCTAATATAACTGTAGGTCACATTGACAATCTGATCCTTGTTAGCAGAACATGAGCCAAGCAGGATTCTAAAAATTCACAAAGAGGAATAACTCAGTAACAATCCATGTTAGGGTTATGGGTCTTGGTTAAGGATATCTACTTATGATATTAAAGATGTGAATATCAGGTCAGTACCTTTAATGTTTACTGGGAAATAAAGCTGCATACAAAATGTTAACTTAGTTACCTAAATTCAAAACACAAATTTGTTATTTTATCTTTAAAGCACTGAGGAAGGCATAAATTAAACAATACAAAAGGAATGTATGTATACAAAACACAAAAATTTGACTGGAAAATATGATGACATGATTTCTCTCAAACCTACCAGCATGATTTCAAACTTCTTCAGTAAAACACAAAGTTCAGAAATTTTTTAGTAAAGTTATATCTAATCACTGCTTCCAGACAAAATAGCATCACTGGTAAAAATTGGGCAATGAAAATTCCATTTATGGTCACTGTAAGTAGCGGACCAAGTTTGTTAATAATTATTAATTTTCTTATATACATGTATCTTACAGTATTGTTTCTTGACATTATATACAATAATGATTATACATGAAATGACATTGTAAGGTGCTGTTTGGGATGCCCTTCACACTTCAGCTACAAAATTAATGACGAGGACGATAAAAAGAATAAATATGGTTATCAAGTATGTATAACAAAGATTTGCCCTACAATATGTAGGAGAATATTGATGACTAACAAATTAACAATTTCTCACTCTTCATGCTCCTTTAAAAATGGCTTACAATGAGGAACAGTAAGAAAGAACTATTCAATTTATAATACATACAAATAAATTACGACGATGATTTATTACAAACAAGAGGGCCATGATGGCCCTAGATCGCTCACCTGAATTATCAAACTCATCCAAACAATTACCTAGACAAGCATTCTGACCAAGTCTCATGACAGGTGAGTCAAAAATGTGACCACTACAGTGTTAACAAGGATTATCCATATTTGAGCAGTGCGACCTAGTTTTTTACCCAGGTGACACATATTCAAACTTGACCTAGAAATCATCAAAACAAACTTTCAGACCAATTTCCAGGATACTTGGATCAAAACAGTAGCAACTAGAGTGTTAACAAGATTTTTTCTATTTTTAGCTCCGGTGACCTAGTTTTCACATGCGATTTCTAACTAATCCAAGCAATTACCTAGACAAGCATCCTGACCAAGTTTGATGATAATCGAGTCGAAAATGTGACCACTAGAATGTTAACAAGGTTTTTCCATATTTGGGCGGTGTGACCTAGTTTTTCATCCAAGATGACCCATGTTTGATCTTGACTTAGAAATCATCAAAAAAAACTTTCAGACCAATTAACAGAATATTTGGATCACAACAGTAGCCACTAGAGTGTTAACAAGATTTTTCTATTTTTAGCTCATGTGACCTAGTTTTTCATCCGAGATGTCCCATGTTCGATTTATTCCAAGCAATGACCTATTCAAGTTTCCTGACCAAGTTTGATGACAATTGAGTCAAAATTGTGACCACTAGAGTGTTAACAAGGTTTTTCTATTTTTAGCTCCTGTGACCTAGTTTTTCATCCGAGATGACCCATGTTCGAACTCATCCGAGCTATCACCTAGACAAGCATCTTGATCAAGTTTGATGATGATTGATGCAAAAAATGTGACCGCTAAAGTGTTAACAAGGTTTTTCTATTTATAGCTCCGGTGACCTAGTTTTTCATCCGAGATGACCCATATTCGAACTCATCTGAGCTATTATCTAAACAAGCATCCTGACAAAGTTTGATGATGATTGGGTCAAAAATGTGACCACTAGAGTGTTCACAAGGTTTTTTCTATTTTTAGCTCCTGTGACCTAGTTTTTCATCAGAGATGACCCATGTTCGAACTCATCCAAGCAATTGACTAGACAAGCATTCTGACCAAGTTTGATGATGATTGGTTCAAAAATGTGACCACTAGAGTGTTCACAAGGTTTTTCTATTTATAGCTCCTGTGACCTACTTTTTCATCCGAGATGACCCATGTTGGAACTCATCCGAGCTATCACCTAGACAAACATCCTGACCAAGTTTGATGATGATTGGGTCAAAAATGTGACCTCTAGAGTGTTCACAAGGTTTTTCTATTTTTAGCTCTTGTGACCTAGTTTTTCATCCGAGATGACCCATGTTCGAACTCATCCGAGCTTTCAACTAGATAAGCATCCTGACCAAGTTTGATGATGATTGAGGCAAAAATGCGACCGCTAGAGTGTTCACAAGAAATTGTGGACGGCCGGACGGACGACGGACGACGGACGACGGACGACGGACATTCACCGATCCTAAAAGCTCACCCTGAGCAAGCTCAGGTGAGCTAAAAAAAAGAACAAAAAAAACAGTAAAAAAAAAAGCTTTGAAGTTTTTTTATCAATTCCAGTAATAACTGAGTACTTTTCTGGTATTAAAAAAAACTGGTAATTTTATTTGTATTAATATTAACTACAAATTTATACAACAAACAGCACTTGTTTTAAAGCATCACTACTGACATACCAACATATGTTGAACATAAAACTACAGCAGATTTAACTGTATTAATTATACATTTTTTTTATTTACCTTTAATAGTAGATATATATACAAATAATAAATACTGATTATCAATGTACTTTGATTGAACAAAAAAAAACAAAAAAAAAAGAATATGAAAGAAATAACATGTAAATGTGTATGTAAAAACTCTGTACAATTTACATTATCTATGATCAATAGCTATTTCTCTTCAGAAAAACAATTGTGACAAAATTACTTTAGTAATTTATTATTAGTAAAAAAAAGATCAGGGAAAAAACATTCAAACTTCATCAGATAATCTACACAGACAAAAATGAGCACCAATATAAAATGACATGATCTACATGGCTTTCAGATAGTTGCATTACATGGACATTAATTGTAGTTGAAAATTTGACTAAATCTTACTTTTCTATTCTCTTCACCTTGGATACCCAGATACCACATGTGTGTCACATACTGACCAGACAAGTATTTACAAAAAGTTATTTAACTACCTCATAATAATCAATTATTCTGTAATGTAGAGCTGTCATTGATTCAGTGCAAAGCATATCTACAATATATCAATATTGGATGACAAATATCAACAATTTATCTATAATTACCTGTAATTACTTGTCTGTCATTTTCATACCTGTTTAAATGATTTCAGCAATATACATTTTCTATTCAGTGTCTTGTTTATGAATGCCCATTGCATGATTTTTTTTCCAGACCATTTATTGTCATCATTGCTATGAAATATATATGTATTTCCATTATGTAACTACAGCAGTGCTGCTTCTATATATCTTTTGGGTGAATAATACTGAATTTTCATAATTTCTAGACATCTATTTAATAAGTCAGTTATCAGTTCTTTTGAAATGTGTATCGATTAATGATCAATAGAAAAATATCGATGATACATCAATATTGTTTCTATCGATGACAGCTCTACTGTAATGAAAAGGAAAAGGTAAGAAATGTTCAAGAATTTTCTTGACATAAAATTATATAATAATAAAGTCATCTGGTTATCAAATCCATAGCCAATAGCCCAGGTGTTGATAGAAAAGTCACACTTGCAATTATAGAGATCATTTTTAAACAAAAAAACCTTAAAAAATTTAATGTTTTCATAAAAAAAAAAAACACACACAAAACCAGTATAATCATTATATCCTCTATCACAACTTACTCATTTTTGTCACTTGTTTAAAGTAAAATATCTCTGTTTCACTCAATAACAAACAGAGAAAATGAAAATAAATAAATAATTGGTTTTAATAAAAATAACTGTATTTTTCCCTGTATCTGAATTATTCCACTTCTCATAATATCAAACTGAAAACAATCAACATTAATGGTTTTGTAAATGAAAATGACTGGTTTTACAAACATGTAGATTATTCTATTTCTTGATCTACAAAATTGAGATTTACAGACAGAACTGGAATACAAATAATCATGGTTTAAAACTTGTATACAAAATTTGTGCCAGTATCTACAATGATTTCAGCAGCAATGATAAAATGCCGAACCCATCAGATTAGAGCCAAGCCAGTATGCATATTGAAGCATTTCGACAGGGCTTTATTCAGCTGTTTTTTTAACATGTTAACATTTTCATACCAGAAATAGAAACATTCCTAATTCAAAATCAGGTCAAGCTCAACATAAGAAATAAGTATGGTAAGGGTAAACTGGATACCTAGTTTAATCTTGAAAAAATTATATCATTAAAAAAGACATTATCAAACAGAATAGAATATTTTTGAATGTAAATCAAATTATAAACATCAAAATCAACAAATAAATACAAAGATTTGCTTGCAAATATACAAAAATATCACAGAATTTACATATCCGGCGGTTCTCTGTTATCATTATGTATATTGTTTTGGTTAGCCTCATCCATTGTCTGTGTATTTGCCTCCCCGTTTTGATCCCCTGGGGGTTTGTACAACACCTCGTGACACAGGGGACAATTGTCTTGTACATACAGCCATTTCCTTAAACACACACTGTGATAATAATGATTACATCGCGTCACACGAGCCGTCTTTAATTCTTGATAACATATCGCGCAAACGTCGTTGAATGCTTCTAGTTCTTCCTTTGTTGCTTCACGTAACGAATTAATTTTATTCACAGCCGTCCGCCTTTTAATAAATACTTTCCAGCCTTCCTTGGCTTGAACAAATATATTGAGGTATGCATGAACGCACATCATTACAGCTCGTATAGCACCTCCCGACTCGAATATCATTATCCAGCCGCCGTTACAAAACATAAATATTCCAAACAGAAATTCTATAGTGTTGCCTGTAGACTGTATATAATATATATAATCATCTAATTTTTCCCAAAATGTGTCTCTATAAGAATCAATCATAAATAAACTGTACACCATTAATGAAACAATAACTTTAATAATCACCTCTATACTAAATGCCGTCACTGCTAAAAGCCAGGGACTAGCACTGTGGTGTTGCCATAGGTAAGTCACAAGGCATATTGGATATATCACAAGAACTGCACACATTGCTAACACACGTAAATGTTTTTTAACTGAAGTACTGTGAGATGCACTGAGAGAAAGTAAAATTGGATTAACCATACTATGAATAAAATGTAAAATAGCTGCGGACAACAGGGCAAAGTTACGGTACAAGCGTACAAGTCTTTTGACTGGTTCCAGACCTGTTAATCCAGTCTGTAGCGCCAGCAGAAAAAACAAAATGGCCGACACAGTTCCCATGTTCCTATCTTCTTCAGTATCTGCCCCTACACAAAAACCCATAATTTAAAAAAAATTTGTAATGGGGGCAAAAATGAAAAAAAACCCTTTTTTGTTCCAAAGAAGAAAAACCCAAATTGTCTCGCAGTTTTTTTTACCAATAATTTTTTGAAAATAAGTTTTAAAAATTCTAAATCTTGTACTCTTCAGTAATATTTTCAAAATGCATTTTCGGAGGAGTATCATAATATATCGCGCTAACATAAACTGTCAGCTGATACGAGACCCTGGTGACGAAAAAAATTCTAAGAACTTTTGGAACATGGAGTCGCATCCACTGATCCTCAATAAACGCCTGAATTCCTATTGCACTGACCGTCACTCTCACAATATTGTACATTCGTTTACAAGAAAAGTACACGTTTGATAATGAGTCAAGAATATCATGTGAAATGTGCATCACTGGGTAAATAATAGCAAATATTGGGCTCCAGTCTCGGTAGAAACCAATTTTTAACAACCCATCTACGACTATAGGTGATATGAAAGACAAATGAACAGCAGTCTGCATTGCACTTTTTGTGAAGTTACTAAGGCCATCTGACGACCTGCGGATATCCCATGCCATATAAAATAGCCATGCCAGAAAGAACTGAGCAAAAAAGTATTTATAGACCAAGTCTCGTCGAGGGAATGCAATGCTTTCCTCATCTATGACAGCATCCTCGTCTTGTACCTGAAATAATTACAACAAATGATCAGTGTTCAAATCCCTATACCAACAGACTAACATCTATTCTAGGGAACATGATAGGCTAGAACATCTTGTATTCAATTAGTATAATTATTATTACAGGGAGGCTCTGTTAAAGAGAATGTATAAAATATGTTTTGGGAAGCTGCATTCCCTAATAGTAATACTGGTCAAGTTAATGTGGTCCTTTTTATATGCTTATCATACTTCTCTGTGTGTGTACACAAAATATGTTTATTTAATTTACATTTTTAAAAAGAGAATGTATAGTACATGTAATTATTTGTGTTTTCAAACATCATATTTAAGTATCTTCAAAATAATGTTATATATTATAAAATCAAGATGAAAAGTTAAGATTAATTAGACAACAGTATAGAGCCTGGTCAGACAGCACCATTGTTTATGCTGACTTGGCTCTATATTGCCAACAAACAACCTACAACAATACGGTTACCCCTAAAGACTCTTGAAAGAATGCAACAATTCAAAGTAAAGACAGTTGAATAAGCAATTTATAGAATAAGGGCAAGAGCAGAAAATATTTTAACCTATTGTCAGAATGAATTTGAATTTCAACTAAGTGTCACAGCTGACTATCAACCTATTCATCCATACTATGCATAGGCTCTTTCACATTTTTGTGACCTGTTTAAAGGAGAGTTCTCAACACTTGTAGTTGTAGAGCCATCAACCAAAACAAAGATGAAATCAAAGCACTAATAAAACCAAAGAAAAATTTCCTTCCTGCCCTAGAAATTAAAAAGCATATTCAAAAATTTCAAAGGAGTAATTCTGCAATATTGTTAACCATCCATATTTCTTAGAATTTGTACTTTTTAATTTATAACACACATTATTTTTCAGAAGCAAAATTGTACAAAATGGATTAATATCCTATTATTATGATTATCGTCTTATATTTACAATGTGATTCACTCAATAATAGAATGCAATTATACAGTATTAGTTGAGAAATGAAGGTATGTGCTTACCTCAATAATAAAGCTATGGTTCCACCAGTATGACAAACCTAGGACAACAATATTCACAACATAACTGTAGATCCTCAGAAGCTGACGAATCGACATTACAAACATAATCAGACCAATTAGGAATACTGAAATATATTAAATTATAAATTATTCTATGAATCAAATTTTAAGCACTGTAAGAAAATCACGTCTAACAAAAAACATGGCAATGCCCACAAAACCAGGTAAGCAAGATTTAGAACTATCACAGTAGTGTCTAGTGAATTTGGAGTTCAAAGTAATATTTATTAAGCATGTTCAGGCTCAAATGAAAGACAATTTACAGATGTACATGTTTCTAATATTTTATTCAAATAGCACAAATAAAAGAACATCAAAGTCAGTGCCGACTTTATTATATGCACAATATTTGACAAATTCATACATGTAAATTTACAGCAATTGTTATGTAGCATGGTCAATTTTTTTGCCAAAAAATAGACCAAATTACAGCGTGTAAATTGTAAACCTTTTAAACAAGAGCTGTCACAGGAGACAGCGAAGCTCGACTAATAAAATACTGGACGCAGAAAGGAGGACAAAACTATGAAAGAAAAATCAATTATGTATAATTATGTATTAAGTTATAGTAAAAAAATAACATTTGTTAACATAAATTCCAAGATCAAGGGGAATAATTCTAGAAATAGTCATGCTAGAGTTATGGACCTTGCCACACAACATTTGTGTAATGATAAGAAATATATATTTGAAGTTTGAAGTAGATAGATTAAAAAATAAAGAAGTTATTATATTTCTTAAAGAAAATCCTAAGTTCAAAGAGAGATAAATCTGTAAATATTGCTTCAAGAGTTATGAACATTGTCACATAAAATGTAATTGATGATAAGGAATAAGTATTTGAAGTTTGAGGTAGATACCTTTAAAAATAAAAAAGTTAAAATAAAAAATAACATTTTTCTAGTAAATAAATCTAAGTTTATGGGGAGATAATTCTTGCAATATTGGTGCTAGAGTTATGAACCTTGTCACATAAGATGTGGATGATGATAACGTAAATATATTTGAAGTATGAAGTTGATCCCTTTAGAAATAAATAAGTTACAGTAAAAAATAATATTTTGTATGGAAAATTCTAAGTTCAAAGGGAGATAAATCTAAAAATATTGGTGCTAGAGTTATGAACCTTGTCACATTAGATGGGGATGATGATAACGTAAATATATTTGAAGTATGAGGTTGATCCCTTAAGAAATAAAGAAGAAACAGTAAAAAATAGTATTTTTTGAGGAAAATTCTAAGTTCAAGGGGAGATAAATCTGAAAATATTGGTGCTAGAGTTATGAACCTTGTCACATAAGATGGGGATGAGTTATGAACCTTGTCACATAAGATGGGGATGATGATAAGGTACATATATCTGAAGTATGAGGTTGATCCCTTAAGAAATAAAGAAGAAACAATAAGAAATAGTACTTTTTGAGGAAAATTCTAAGTTTAAGGGGAGATAAATCTGAAAATATTGGTTCTAAGTTATGAACCTTGTCACATAAGATGGGGATGATGATAAGGTACATATATTTGAAGTATGAGGTTGATCCCTTAAGAAATAAAGAAGTATCAGTAAAAAATAGTATTTTTTAAGGAAAATTCTAAGTTCAAGGGGAGATAAATCTGAAAATATTGGTGCTAGAGTTATGAACCTTGTCACATAAGATGTGGTTGATGATAAGGAACATATATTTGAAGTTTGAAGTTGATACCTTAAGAAATGACAAAGTTATAGTGAAAAATATTTTACTGCACCAAAACTTTAATCTAAAATCTGGACGCGGACGCCGGGGCGAGTAGGACAGCTCTCCATATACTTCGTATAGTCGAGCTAAAAAGTGAAAGGTGACACAAGATGCTTATTTAACATGTGAGATTTTCATTAACTTCGGCTATTTTCATTAACTTCGGCTAACAACAATAAAGGGGTATTCATCCCTTTAAATTGTTTATTTTGTCACCTTGCAGTCAATAAGCACAATAACACAATATTTAATCTGATATCATACAGATTATGGACAGATACTGTTTAACACCAATGATCAGAGGCACAATTTACATTTTATATACAAGTGCTATAATTGATTTTTTTGTGTAAATGCATTTATGTTTTAGCCTGAAAGATAAATATGGGGAATGAAATCTCTGATATTGGGAATTGGGACAAGGGTAAAAATATTGTGATTTTGTTATCCCGCCGGGATATCACATGTAGCTGTAATGTTAGTTGCTTGTCCTGTTATGTCCTAGATTTTATTTGTGGGCATAATCAATCAACGCAGGTGATTAGGCCAACTTATTGTGCTACTTGATGAGATGTTGTGCTATTTTGTGTATGGGCAATATCTCTACAGAAGCAAGATTCTGACCCAGAACAAACATAGGTGGCGAGGATTTACAGTCAAATCGGCCCCAAGTCAGATCGGCCCCAAGTCGAATCGGCCCCAAAATAGTCAAATTGGCCTCAAGTCAGATCGGCCCCATTTCATTTTTTTTATTTACTTTATTCATTTTTCATTTTCTTTTTTTTTAAATGCTGCATGCATATTGATAAAAAACAATTGTGTGGATGGGAATACCAAATGAGAAGCCATGGATTACAAAGAAAACAAGAACAAAATATATAATAATCAAATGTATTGTCTGAGTATAACGTTTAAATGTACTATAAACATATGAAACATGATAAATGTTTAACTGTAAGCGGCATATGAGGTTTTTCACACGTGTAACTAATAAACAGCTAATTTGAAGCACTCGAGTGTGAACAACATGCTACTTGATTAAACGTCTCACTCTTTAATTGGATGGATATCACTATAAATTAGTATTTTTCGGACAAAATAATCATGATAGAAAAGAATATATATACTTTATTTCTGACTAGAGCTTAACACACATCATCACAACGAATATCACAACATACATATGCATGTCTATTTATTATAATGCATGCACCAAGAAATCATGTTATAATAAATTCAAACGGTTATATTCACATAATTATACAAAAGTTTTTTTTTATATATATATAAAGGGGACAGTTTGAGAAATTACGCTTATATATGTCACAGTTCAGAACTGTTCACTATATAGGGGAGAAGATGTGTAAGCGGCCAGATAGCTCAGTCGGTAGAGCCGCGGTACGGTATTCCGAGGGTCCCGGGTTCGAGTCCCGGTCAGGCTGCACATTTTTCTCACCCTGTGACATATATGATGGTCATCAATTAAATCTCAAATTATACATTCATATATTATGTTATATATATCTATATTGTCTGTGTGTTCTGTATCCACTCATGCGCGACAAATCAAATTAAGTTTGAACAACACATAATTTTGTACCGTCACGTTTAATCAGGTAGCACTTTGTTCACACTTAATTACCGTTAATTGCATCATCATTTGTTAATCCAGTAGCATTGCATCTCTATTTATTTTTTATCAATAAACTATAATTTAAATCAAAAACTTCTTTTTTAAAAATTTGAATTTAGAAATAAAATTTTATTTTTTACTTATTTTGCTATGGCAATTAGAGTCGAGTCGGCTAATTCCGTACAGTTCCGGATGCAGTTGCTTTTCGTTGTTGACTAACTCAATATAAGTAAGAGCATATAAAAACATTTAAGACCGGGTACCAGTTATGCTTCGTTTAATTTAGTTCATAAAGTGATTTTTGATTGGATAAATTTGGTACAACGCACTTAAACAAGATACGCCAAAGTAGGGTAAATCCGTACACTGTCGGGTAATTTCGTACATGAAAATTCGTACATATTTTCGGCGATTCACGTACGTTTTTAATAAAGTAAAATGGCTTAATAAGTCGCTTTACATAAAATAGTTGAATAATAATAAATCTATATTTCTTAAAACATTTTATTGGTATTCCTGCAGTTATAAATAAATATGCTTGTGTACATTATATAGGGCTTTTCCACCAGGTATGTATTTTAATCACATGTGTATATTGATATGACTAAACAACCAGTTGTTTTCATGAAAGAAGTAAAGATAAAGACATTCTATCTCATAATAATTAGCCATTTTAATGTAGATCTACATATACAGTATATAACATGTATTTTAACTCAATACAATAGTGACGTTAACATTCTGTTTAATTTTATTTCTGATTTCTGAAATAACATACTTAAATTATTTCGTTTTTTTATCCGATTTGACAACTTTGTTTTTCTTATTTTCTTCCTTAAGCAATTTTACTCTTTTTCTTTCCTCTTTTTCTTCCTTTATTTTGTCTTTTCTTTCTTTTTCCTCACGTTTTATTTCAACAATAGCATTTGACGTAAGAATTCTATGGCTTGTTAATTTTCTTGCATTAAATTTGGGAGATAGTTTTCTGTCTGACTGGGGCAGCTCAAAAGCAGAGCTGACACCAGCTGACCATTCTTGTATTGAAGGATAACTGGTATGTGCAGATGACGTAGGAGTTATGCAATTAGACTCGTTTACCAATGGTAAAACAGGGGAAATATTATTTGAAACCTCAATCTGTAATTCTAAATCTCCCGTAGCAGGGTTAACGCTGCATGGGTATTCTCCAGACAAAACTAAGTTAATTAATTCTTGTTCACTGAGAAGGTGGCAGTTCGAATCGACTTGGACTGTAATGCTATCGTTATTAATAGCCTGAGATTCCTCTCTGACAGGTGAACTTGAAACGGTATTTTGTGTTTCGCATGGCCGCACTATGTCAAAGGGTTGAGATGGCATTGTTGCAGTTGAAGGTAGCGCATTGCGGTTAATAGGGTAAATGCCACACTTACGGAAACCATTTACAATATTGCCTGCCGTAAAGGCACTAACGTGTGCCAACCTTAATAGCCTTGGCCATTCCCATTTATTAACAATGTTATTCGGACTGGAGGCCATGAATTCCGTACATTCTCTCGAGTATGCTCTCGAAAGCGGACCAAACACCATTTTGTCTAGAGGGCACAACCACTGAGTGGTATGTGGAGGAAATGCAAGAAGAGAAATATTATTTTCAATGGCAGCTTCTATGAACCCTAAGGTTTCATGAGAAGAATGGGAATCTAATATAATCAGCTTAGGTCTCTCCGGTCCGCAATGTTTAAGAAAGTGCCCCTTAAACCAAACTTCCCCGAGAGCATCCTCCATCCAGGCTCTTTCTTGGTATGTATAAATGCTACCAGGGACTCCATTTTCTGTATTATACGCAAGGAGACTTTTATACGTTTTTCCTTTGACAATTATCTTAGGTGGTACTTCGCCCCCAGCAGCATTTATACATGCCAGTACAGAAATATTTTCCCTGTTGTTTCCGAAATGACCGGGCAAGTTTTTTATTCCTTTCTGGGCAAGCACTCGGGAAGGTTTGTGCAAAAGAGGCACACTACTTTCATCTATATTCCATATTTGTTTAGGCTTTTCTGCCAGACCTAGTTGATTAACTAACAAATTTAAATCTTGAAAAAAATTATTTGTAACAGTGTCATTTAGCAATTTGGCTCTGACAGTGGATAATGCTTGAGGTGTCCTCAGTCTTACATCCTCATTGCGTCTAAGAAACCCAGCAACCCAGTCCTTCCCAGGAACGCCGCTTTTGAATGGTGTTTTGACACCTAGCCTTCTCACTATTCTGCCAACTTTCACCTGAAGCATCCGTCTGGTAATGCCAAACCCCTAGGAAGTAATTTTTTAAAGTTTAAAGAATGTTTATGTTATAGAGCTATTTTACCAATTTAGTGTTTGAAACTACACACTGTTTTTTTTGTGTTAAATATAATTGCAGTATTTCAAAGGAATCGTAACACATTTACTCAAATCGGAAAATTATAAAGTACAGTTGAGACTGCCTAAGCGACCCCCTGATTTAAACGACTCCCTGTCTTATCCGACCTTGTTTCAGTACTCCCAACGTATTTTCCTATATAAATGGTCTGAATTAAACGACTCCCTGTCATATGTGACAAGCTACCCTAATTGTCTGGTCCCAATGCAGTGTTTGGTCTGATGTAAAAGACTTTCACACCTTTTTATTGTCTGTTAATCAGATAAATAATACCTGTCATAACACCCAGAGGGCCAAAATAATTAAGTCCAATTATAATCCAGTAGCAAACAAAGTCTACACACCTCTATCTCAATTACACAGTTAACATGTATACAGTACAGGTATCAAGTGACGTAGCAAGCATGATGCATCGATGTGTGTGTAATGTACATGATGGCCTGCGTAAACTGGGTTAAGACTTGTGTTAGAGCTTTCTATGGCTGCATAATTAAGGTATTAGCATTATTATTAGGTATTAGAAAAGTAACATTAACAAATATTTTAACGTTACCAAAGTGGAAAACAAATAAAAATTCAACAATGCCTTCAACATAATTAGATCTATAACCGAAATTAAATATAACAGTACAACATCGGGGTTAACTTTTCACAAACCATATTTCCAGCTTTTTTAATCTGCTCGACTAACTCCCTTTCTATCTCCTCAGGTATTACAGTAGGTCTGCCAGCGTGTGAGTGGTCATCAACTTGACCACTCACAGGATTTTGGATGGTCATTACGGGTACATTATATTTGACTGATGCTTTCCTATATGTAAGGTTCACATTTCTCACCGCATTAACTGCATCAAGCAGATCTTTTTTTGAGTATTTTGGCATCATAGGTTGTGAAGTGAAAAAAAGACAAACAAAATAGAGACTGATATTTAATTTTAGCAAATATTAACATAAATTTTAAATTGTGTCCTTCCGAATTTCATCACTTAATCTGAGCAACTCCCAGTTTTCAATCTTCCATCCGACCCGTCTGCAAAGAGTGACAATACTACGTTCTTCGGGGTACATGTCCGAATACATAGCAGCAATAATAATTTTATTGCTGATACTTTTTCTGCATAGTTTTATAAGTTCTGTATAAGCTTGAAATATTAGAGAATGGTCATACAATATTTCATTAAGATACAAATATTCCAAAACAGTCTCAATAAATGATATCAGGCAGACATTAGTGCCTATTTCTCGACGAAACATCATTTTTGGAACCATAAAACTAGATCTATCCATCTGTCTGAAATAAAAAAAAAGATTAGGAAAACGTAAGAATACAGATTAAGAAATCTAATGTAAAAAAATAATAATAATAAAATAGGTTCTAAATATAATTCAACTCTGCATTCGGTTGTTTATGGCTACAAAATCCAAATTACATGTGTACGGAATTATACGCTTGGGCTTTCAGCTAAAATTAATCATGAGGGTAATTTCGTACACTTTTTATTTCTCTTTTTATGACAAATATCTTATTTTTATCGTCGTAACAGTTTAATTTTCTGAAAGAAATGATAATGACGTATGAAATTTTCCAACCTTATAATGATGTTTGATGTTGAAGAAAGCGGGATAACACGTTTACACAACAGTGAAAAATTCGCCCTTGAGTCGAAGCCGTGGAGACTGAAAGCGGTTAAATTTTCGCGCCAATGAGTGCCTCAACCAATCAAATTTTTTGGTGACGTAGGCATATAAATCACGATAGTTAAACGCTCGTTTATTACTAAAGCAACTCTTCATGATAATATACGTCGCCGAAACACCGAGTAAACAACATTATTGACCGAAGAGGGTCAAACAAGTCAGCGTACGAAATAAGCCTGCCGTACGGAATTAGCCGACTCGACTCTAATTCACCATTATTTTTAAATATTTATAGCTGTTAGTCACAAAAATAACTTTAGGGCCGATTTGACTAGTTTTGAGGCCGATTTGACTACTTTTGGGGCCGATTCCACATTAAGAAATTGTTGTGTGGCCGATTTGACTAATTTTGAGGCCGATTTGACTAATTTTGGGGCCGATTTGACTAGTTTGCGGTGGCGAGATAGCTCTGTTGGTTAGACAACTGGCTGTCACTCCTGAGGTCCCACGAGACTAAAAATAACCAACTACTACAATATTCAACTTACCAAAAGCCATAAAAATAAACCATGATATGAACTGTTGCCAAGACATAGAAGGATCATACGGAAATATGAAGGCCAGGAAAGACTTGTTCAACACACTATCGAGCAGAAACAGGGGCGGGACGCGCAAGATAACACTCAGCGCCGTTTCAAGTCTCCCTGGCCAAGACATTGTATACTGGTCTTTTAATTCAATTATTAGCTAATGCATTTTAAAATTAATTCAGCTAAATTATGAGAAAAATGGGTTTTATGTTATTTGGATGGAACACCATGAAACCGGAAGTTGTAGTTATAAGTGGTGATCCGTAAATTTCACTCTTTGTAATAATTGCTATGTGGTATCAATATGCTAAATTTTGTTTCAAAGTAGGCCATATTACACTAAATGTTCGTGTTGTTTTTGTCGACAGATGATTTTTTTTAGGATTGCAGCTTTCTGGGAAAGCCATTTAAGATTTTCTAACATCTCGTCTGAGTCTCACTGCTTTGGGAATCATTTCACATGGTTACATAGATCTATGTACATATTTTGCACAGGGGCCGATTTAATTTGGGGCCGAAACGTCCTGTTTTGTTCCAAGGGTACATAGGCTAATGCTAACGTTCTGATTTCTCTACTTCGGGTTTTAATGTTTCTCTGGATGAATCTTAAAGAGTTTTTCTTTTTGTCTTGGAGGTGTCAACTGGGCCCAGATTAAATATTTAGAGTTGGTAACTCAAAGGTATAAAATTTGCAGTTTCAGCATATTTTAATATTTCATTATTAAGGGTATATAAGGGAAGATGCTAATTAAGGTTCCTTTGCATCTCGCACTTGTCTTGGTTGAACTCCATAACTCAGTCCCGTTCCCTATTTCATGTTTTATAAGGTCATTTCGTAATCTGATCGTTCTTAATGTCTATTGATTGTCATATGTAAAGTCGTATGTAGTGTCATCTGCAAATAACATTGTTTTACTTTTGATCGTTTCTGGCAGGACATTGATATACGTCAGGAACAAACAGGATTTAATGACTGGGCCCTGGGTGACACCGGATAACATTGACAATTCGTCTGAGATGTGGCCTTCAACGATAACCTTTTGGCTGCGGTTGCTCAGAAATGACCTGATCGAGATGTAAACTTATAATTACCGCTTGACATCCATATTCTTAAGTTTGTGGACTATCATGTGATGGTCAACTTTTTAAAGATTTTTGAGAAATCCATCACAATAACACCTGTCTGCTGTCCTTCGTCAAGATTGTCAAATACTTCTTGGGATAAACTCAGCAATTGAGATTTGGCATTTTATATGTACGTTTAGACCGAAAACCATGTTGGTAGGGGTTGAGGATACTCATCTAAGTAAGTTATCAAATTTGGGACAATTTGAGCATTTACTTTGCAAAATCGTGGGGGAATAAGGGGAACATTCCAAACAAATCTCACTTGTGAATTTACTGCGTATGGGACAAGCGAAATGATTTTTGGATACAGAAAAACTTTGCAATTAAGCAGCCTTAATACCGGCATGCCCTGGTTTTGTGAAGAGACCCGAAAAAACAGCATGAACCTTCAGACATCAAATCATTTGTCTATGGTCCCTTTTATAACAGTATGAAGCCCCAAGAAGACATGGTACAAAAAAGTGGATATGGGATTATTGTTAAAGGTTCCAGAATTCATAAAGAAATGAGGAAGATTTCGTGCAGTCATCGCCCAGCGCCATTATAATGGACGGACCGTATATCAAGTGGTTACTGGCTAAATGATAAATGGAATTTTGTAAATTGTTATAACAATACCAAACATGGTCTACTGTGTTATGTCCGGTGTTTGGAAAGCAAAAATAAAAGTTGTGTTAATTGGTGATTCCATTGTTAGTGTTGCAAAGCTTTTCATTTTGTGATCATTTTGCACATTAAAAATGATGATTCTGAAAACACTGACTGAGGGAATGATCTGAAAATTTGCACCCAGACTGACATGAAATGATACATAAATCTCGGTAAAAATATTTCCAGTCCCGCCATTTAAAAAAAAACCTTAGTTGAGTCCCTTTAATATCCGTTCCACTTAATTATTCTCTGATATCTCTTAAAATTAAAAAAAGGGAAATTTATAAAAAAATAAATAATAATGATGTAAATATTGTATAATTGTTACAAATTTAAATCATGAAAAAACTCATTACACAAATTCTGCATGTTATGTTGCTGTATATCTTGTGCTTAATGGACCCGGTGTGGTCCGGAATTGGCCGACCACCCTATTTTTGTTATAATTTACAAAATCGATAATTTGCGTTCATTTTAAAGTTGAAGAACACATCATGCATCAGACATTTGCAAATAGCTAATTGTTTGTATTTGATCTAAAGATCAATAAACATAATGTATGACGCCGACAGGTTCTCTAGTTTTGTCGCAGAGGTGATCGGGAACACGTGACACGGTTCCATTTTTATTGTTTATTCATTTTTTTTCCAATTAAAGTTCAGACATAAAACAAGTTAATATAATGGTTTTATACAGCAAGACACTATAAAAATCATAATCAATAGTATTTGAAATGTTCATGGGAGAGTAAAAAATAGAGAAGTATTTTAAGACAAAGATGTCTCAATACGAAGCTATGAATGTTCAATTCGGATGTGATAGCTGTTTACAAGAAAAGAATGAGCTCAAAGATAAATAATGTCCTGAGAACAAAATCAATTCTGTTGCTATACACACAAGGTTTTTAAATAAATATAAACAATTAATTCGTTTATTCTCTGGTCTAGAGAATGCGGCAATTGCCAATATCATTGCAACTACAATGTGGTTAAATTGAAGATACTCGCTTCTGTTTTTAACATAATTTATTCATCTAAATATGATTGAAAAGATATATATGTATTACATGTAAATTAAAAATCGAGATAAAGTTAAATTATTAGTTAAAAAGATTTTCACAGGTTATATGGCCCTTTGGAAATAGAACTCGAGCCGTTACAAACGTGCAGTATTATATAAAATATAAAGATATGCAATCTTTCTGTAACAAACAGACTGTTATCATTATTATTATAACTTTATTTTTTATTATGCAATTACATCAGCTTTCAGGAATTTCAAAGTATTATTAAAAACAGAGATAAAGTAGCAAATATCAAATATATTCCGGGTACTATGTTGTCTGCAGCATCCCCAACATTACACCCTGCCTCCAGGCAACATGATGTACATTTTAGTTTTGTAAGTCCGAACCCGGAAGCGTAACATCCATGCCAGCATTGTTGAGTACAACTTCTGGTGATGCTCACAGTCACAGATTTATAGGTGACACGTTCTACCTGTTAACAAATATACAAGACTAGTGTACGTTCATGTATAGAAATAGTCCTAGTTTTTATGGGTTTTTTTTCTATCCGTCGGTTAACTTTTAAGCAATAATATTTTTCCAGTGGTTAAAACTCAACATGCGGATAAATTAATACCTTATTACCGTGTTATTTCTAACTAATGCTTTAAACAATACAGTTTCAGATTTTTATTAGCGTCATCCCTGACTTAGAGATTAGTAGGTATAGCTTTTGAAAGTTGAATCATTGTGTTAGATAAAGTATTTTATATTCATTCAAATATTTTTCTTCTTCAAATTTTCATTGATTGACCTTGTATATGGCTTATAAGAGGTCGCTGGTTGTAGACAAGTGTACGTTCATGCTTAAAATAATCACCGGAGTAGCTTTTTCGGTTTTCTATGGTGGCTGATTTGTGCCATGTCGTATTTTCGCTCCGCGGGGCGCAAATCGAAAACACGATATTGTCAACATTTTGGCGAAAATATGATCAATACGACTATAAGTGGTGATTGTCGATAAATCGTGCTTTCAACTTGCGCCCTGCGGAGTTAATTAAAGTACGACAAAGAGGTGACTTTGTCGCATTATAGTGTTTCCGCCTTTGCGCCCACGACAATTAAAATGTTGACAATGTCGGCGGGTAATTTTGACATATTTTCGTGTTTTCGTTCGGTGCCCCGCGATAAATCGTGCTTTCAACTTGCGCCCTGCGGAGTTAATTAAAGTACGACAAAGAGGTGACTTTGTCGCATTATAGTGTTTCCGCCTTTGCGCCCACGACAATTAAAATGTTGACAATGTCGGCGGGTAATTTTGACATATTTTCGTGTTTTCGTTCGGTGCCCCGCGAAGCGAAAATACGACAGAGCACAAATCAGCCACTATAGTTTTCTGCCTGACTGTAAATATGTTAGTGAAATAGGTGACACTGCTTACCTTGCAATACCTCTCGACACCAAGACAGGGGCGGAGCGGGGTACTCTGTGGGTAATACTGGCATGCTGTATAAGGTTCCCAGATATATTTAAACGACTCACTACAATCATAACACGATAAATTCGTGATACTTGTTGGTGTCGTGGCAGCATTCGTGGTTCTTAGATCTGAAAAAGAAAATAGCATCATTAAAAAAATTTGTCAAGAAAATATTGGAAAACGTTAATTGTTGCATTTTAGGTTCCTGGGCAGTGTCATTTTTATCATGATTTAATATATGAGACTATAATGAAGAGTACTCCATAAAGTAAATAGGTCTATAATGGAAGGTCTATAATACAATAAATAATTATTTTGAAAGTATTTACTATCAAACATAACAAACCACGGTAGAATTATATGTAAATGTTGTTTGGCAAGTGTGAGCTATCAGACATTACATATATTTATACGGCAACAAAATGTTATTACATGTATTCATCATATCATTATAAATCACTTGGAACTTTATAAACATCTTTTACAAGCAATACATCATAAGAATATCCAAATGATATTTTTTTTATTAATACGTACACATGTATTTGTACATGAAAAATGTATGGAAAAGGTGCCCACTTTGGGCCAAACCATTTTTAATTAAAATATGTAAAATTCTTTGGAAATCTTTGGGTTAAACATATTTTATTCGTCACATAAACATATTTACATACATGATATTTACAATCATTACAAGAAAAGAATAAGACTTGAAGCAACCTAATGCTTATTAAAATCTTTTCCCAATGTACAATAAATATATGTGCAAAATAAGGCGAAAGAAATTGTTTTAAAACTCTTTATCATATTTTATCATCAAACATTTATCTACATGTCTCTGATTCTATTATCTATACAAAATCTATGCAATGTTATTATCTGGAAATTTTTTTTTACTACATGTATGTCGCAATGAAAAAGAATTAAGAAACTGGTATTGCATTTTTTTAAATTGTTGCTTTAAGTAAGAATATGTAAAAGAAGTCCTAAACTTTTTCACGCCCCTTCATACAACTAAATGTTTATCTGTATAACGCTGTACACATTTTAATATTTTTAATCTATATAAAATATGTAGTCTTTTATTTTGTAATATATAAAAAATCTGTACGATAGAATACTTAAAAATAGATTTCACTTACTTAAGAGAAAATAAAGAGAAATGAATAAAAAAAACTGGTCGTGCCTTTTTCATAATTTGAAGTTTTCCCTTCCTCACGCAAAAATCACAAATAAATAAACAATAAATAATAATAAAACAACAACAAAAAAAAACCGGTATTTTTGTTATTGAAGTACATTTGTATTACAATGTGAATTTTTCAATTGACTTTTTTATTGTTGGAATATTTTTTTTTGAAGAACTCAAATTTTTTTAGGAAATGAAACCGTGCATATTATAAGGTGCTAATGAGTAGTAGCTGTCAATATGAATTTTTCCATAAAATAAAGTACAAATGATATACGATTTTTTCCATAAAATAAAGTACAAATGATATACGATTTTTTCCATAAAATAAAGTACAAATGATATACGATTTTTTCCATAAAATAAAGTAGTCCTCACCTGTGAAAGTCTGAAGTATCCATAGCAATACTATATAAACATGCTTTGTAGTTTTCATTCTTCCATTTTGTTATGCAATACAAACATTCTGTCTAATTTTTCATTTCACTGTCAAACATTGCCCTAAACACCACCCTTGTGAACGCAGTACTCAGTTTTAATATCAGAGTGAATAAATCAATACTTAATGCTCGGATACCTAAAAGATGCATGCCTCCATATGAGCCGAAATATTTCAAATAATAATCAAACTTGTGAAAAATGTGTTAAGATTGTAAGAAAAGTAAAGTGATTAAAGGTTCATGTAATAATTTTCATTCTATGTGTGATTAATATGTCTGATTTAGCAGGATTTATCACTACATTTCTAGTTAGGACTATTATTGCATATATTGACCTCTTTTGGTAATTTACATAGAATGAACGTACCGTTGGTAATGTGTAAATTATTTTTTTGTTCAAATCACAATATTTTACTTTTAAATACATTTTCAAAATTTTCATGAAAATTCTGGAGGCTAATTGCTATAGGTAATTGCGGTTACAATAAATCAGTATATAAATCGTTTGTCTATTTTTCATTATTATTAATTTTGTGTTAAGAGTTGTGCTACACTGGGAAAAAGGTGAAGCTTAAATTATATCGAACAATATACCGAATTCTTTCTTTAAGTTGTAAACATTATTTGTCCATATTAAAACACGTTTTCAAGAACATTTTGTCGAAGTTCATCAAATTTTTGTTCATATTAACATTAAATGTACAAATATTGCTATTTCATCAACTTTAAAGAAAAATCAACTAACTTCAGACGACCGCATATGTTTATAAATTTGTGTTATGTACACTCATGAATAATAAGTGCTGTTGCGACAATGCATGGTCGAAAAAAGGAGCACAAATATCATTTATGCAAAAAAAACAAAACAACAGAGAACATTGATATATTACATATGAATCGTTTATGTAGCACATAAGTGTAACTGTACTCAGGATTTTTAAATATCATGACTAAATATCAACGTTCTTTATTATAGAATATGAGCAGAATTTAAATTTCCATTTACAATTAAGCTCATTCTAAAAGCCGCTTCATCGCTAAATTAATAGTACTACAATGATTCGAATATGTTTCTATAATTGCACGTTTTGCGCGTGTTCCGAATTAAGTTTTCGCCATTTGTGCTTTTGCGTTTTGTCTGCGTAGCATTTTCACTTGGTGTGTTCTTTCAATCATTTCGTTTTCAAGCCTGTTCTTTAATTCACCTGCAATCAACATGATCATGTCTATTCGTGTCTATCCATCCATTTTTCTTTTCTTATTTCATCCGCGTACCAGATAACATACAGTGAATGGTTGCAGAAAGTCCGTGACAACGCACACTGCAGTTCAAGTTTATTTTTTATATTGTTTTTACAAGTGCTTTCCATTTTCAGGTAAATAAGAATCAATGACTTCCATTATCAGGAATAATAGAAACCGTGATTGATTTTCCCGTATCGGCCACTTGATACGCGCAGTTTTACAGCAAAAGCTTATTGCGAACATTTCACTTACGTCCGAGATGTTTTCCGGTTTTAATGATGGGAAAATGCTGTAACATAAAACGTTATTGATTGCAATACACTATTTTCTGATTGGCGTTACCTATTTATCCAAAGCAAGAATTTAGTACAGAACATGTTAAGGAAGTATACTTGCTTCAATTTTCTCAAGTAAATCAGGACCGGAGAAAGAAAACAGTTACAAATGTACTTTTATGCGAAGAACGTACGAACAATGAAATTATTGTTTCAGAGCGGATTTATTTGATATTGTCACACTATGTGACAAATTATTAAATCAAATTATTTCAGTGAGTCTATTTTGCCAAATTAAAATTTTGGTCTTTCTTACAGCTCTATATAAGTTTGTTATATGTAATATTCGCGACGATGTCATGACAAAAACAGGTTTATTGAATGAGGGAAAGAATATTTATCTATTGTACAAACAAATCAAAATAGAGAAAATTATACTCATGATTTTTATAAAAATCAATTTAAAATTGAATGACAACTGCCGTGGAACGCCGGTTAGGCGGAATGATTTCATATAAGTTCTAGAGAAATCGATCAGGCGCCGATTGTTGTCAATGAAGAAATATTTATCACAATTAAATGTATGTTTAAATTAAACGTAGTTATTTCCTGTAATAAGACTACTCCTGTCAGTAACATTCATTTTAAAGGTCCTTAATTTTTATATACAAGAGTAGCATGCGTACATATGAACTGTCATGCGCAGTAGTTAGCGTTCAACTGTATCAAGTCAATTCATTTATTGCATTATATAATCCCCTCCTCAAATTCGGCAAAGGATGTTTATACTTTAAATCTGATTCTGTGCTACGTCTTTGATACAGAAATGGTTTAGTAATCATTGATATGATATTTTGTCTCTCTGAACAGGGTCTTTCAAATAGAATTTGAAAGACCCTGCTCTGAACTAGGTTTATGGACAATGAATTAAATGGGGAGTAAAAATGGACAGACGGACAGATCAGATGATATAAAATCTAAGAAAAATATACTAGTAATTTGTGGAGAGCTGCTACAACATTTATTGAGTGTAAGTTTGTAAAGGACCGTCTTATATCTGACTATGTGATTAAGGGTCTATATAAAATTTGTTTGTACAATCTTATCATTCTTGTTATCTTAACTTCTATTGAGAAAAAAAAAAGAAAAACAACTTGGGCAAATTTACATGCACGATTTTGGCTCTCAATCAGCTATATTTTATATGACTTTGTTTGAAACAGTATTTTCAACAGGAGACACTTCCAATGTCAGGGGAAGTAACTAGAGTCATGAAGGAGTTACTGGCCTTTAATATAAATGTCATTTCTAACGTCACTTACTACTGTGTTTTTTTCCAAATCTGAGAAGACATATAAAACATATAAGTGTTCCCAGGTCAAATAAATGTCATCATAAAAGAAAAACACAAGACAATAATAGAAAATATAATCTCAAAAATTTATAAATACATTATCACAGCATCAGCCATTTTAAACAGCATAGTTTTCGACACATGACAATTCAATCATAACTCACTGTAAGTATAAAGCACATATGTTCATATTATCATTCAAATATTCACCATACACATTCCCTAACTTTTCACCTGCTAGAACTGAAAGTGATTAACCTTTACCACCAGTATAGAGCTAGTCTGATGTGGCTTTATATATCTGATTAACTTCAAACTTTCATCTTGATATTCCCAAAACTGACGATGAACGTTTACAAAAAAGGAAGCTGGAAATTCCATTCAAAATGGATAAGCAGATTAAGGGTTAAAAAAGTTCTCCCTTTAACTAATCCGAACAGTGAAAACATAAATAGACTCAATTATTCTTAAATCTCAAACAAAAAACAAAGAAAGTGATATATACAAAGTATTATTGATATATACAAAATATATAATACTCGTATGCTGGAATTTTGACTGATAATTTTGAAACATTACATACACATCGTTTGACATATAAAAAGTATAAAGTTTGATATAAATAAGTTGTAAAACAAGTTATTGTATAATGGTAATGTTTGTATCTATATCAGCACTTGCAGCTATAACTAGACATACAATGTAATTTAACATTGTACAGTACAATCTTTGCAGAGCAAGTACATTTGGGAAACAATAATTTTGATCAAGAAAAGCTAAATACATTGTATGTTGTAAAGTTTTATCCTTGGGAATAATTTAATCTATTGTTGTAAGGAGGTAATTGCTCTATAGAGGGTCACTCAGCTGAGGCTTTACTGTATATTTTTATTACTGTCTTATTTTATGTCTGTTTTATGTTCTATAAAATATATTCCAAACCGGAATAAAAACCTTAATGTGAACCTTAAGAGACAGCTTTAGGTAAAAATCAATTAGTCACTTATTTAAAATTTGATGAACTTCGACAAAATGTTCTTCAAGATGTGTACTTCACGTATATTTTCAAGATAATTTTGTCGGAGACCATTAACCTAATGGTGCTTGCCTGTCATCTTTGATTAATGAGCAAAAACATGGAATTATTATTATTACTATTTAGGACTTTAGTCTGAGAATAACTTTACGACATTATAATTATAATGGTGAATGTAAATCAACAAGAAAATGAGTATATTACAAGATAATGATTCACAATCATTTTGGCAATAATATAGCATCAACTCTAATTGCCTGTATAAAAAAATAAGTTTTTAAAGCTAAAAAAATAGCATAATAAATTAAGATGATCTTGGCAACATATGGGAAAAGCAGAATATAAAACATAAATGAACATTATTGATGATTAAAGCTTTTGAATGCTAAAATAATCTAGTTATTCTTCAGAAAAACTATTTCAATTTTTAGAATATCTTAAATGAGATATGCTTAAAAGCAGCTCATCCTACTCTGTATTTGTATTTGACCTTTGAAATCATTTTGTATTTGACCTTTGACATAATCCTGTTTTTGACTTTTGACAAGTATTTTTGACATCTTATGTTCATTTTTGATATCACATATGGTATTGACCTTGATGTAAGACACATGAGTTTCATTGTTGCCACATCATTATATCTGAAGGTAGCAGTTTTATCAAGTTGAATAAAATTCCTCTATGAACACAAGAACTGTTGGCTGGCCTAGCAGACATATTGCATTAATTTATCAACGATATCAAAATGTGAACTTCATAGAAAATCATGAACAATATAATATGACTATATAATATTAAAATAATACATGTAACAAGCACTTTGATGGGAAAAAAAGTTGAAAAATGGTAAAATAAATGTATACATATACAAAAACATCAACAACATATTCAAAAGACATACATCAAAATCCTGCTAAAATAAATAACTTTCATCTTTTTTATTGGATTTCAATTTACATATCAAGCTTCTAAATAAAAGCAAAGGAACTAAAGTACACGTTGGCTTTATTAACTAAAGTCCATATTGGCTTTATGAACTAAAGTATATGTTGGCTTTATGCATGAAAGTATTATATTAGGTATATGAACTAAAATACATGTTTGGTTTATGAAGTACAGATACATTTTGGGTTTATGAACAAAAGTACCTGAAGGGTTATTGAACTAAAGTACATGTTGTATTTATGGACTCAAGTAAATGATGGGTTTAGAGAATATGTAAGGTTTATGTACCAAAGAACATAAAGCATGTAAAACATGTATGTTTATGAACCTAAGCATATGTAAGGTTTATGAACAGAAATGCATGTTAGGTTTAAGACCAAAAGTAACTTTTAAGTTTAAGAAACTTAGCACAGTTGGTTTAATGATAAAGAGAATAATTATGTAAGGTTTATGAACAAAAGAACATACATGTATAACATGTATAACATGTATGTTCATGAACCTTAGCACATGAACAGGGCTTATGAATAGACATACATGTAAGGTTTTTGAACCAAATCACATTTAGGATTTATGAAAATTTCACATGTTAGATTAATGAACATACATTCATTTGAAGTTTTTGATCAAAATACATGGAGTACATATGAGCCAATGCACATGTTTGGTTCACAAAAAAGTATTTGTTGTAACTGACATTATATTTACAAAAGATATCCTAAGCCAGATACTTCAACAAAATTTGCTTAAACCCGTAAATATGATATTTTCACACAACAGTGTATCTCTGTTTGAATATGGTATATATCTTCAAATGATTTTACTCAGATACATTACAAAATTGTTACTAACAACCTATAACACATATATACTAAGTGGCTAGTTCTGGTGGTGGGAATTCAATAGTCTGATTCATTATCTTCTCAGCAGCTAGCCTTTGTTCAGCATTCATACGTCTGTATTCCGCTTTGAAAAACAACATCAAAATGAGCAACGAGAAAACAGCAACACCACTGGCAAACAACATTGGAACTGAAATAAAGGTATTAATATAGAAAAAAAACAAGCAATTATCAAAGTATTGAAAGCAATACAAAAATCACCTACCAGTTAGAACCCAACAAGAATTATGTCAGCAACATTCTGAAGGGTCATGGCCATTCAATTATGCAATTGTGGAAGACATGAATGAACTTAAATCTTTGAGTTCTTAGTTTGTCTGTATCATAGTAATGTGTTAAGTTTCCTTGGCTAATAAGGAAATTACGTTTAAGCAACAGATAATCAAATAATTTATAATATACACATGAGTGATCTCTAAGAACCAGAATAATATAACACAAAACTAAATTAATGTACAAGGCAAGTCATTATTGCTTTCATTGCACTTCATGTTTGTTTCGCTGTCTAAAAAAGATGTGTAACAATTACCTGTCCAGTCTTGCGGAGTAAAATCATTAGCTTTTGCATTTTTCAAGCTACATCCAGTTCCTTTATTCAACTCTTCTTGTGATAAATCTTGGGCAATAAACTGCATCAGTAATATGTAAATTATTCCCTGAACTTGCCTGTAAGTGAAACACAAGTGAAATATAATTACAGTTTTAGTGAATCTTTTTGTTAGCAGACAAATAATAAAGCCCTCTCAATAATTTACATGTTTTGTCACAATAACACTGTTACAGTATTGATATACATGTATTTACTGATTATTAAGAAGTTATTTTGTCACTTAAGTGGGGCAAGTTGTTATTGGGTGAATTGTCAGTGGGGCAAATCGTTATCAATTCACAGTTACCCTTCAGAATAAGGAGACAGGTAATGTCTTTGTGTTAAATACATGATAAATTTGTAGTAGTTTAATCAAATTAATTATTCAACTTTCTTGACTTCACTGATTCATTCTATTTTGGAATTAACATTTTTGAGAGAGTTTTAAACTTATTTTACTTATTTGTGTAATAATTCTATTTAAGAATGAAGAAATAAATGAAAATCTATAAATCAGAATTTTGTTTTTGCATTCCGAAAATTTGATTAAAATAGCTACTTACCCAGAAATGACCATAAGACCTGCGCTGGTTGCCTCGGCAACAGGGTAGGTAACTTCAACAGCTAACTCCATACAAATAGGATATATGGCAAAGCCAAAACCTCCAAACAATGCTGTACTTAAAGCAACTAAAACTTCCTGATCACGTAACCTAGCAACCTGGAATTAAAGTTACACTCAGTATATAAAAAGCTAATCATCCAAACATTAATTTTCGTTAGCTTATCACAATAGGGAGAGCATAAGATTTGTAATCTAGGGTCTCTGCTTCTTCTGTCATGTGAGGAGAAATTTCTCTGTGACAATAGATCTCGGACATAGAGTCTAATGGTCATTTATCTCTTACTGCTGATTCAGAAATCATGTGGAATTAGTAGCTCCTAAGTTGATAACTAACAGAGAAACTGGTTAATCACTGATTACTAGAGTGATTAGTTAACTTGCTGCAGAGATATGACCAAAATGTGTAAAAATCATCATAATAAAAGATAAACAAACAAGCAATAACTAAATGAGTTTGGAAAAATTAACAGTGAAAAAATTTCGTGTCAAATTTCATAACATTTTTTCTTAAACAAATTCTACTGAAGTTAGTATAAAATAACAATGGATGTCACTTACATGCATATGAAAACAATATCAAGCAGAGTGTACTTGCATTATAAAGTAATCTGTAGCATACCTGTGAAAATGCTACAGCAAACAGACAACTGAAACACCAGCAAACTTTAACTAGCTCCTCAAAACGTTTAGTTTTATCTACGTATATCCCAGCAAACACTGCTCCTATAGCACCAGTTCCTATCATTAATGCACCACATACACCAGCAAATGTCTGGAAAACACAGAGGTACATATCTTATTGTTATATTCAAGGAAATTATTCATAACTTCTTTTATCACAAACCCATGCCGCTTTTGCGACTCCAAAAAACGATATTGCATAGCCATGCATATATATTAACATGGTGTTGTTTGTGTTATACAAATCATCTCATAATGATGTTACACTGAATAAGCAGGTCAATGAAAATGTGATTCTTTTTTTACAGGAAAAATTCTTAATTGGGGTATATGTAAAAGACAGTTTCATTCATGTAGCTTCACTACCAAAGGCTGTCATAATATAATTTTATTCATGAACTTTTTCAATAATTTCATTCATATATTTATTTTTTGAAAGAGATATGAAGAAGCTATAGAGAAAGACTTTTTACTTAAATTTGGATACATTTGTCAATGAACACTAAGTTTTTGGGGCAATTACATGCATTTCTTGCCACCAAGTAAAGAAGTCTTATTTTCTTAAAAAAAAAGTTTGTCAAAAAAATATGGTCTTTAAAAGACAACATATATTAATGAAATCATACATCAGTGTAGCCTCTTGGACAAAGCATCTGATCTAGGAATGAAGAATACGCTGTGAAGAGAGCAAGCCCGGTACCAAATACAAAATTCAGGAACCAGTAACGTTTGTTCTTCAAAATCTGAAAATAGAACAAAGCACATTATCATGATTGTTAGTTTATATAAATACTATATGTAAAAATTTAAAAAAAGACCTAGAAACCCTTTCCTTTTAAAAAGAAAAAGTGTGTTTCTGTGATAAAAGGTTTGAATCCTGGGGGCTACAAAATCTACTCATCTATGCCATCTGATCATGGTATGCACTATTTAGTGAGTACATAGATCTATTTTGATTTTTTTTCTAAAATTGATGAATTGTTTTGCTCAGATTGAAATATGGAGAAGTCACACTAACACTTGAGGGTTTACAGCAAAACTGCAGTAACTCGTATGAAATAAGGAAGGACTTAGAACAGTCCTGCAGTCAACACTCACACTGTTAAGGTCATACTGTAAGCAACAAGCTACAGTAGTTGAAGAAGTCATAAAGCCGTTATTTCATTTAAATGTGTCTATCAAAGCAGTCTTCCAACATCATATAAGTTAGCTTGATGGCTTCCTGACAAAGAAACCCACAGTCGTGAGCCTCTAAAAATTCAATTCAGCAGTCATAACACTATGACCCCTATTAATAAATATAAACATGAACTTGTGTAACAAAAACCTGTTTCAGCCCTTCAAAGAATGGTTCTGATTTTTCTTCAGCACTTGAGGTGGGTGGTGTAGGAGGCACAGAGCTACATATACCAAATGTTGCCATAAACATCACCAGCAATGATGGCCCTGTGATTATCCAAAGCTGAAAAACATAAATTCAAACATAACTTTTTTGGTGCAGACAAGGTTGTTAATAATATAAGAAAAAAGAATTAATCATATATAGAGAGCTTCTTGTAAATAATGTAAACAAGAGGGCCATGATGGCCCTGAGGTCGCTCACCTGTATATAGCCCACCCACCCCCCCCCCCAGGCCAATTATTACCCAAGGGCTTTTCTTTGTTTATTTGAACAGACTTGGTAGACACCCATAAGAAAATGTTTCATGCTAAACATCTAAGATCTAGCTCATTGAGTTTTTAAAAAGAAGATTTTTTAAGTTTTTACTATACACATATAGTTAAAAACAATGACACCCATGGGGCAGGGCCAGTTTTCACCCCCGGACTTTTATTTGAACAAACTTTGTAGATATTTACTTAAAGATGTTTCATGCTTAATATCTAAACTCTAGCTATTTGGGTTTTTTCAAAGAAGATTTTTAAGTTTTTGCTATACATATATAAGGAAAATCAATGACCCCCCGGGCGGGCCAGTTTTGACCCCAGGGCTTTTATTTGAACATACTTGGTAGACACCCATTAGAACATGTTTCATGCTAAATATCTTAGCTCTAGCTCTTTGGGTTCTTTAAAAGTAGATTTTTTAAGTTTTTACTATATGCATATAAGGAAAATCAATGACCCCCATGAGCGGGGCCAATTTTGACCCCAGGGCTTTTATTTGAATAAACTTGGTAGACATTCATTAGAAGATGTTTCGTGCTTAATATCTAAGCTCTAGCTCTTACAGTTCTTTAAAAGAAGATTTTTTAAGTTTTTACTATATGCATATAGGGAAAATCAATGACCCCCCCGGGGCGGGGCCAATTTTGACCCCAGGGCTTTTATTTGAACAAACTTGGTAGACACTCACTAGAAGATGTTTCATGCTAAATATCTTAGCTCTAGCTCTTTGGGTTCTGTAAAAGAAGATTTTTTAAGTTTTTACTATATGCATATAGGGAAAATCTATAACCCCCTGGGACAGGGCCAATATTGACCCCAGGGCTTTTATTTGAACAAACTTGGTAGACATTCACTAGAAGATGTTTCATGCCAAATATCTAAGCTCTAGCTGTTACAGTTCTTTAAAAGAAGATTTTTTAAGTTTTTACTATATGCATATAGGGAAAATCAATGACCCCCCGGGGCGGGGCCAATTTTGACCCCAGGGCTTTTATTTGAACAAACTTAGTAGACACTCACTAGAAGATGTTTCAGGCCAAATATCTTATCTCTAGCTCTTTGGGTTCTTTAAAAGAAGATTTTTTAAGTTTTTACTATATGCATATAGGAAAATCTATGACCCCCTGGGGCGGGGCCAATTTTGACCCCAGGGCTTTAATTTGAACAAACTTGGTAGACACTTGGTAGAAGATGTTTCATGCCAAATATCTAAGCTCTAGCTCTTAGGGTTGTTTAAAAGAAGATATTTAAAGATTTTTCTTTTGGTTGCCATGGCAACCAGAGTTCTGCATGGAATTAAATTCTTTGAACAATTTTTAAAGGTGACCACCAAAGGAACATTCCTGTGAAGTTTGGATGAAATTCGCTCAGCGGTTTATGAGGAGATGTCATTTAAAGCAAAAGTTTACGGACGGACGACGGACGGACGACAGACGGACGGAAGCCGGACGAAAAGCGATCACAAAAGCTCACCCTGTCACAAAGTGACAGGTGAGCTAAAAATGGGAGAGACACAACTAGTTTCTATTAAGCTTAGCCTAAATTGATATCAAAAGCAACACAGTATTATATAAATGGAACTGTATTTCAAAAACAGAAAAACAGTCACAAGTACATGTAATCACAAAATGCATGAGTTACACAAGAATGGTGAGCATTACTCAACCTGTTTTCCTGGGTTATGCTGCTTATGCGTAACTGCTTATCTGTTTATTTCAAAATGTAACCGCCAATCACTTAACCCTTACCCTGCAGAATACAAAAATGATTAGCCTTTCTCATCAGTTCAGTCAGGCCAGCCTACATTACCTGTCTGACCAGGCTCAACATTGTTGTATAACTAACATTAGATTTTCATCTCTATATCCCACAAATTGATACTGGATACTCAAAAAAGCAAACTCTTTACCGGTACTCAAAAAAGGCAGCTCTTTACCAGTAAGTCCATTTTAAAAATACAGCAGGTTTAATCAAAGACGGCAAGAAACATGAATGATAATTAAAATATAAAGCAAATTTTAAGCAGTCATGGTACAAAGATAGGACTTACAAGTAATGATATGTCTTTTTGTTGCTGTACTACATTTGGTGCCAGCAGGTTAGCTACCAGAATACCTAATGGATTTGCTGAAATTAAATGACAAGATATCTTATATACTGTATAAAGATACATGCGCATGTATTAAACAGTGTTAGTTACATACTTATTTCTTCTCTTACTTCCCCCCTTTTGAAAGTCATTGGATAAAAAAATATACAGGTCAGGTAATATTGTACAGACTCAATAAAACCGAGATAAATTTATTGTTTTTAATGCTTCCAAGGGATAACCTTTTTTCAAGATATTTATTCAGCAACATTATCATGACAAGCAATAAATAAATACCCATTGATGCTATCATATTTGCAGTAGCACGCTGGTCCCCGGCAAACCACAGAGCTGCTAGCTTTGTTGGGGCAAACATGATAAAAGGCTGGGCACAAGCTGCTAAAATCTGACCTGAAAGATATACAGTTATAATAAGTTAAACAGTCTTATAAGATAAATATTTCCTTATACCATAACAAAGTTAAAATATATCAGAATTGAAACTAAAATATCAAAGTTATATTTGAAGATAATTTTTATAGTTCATACAGTGTTACATGTACCATGAACCATCAATATTTTCTGCCTTAACAAATAATGTAGCTAAAATATCTTGTCTAATTATGAGGAAAAATTGGGAAAACTGTTGTTTTCTTCAACTTGGTGTCCTAGGCAGAAAGAATTGGAACCTATTCAATGGTACCTATTACAAAATATATAAAGATAATTAAATGGCTACTTTATTGTTTTCTCAAGCGTTCTTTTAACCATGTAAGAGTGTTCTAGTCAAACAAGGAAAATAGAATGTTTGGCATCAAACAAGATTGACTGTGACTTATTATTCCTATAACCACAGAAGCATCCCTTTATTAGGCAGCTAGGTAGGGTAAACCTTTAGGTATATGTATATGCTGTTTTGGGAAACCTTAAAACTGCTGATCATGCACAAATAATATAACATTTCTAATATAATAATAGTGCTTTAAAAATATAAACAATTAATTTCTATTCTCTTAATTTGTTTGAAGATGCAAATATCAATCATTCAATAACAATGGTAGCCATAGATATGTAACCACCTGCCTTTCTCCATGATAAACTTACCTGTCAATGACCATGCCACATGTTATATGATGCAACAATAATATTGTTTCAATACAAATATTTTGTGATTAATGCCACTAATACACCAACTTTTATTTATAACTTGATTTTGAAAAGCGTTTTTTGAATTGGTCTAAAAAAAGAAACATAGTCCTGATCAAATTATGGCACAATAGAGTTGTAAGGAAAACACATTTTATAAAATAAACACAAGATCCTGTCAATATGTTTAAATAGGGATCATGTGTGCAGATGATTACAACATGCAGAAACAAGAGCTGTCAGTAGGACAGCAACGCTCGACTATTCTTAGTGCTTGATAGTAAAAAAATGCTTGATACAGTTACCTCCTCCTGTTTACAGGTTGGGGTAATGATGGTGAACAAGTGTGCAAAGTTTCAAAGCCATATGTCAATGGACTTTGAAAATATTTGAACTATTACAAAAACTTTAACATAAATTCTAAGTCGAAAAAGGGGCATAATTCTGTCAAAATGCTTGATAGAGTTACCTCCTCCTGTTTACAGGTTGGGGTCATGATGTTGAACAAGTGTGCAAAGTTTCAAAGCCATATGTCAATGGACTTTGAAAATATTTGAACTATTACAAAAACTTTAACGTAAATTCTAAGTCGAAAAAGGGGCATAATTCTGTCAAAATGCTTGATAGAGTTACCTCCTCCTGTCTACAGGTTGGGGTCATGATGGTGAACAAGTGTGCAAAGTTTCAAAGCCATATGTCTATGGACTTTGAAAATATTTGAACTATTACAAAAACTTTAACGTAAATTCTAAGTCGAAAAAGGGGCATAATTCTGTCAAAATGCTTGATAGAGTTACCTCCTCCTGTCTACAGGTTGGGGTCATGATGGTGAACAAGTGTGCAAAGTTTCAAAGCCATATGTCTATGGACTTTGAAAATATTTGAACTATTACAAAAACTTTAACGTAAATTCTAAGTCGAAAAAGGGGCATAATTCTGTCAAAATGCTTGATAGAGTTACCTCCTCCTGTCTACAGGTTGGGGTCATGATGGTGAACAAGTGTGCAAAGTTTCAAAGCCATATGTCAATGGACTTTGAAAATATTTGAACTATTACAAAAACTTTAACATAAGTGGTTACGCCGACGCCGACGCTCGGGTGACTGCAATAGCTCTACTTATTCTTATTGAATAGTCGAGCTAAAAAGAACTAGTTATAGCATCTGTATATTGAGAACATGTGGATGGTTACATTAATGATGATTAGTCAAGTAAAACTTACCTGCCAGACACCATGTGTATCTTGTATCATCAGGAACAATGTCAAACGTACTGACGTTTCTAAGAAAACTTCCAACGCCATTTAACCAGCCCGCTAGTATCAACTGAAATGTAACAGAATATAATGCTGTTAATAATGCTAAAATTATGATACACACATGTGCCCATGCTTAAATGTTATAAATAATATTACAATAAGTTGTGCTACTCCAAAGCAATAACTTCTAAGAAAAAACATAAAATGTATTGAATAAAATAGTAAACTTGAAACTGCTATTTAACAAATCTAGTGACGGCAAGTTTAATCCCTTGCCCAGTCAACCCTAAAATTCTTGACACAGTTAAAAGCTTTCACATTTTTAAAGCATCATAAACACAGTATTATCTGCACAATATGAACATGTAGCTAATTATAAAAACAGGGCCGGCAAAATCTGATTTTAATTTAATTGTCCGTTTTTATCTGAAGCATTTCTTAACTTGCCTGTATGATATTTATAAAGTAAATGCTTGAAAATTTCCACTTGTCTGTACAAGCTGTGGGACAATCTGAGCAATATGAACAACTGGTTTTGCCGCCCCTAAAAAAAATGTACAAATATTAAATATGAACATAAGAAACTTACACTGAGCCTTAGACCAAGAGTATCTAGCACCCATGAAGCAACAAATCCAAATGGTACACTTGCTATAGCAAACACTAGTACAAGGATGTTCAATTCAAATGGTGTAATACTATAATAAGGGACAGCTGTATCAGCAATTGGAGAGAATGTTATCCATATCTGCAATAAATAAAAAAGAAACAAATAAAACACTTGTACCATGAATGCTATTTTCTATTACTAGTATTAATGACACATTGCAATACTGTATAGGAAATTAGGAATTACTGGTTATTGTAGATCTAAATGAAAAGTAAAATAATGAGTCTGAAATAATTGAAAATCACTGAATTAATAAAAAATACCACTAACTTTGTTGCCAAATACCAGTTAATGGAGCAATGGCCTTGTGGTTAAGGTGACAGCCTCTTACCCAGGCTCTGTGAGTTTGAGCCATTCTGGAGTCAAAAGCATGTTTCCTCATATGACACCAGTTGGTTCCAAGAAGCTAGAGTGGTTTAGATAAGCCACAAACAAGCTTTAAATAATGTTCGGACTATCTATATAAAAACAATCCATATCAGTAAGTAGTCGTTATATATGAAGTTTGGATATCAAAATAAATTAAACTGGCCATTAATAAATGGATACTGCTATGCCAATTAACTTCTTCAATATCAAAAAAAAATATGTCTTTTTGGAATTCATAATTAAATCTTAGTGTTTTCTCTTTGGTAATTGGAGGTTATTTTTTCTACACATGGGGCATCCTGTTGTTGACTTCAAGCCACTAGCCTCCTCTCACCTCTGTGGGTTCAAATTTTGCAATAGACTTTGTATTCTTGCATGTCAGGAAGCTATCCTGCTAGCTTAAAGAACATAGGTAGTTTGGGGGATAACCTTCAGGTGGAGGAACTGGTAAGGGGGAGAATAGTCTGTCATTCTGCCTAGGCTTGATTCTGAAACTTGTTTTGGTTAGCTTAAGGTCTTCAGCGTACCTGTTTATATATTATGACATGACCTGATGCTGCATCAGATGAAAAATAAAAACATTAAAAAGTGGCTTGCCAGAACAAGTTTTTAATCAGTATCTCACTTAATTGTAGAGGGAGATGTTGCTTATACATAAAAGACACAGTATCTCAACTCTAACTCTAAGTTGCAGTACCTCTAATTTCAGTATGTTAATTGTTTATTAGCTGACTAAACAAGAACTCTCAGAGGACAGCGAAGCTTGACTATTCAAACAAGCACCGGTTGAACCGGGTGATGCTACCCAAGAAGGTTTTGGACACAGGAAAGTATAAAACAAGAGCCACCGCCAAGCGGGGGCAACGCTTGACTTTTACTTTTTCTGAAAGCAAACAAAGAAATGTTTGAACAAATCTTAACGTTTCCTTTTTATAAATTTAAATTGTCTGTCTTGTCACATTAGTTTTGTCTATATATTTTGTATATATAAATATACTCATTTATATATATACATATATATATATATAGCGGGAAAAAAAGAATGAAGCGATGCCTTATCCAGTTTACATTGCAATTGTTTATGAACAAAACTGTAATAATAATTGAAGAGAAATATCAACCGGTTTCACCCGTTAAAGGGATCTTCAAGATAATGACGTTATAACGTCACATGGTAATGACGTCAAAACAGTGTAAAGGGACGTTACTCTTATTATAGCATAAAATCGTCTATTTTCCCATATTTTGCCCATGTTATAACGAGACCAAAACCATGTGTTAACATAGTCACGTGCTCTTGTTAATTAGCCCGGTTTCACCTATGCGCAATACATACAGGGCCCAGTAAACAAACAAAAATTTGACGATTTGGCCTGTTTGCCAAAGAGTCATGAGCTCTTGTTATATTGAAATTATTGATTCGAGGGCCCCAATCGCATAACGACGTGCAGCATTCAAGTAACTATGCCAGAAATACGGCATATAGACATCGCTGCTAATCTTGGTTGTTGCCCTTTCTAAGAAACGGACAGTTGTCAATGTAAACAAATACAGTACCTGTCATTCAGTTTAACACTCCGATTAACATACAAAACTAGATTACACAAAATGAATATGAGAAAATGTTGTTTTATTTATGTTAATGTTGATAAATGCTCTTTATATTTCTTTGAGAGAATAATGCTTAGTGCCTGATTTTTTTTTATAAACTTGTTTGCTTGAAAAAAAAACGATTCTGATGTCACTGATCTTTTTTCTACCGTCAATCTGAAATCATTCTAAGAATTTCTGAGGGTCATGTTTTGTCTTGGGTAGAGGGTAGAGTAATGTAACGTTGTTTTTTTCTTGAGATAATAAATCTCCAATGTCAAGCTTTGTTAAATCAATTAAAATTCCAAATTTCGTTCGGTTCTGAGAATTTTCCAAGTACGTAAAACATGTAGAATTGGATAAATACTGTCCAAGCACAAGAATTTTATGTAATTGTGTTTTGTATTAACTATACATCACGAATCTGTTTTAAAATTTTATGCTATAATAGCGTCAACGCGTTTATTTCGTGTTATAAAGTCTGCAGAGTCCCTCAGAACCGTTCCTCGGGACTCTGCAGACGTTATAACACGGAAAAACGTGCGTTAACCCTATATAAAGTTTTAAAGGGACATAATAATAAGCTTTAATATTATTGTTACAAAATGTATACCGGTATATCAAAGTTATTTTGAATTCAATTCTGGTTTAAAAACGTTTATAAATACAGTTTCTTTCATTCTTTTTTTGAATGTGTCTGGTTCTTGCATTTTATAGATTTGGCATTATATTAAACTTTGGAGTGATGTCTCTTGCGCAAATGGCAATGTGTCGCCTGACTGGTAATAATGCATTGTCTGGATTTTGTATATGTTGGCTGTGTATAAATGTTACTCGATTTCTTAAATTTGAAGTTTCTCCAATATAATCTTTGGAACAACCATTACATTTCAATGCATAAATTACATTTTTTATGTCGCATGATCCTGAGAATTTTACTTTAAATTCGCGGCCATTCTTCTTGAAATGGTATGTATTTCCATCTATCAAGTGTTTGCACAGACCGCATTTTAAACAGTTTAACTTAGATAATCAAAGAGAACAAGTTTGTGAAATTTCAATCCATTTCCTTCAGTAGTTATGGAAATACCAGCTTACACGCAAAAAGTTAACCAAGAATTTCTAAATCAAAAAAGGGGAATTATTATGCAAAAAAGCAAATCAGAGTTATGGGACTTGTGCCAATCACGTTAGATAATTACAGAGAACAAGTGTGTGAAGTTTCAATCCATTCCCTTCGGTAGTTATGGATATCCCAGCTTACACACAAAAACTTAACCAAGTTGCCACAAATACAAAAAAGCAAATCAGAGTTATGGGACTTGTGCCAATCATGTTAGATTGTCACAGAAAACAAGTTTGTGAAATTTCAATCCATTCCCTCAGTAGTTTATTACGGAGATACCTGCTTATACGCAAAAACTTAACCAAGAATTTTTAAGTAAAAACAGGGGCATAATTACATGTATGCAAAAAAGCAAATCAGAGTTATGGGACATGTAAGATAATCACAGAGAACAAGTGTGTGAAGTTTTAATCCATTCCCTTCAGTAGTTATGAATGTCCCATATTACACGCAAAAACTTAACCACGGGCACGGGCACCGACGCTGACAAATGGGTGACTGCATAAGCTGTATTTTTCTGCGAAGTCAAGCTAAATACTACTGGCTGAATGAAGAGCTAAATTATCAGCTAATGCTGTGTTTTATAATCAAGAAATTTTCCTTTTCACATATTTCATTTGATATTTACAAAGAATTGTTGTTTTAAAACACAACATCAATTTCATGTAAGTGGGACATACGAAAGACATTTTAGTATGAAAACACCCAAGAGTGTCGAACCCCTGAGGCTGTGATTTTTAGTCCCAGACTTTACTGGGATTTAGATAGCTAAAGAGACTTCAGCGAACAGGTTTTATTGTACTGTTCACTGTCGCACAACGTCAAAATAAAAGCGACAAGCCAGAACTAGGATTTAGAATGAGTAAGAGAATGAAAACATATTTCAAATATCAGTAATACCATTCCATTTGTTAAATTCAAAAGGAATACGACAATCAGTATAAACCATCGACATCTGTATACTCGAAATTCAGAGTCTGAGCTTGAATTGGAACTCAACAATTTCGAATTTTCGTCCATGGGGGCGGCCATTTTTAAGTCATGTGACTGTCTTGGTTCATGCCGTAACGCCGTAACATCTTATGTCCGGATCATGGATTATACCGTAATACCGGGACAGCATATAGCTGAGATATTTTATAAAATGTTTTTTAATGTTCTAGTTTTTCAAAATATCTTTGGCTTACATTTGTTGGGGCATTTTACGTAATTCACCAACCATCAATACGTGTAGCTCTAGGCTTTATTTATTTATTTATTTATTTATTGATACATAGAAATGTTATTATTTTCTCGTATACTCGCATTTATAACTGTTTTTCACGGTTGTAACTGAGAAGATGGTGTGAAGAAACTTTAAAAAGGTCTAAACTCAAATAAAGCATCATGTCCTGACCAAATATTACCACGGTTACTTAAAGAGCTCCATCAAGAGGTTACTCCCATACTGACCCACATCTTCAAATTTTTTTAAAAATAGGTATTGACCAAGACGACTGGAAGCATGCATTAATTGTCCCAGTTTACAAAAAGGTCCAAAATGCAAACCCAGCTATTATAGACCTATCTCCCCCACATGCATAGCGTCTTAATTGATGGAACACATCTTAGTGTCCAATATGATGTCTTTTTATGCTGAACACATTATCAATATAGCCCCTATTATAACATGGCTTCATATCAGAGTCCCATCTAGTAAGCTTCTCTCAGGAAATGCATGACAATCTTGAAAGAGGTAAAAAAACAACTGTTGTCATAGTCATGGATTTGAGTAAAGCATTAGATAAGGATCATCACAAACTTGTGAGTAAATTGACAAGATTAGGCATAAACTTGTCACGAGATTACAATTAAATTGGGTCCATTCTTTCCCAGCAAGTTGTAGTTGAAGGTCAAAAATCAAGAATTTTACCAGTCCTTTCAGGTATCCCCAAGGGCTCGGTATTAGGCCCCTGCATGTCTTTTCCTTTCCTAAATAAATGATCTCCCTGATAGTATCAAAGGTAAGGTAAGGCTGTTCGCAGATATAATACTATTGTCTACCTATAACCATCATATCCAAACCCTTCAAGATGACCTACATGCATTAGAAATATGGGAAAAAGACCCGTCCATGGAGTTTAATCCTGATAAATGTGAAGTACTCAGGATAACAAGAAAAAGAATTCCTGTAAATTTTCCTTATCCCTCCTTATCCAAATTAAATCAACCCAAGAGTTGGAGTCACTATTTGTCAAGACCTTTCATGGACCAAACACATCAAAAGCAAATAAATCCCTTAGATTCACTAGAAAAATGTTAAAATTCGAAATAAAAAGATCAAGGAAACTGCATATAAGACCCATGTTAGACCTCAGGTCTAATACCGTTCGATCTATAGTTAATTGGCAAAGCCTCGAGCAGCGTCGAACCATCACTGCATAAAATCCAAAACAACATTGTTTTTGTTGACCACCAACATCCTAAACATAATAAGTGTAGGACTGAGACAAATATAATATGTATCAAGAAGGATTCAGGTAAATGTTTTTATATTCTACCTTGGACACAATTTTCTATCACATACCCGAGACGCATTTGTGACTCCGTAAAAACGGTGCCAATTACACGGCAGTGCATATGTTTTGACATGACGTCGTTTGCGTCAAACATAGTGTAGAATGCTATCGTAACACTTAATTGTAAGCGCGTCAACGGAAAAGCGATTCTCATCTTTACCGTTAACATTTCTTATTTTGGATATGTCATAAATAGAATATCATATTCGTGTAGATTCAATACTTAATTTATTGAACTCGTTGTATAAATACAGTATTGATTCAACACTCATTAAATATCCTCTGTATATAATAATTATGTACCTTGAAAATGGTGTATTTTTTACGAAAATACATGAACTTACAAAATAAACCTACAAAGACCTTATTTATAGGGCCAACACAGTGTCATGCATTGCTGTATACATCAGCCTTGTTGCAGCAACCATTTCTGAAAGTTGAGATCGGACAAATAGATAAGTGACGTAAGTTTTCCGAAAATGGTATTTTTTACAATAGATTTTATATGCATTCAGGTCGCAGATTGGAGCCTATACGATGCGGGCCTACTGAGACAGTAATGCTTGGGCCAACACAGTGTTTTATGCATTGCTGTAAACACCAGCCTTCAGGCTCTTGCAGCAGCGGTTTTACAGGGCAAGTGTTTATGGTTTCCGGAAAATGCTTTTCTACGAAAATACATATTATTGACTTCATATGAATCCAGAAAGCGGATTTGAGCTGTACCATGCGAGCCTACTGAGACCTTATTTTTTGTCACCGCAATGTGTCATTATAAACATCAACCATCAGGATCTTGCATCAGCCATATTGCATTCAGATCGGATAAACTGGAAGACGACGGTGATGTACGAAAATACGTCGACTTTATATGCATTTAGAACGCGGAGTGGAGGCTATGACGCACGGGACTACTAATACATCACTTCCTGAGACAGCATGTGCAATGTGTGATGCATTGCTGTTAACATTATTCTTTTTGGTTGTTGCATCAGTTACTTTGTAATGAGATCGGTCGGATGGGAAGGTGACGGTGGTTTCCGGAAAATGATATATTTTTACGATAAAACATAGGGTGTTTTAAGCGCGCTTTTATGCTGTGTTTATTATGAAATGAATAGGCAAATATGTGTTCAAAAGCAATGTCGCGCGATACAAGCGTCTTTGGAAACCATAGAAACATAAATTATTTTTACCCATTTGGATTGCTTCATATAGTTTGATGATCAATAGAGTAAAATTCATTATAGCAAAAAAAAAAACACATTTTGAAACATAATGCATGCCAATGAAAATCAGTTATTTACGTTAATATATTAAGGGTCACACAAGCTCTATAGTAACTCTCCACATATGCTAATGTGTGTATGAAATAACAATCTCTAGGTTTGTAACTATATTTGTATAATCAAATACATGTACATGAAGTCTCTTTCACTATTGCAAAGTATGAAGAAAACAGGTTTTGAGACAATGATTTATTTATTTTGAAAACACATTTCTAAGCATTTTGTTAGTGTATGTACAGCTTATGATGAAATAAAACACCAATGCTCATTAGATATCAATACATACTTACTTTTTTCATATCACATGTTGTTCCAAGCTTTTCAATTCAATATAACCATGCGTATATGTTCAATATCACCATTACGTATATGTTAATATTACAAACATGATGTACCATTTACCTCATATTTACAGTATTGTGTGTTTGCAAATTAATTAAATGAATAGTTATACACTTTTAAGTAATCAATATTAAGAATGTGTGGTTAAAAAACTAAAATAATGTTAGAAACAAGCTGGAATAACAATTCTTCCATTTTTTATTTAAGACTTAATAATAAAATATAATACATGAATACCCTTTTAATACATGTACACATGAACTTGAACTTACGTTCAATGTACTAATGAAAACCAGGCATGTATGATTTCATATTTCATCTCTTCATTATAAATAAAAAAGATGTATTCAAATATGAAAAATGAAAATAAATTCACCACTAAATATTTACATATTTCTTTTTGTCAAAATGGTCAACACTTCATTTGTGTCAAAATATTACCCAATTCTGTTGTTAAATAAAAATACACTTAAATGACACAACTTACATATAGTCAGGAATTATACATGTATTAATTATCCATATTGTGCATTTAATATTTGAAGAAATAAAGAAAATAATAAACATTCTGTCTTAAGAAGTATTTCTTCATTATCACTCATGTATCACTAAATAGTACAGTGCAACCTCTACAGAGTGACCCCCTGTAGAGCAATCACCTTTGTAATAATTCCCAAACTAAGACTTAGAAATAACAATATCAACCTCTCCAGAGCAACAACCAAACTTTTTGTCTCTCAAAAAGTGTTACTCTACATATTGTACTGTAGTAAAATCCTCCATATCATCTCTTCCGACAATTTCTCTTTAATGAATTTGTGTTATCTCGTATTGTGACATACTGAATGTTTCTTGTTACATGATGCATGTATGTCACCTATCATTTTAAGTATCCAGTAAGTTCCAACATGAATGTTATGCTGCCTGCAGCACTTTATTTTTATTAGGAAGGTACAGTTGATGAGGGACAGAATCAACACAGTCAAGGTAATCAAAGAAGACATCTGTTGTATCTCAGTAGTCAGCACTGCTGGCAGCCAGGTAGTCACGGCGACCAATACCAGCCACTTGCTTGTTCTGTAGAGCTTCCAACTTGGGACAGTCTGCTATACGATGACCGAGACCACCACAATACATACAACCAGCTTCCCCTGAAATATACACATGTTATGTTGTAGTCAATAATGTCAACATTATCAGGAATTGAAGTTATTTTCATAAATCAATATTTTTTCTCTACAACTTCTATATCAAATCATAAAATTTACTCCCTTTTCTATCATAAATCACCTAATTCCTTTTTTATTTGTGACCTGGGTTGTTTCTTTATAATCATAATCTAATGTGTTACATTTTATCTGTTTATACACGTGTTATACATTTTAACATAGCCTTACATGTTTGCATTACTGTGAATGGAAAATCACATTGCCGATACCTGACCAGTCAGACTCTCTACCTGTTGCTGTTTTAACAAATAGACAAATAAATCATATGCAACCGTGACATAGCGTAAAAGCAGGCCAAGTCCATCACAAATATTTCAGTAGAGTAAAGCTTAAAATCACATGGCAAGTCAAATTTTCAAAAGATGATAAAATCTTACCACCAATATCGAGATATTTTTCATTATCAGGCTGCATGGACAGTAAAAATGGTGGTACTATCTGTTTCGCTTCAATTAGTAAATGTTTGAGATCAAGTAATACAGTCTCGTCAACACCTTTGTTTATAAATGTAGTTGCCACACCAGTTTTACCACATCTACCTGTACGACCTATCCTATGTACTGTAATATACAAATATAAGAGTTAAAATAACAACAATAAGAACAAACACACAACTTTATCAAATTATGAGAGAAGTACAAACCATTTCTATAGTATTATAGGTTTATCTTCGAATGACATAACCATAAATAAAACAAAGACAAATCAAAAGGAAGAAGAACACCATATACAAATGCCATGCCTAGAAGACTTTTATTATTTACTATGCTTTCTTTATATACAATAAATCCATCATGTTACTTATGATTGAACAGTTCTGGAACATCAATTATACACATAAAAGCTTTACTTGGGCTTCTTCAATCAAATGAGCTAAAACAAAAAGACTAGCTTTCATAAAAATCTCTAAAAATCTCTTGGACTTCTCAACATCTCTCAAATTAAATTCTTTTGGCAAACAATCGGATAAAATAATATTTATACACTGTACATCAATTTATAGTTGGTAACATGTCTGCCTCACATTAAAAGTTATTACTTCAAAATAATGACTCCAGTAAAATCAAAATTGTTAAGACTAAATAGATTATACTTAATCTTTAAATTTACCATAGTTTTCAATATCCTCCGGCATATCATAGTTTATGACATGTTTGATGTCGGGGAAATCCAGACCTTTAGACGCCACATCTGTCGCTACAAGGACGTCCTTCTCAGCTTTCCTAAACTGTTCTATAGACTGTGTCCTTTCCTCTTGATCTGATATATAAATATTTTTTGTAACACTGCTCGTTTATATACATGGCTGCTGTCAATTAATGAAGAAATCTCACTTTTTTTCTCTAAAAAAATGATGCTTTCTGTATTATAAATTTGTTATTAATATTCCTGGCAGGTTATATGGCCGTATATAAATGGTTGTTTGCAATAGCGGAAAGGGTTATATTACAAACAACCATTTATAGTTGGCCATCTAACACGGCATCTATATAACTAATAATATTAACAAATTGTACTTCATCACATTTATATAATATTCATGCAAGCTACAGTATGAAATTAGTAGAAATTATTGTTTCACTCTAGTATAAGACCATTTGAAATTTCCCCATACAATTTTGTAAGGTCATGGTTATTTAACTTATTTGTAAACCACATATAATATTTACATATGTCACCTAAAATGTTAAAACTGCTGATTTAAAATTTACTTATTTATTTTCACAAATATGACCAGTTTTTTCTTCTTAAAACAGCTTTACAATGAATGACCCCTGTCACCTGTTATGCAATTTTTCAATAAACCATTTAAGTGTCACCTTCCCTGGCCTGTTTGGTCATATGGTCTAGTGCACTACAAGTGCACACGGTGTGCACTTCTAGTTTAGCTCTAGTGCACTACAAGTGCACAAGGGGCAGAAGTTTAGTGTGAATTCAACTGTAGCTTTTTTTATGAAATTTATTGAACATTTACATCAGTCAACAATATAGGTGCCTAGATAGTCTGGCACAATGACAGGGACAAACCAACCTATATTGTAATTCCAGTGATAAATCAGTGGCCAAACATATAGCTGTATTTTTTTTCTAAACTTTTCAAAACTTGTTGGATTGACAAAATAACACTAAAACAAATCATCAATTTAATATATTTACATAATCTCTATTTATCCAGAATAATTTACATGTATATCTTATTTATTTATAGAACAATACTATCATTTTTGACTTGCTTTTTCGTGTCCAAAACAGCATACATGTACTTTGTTTTCTACAAAAGTACATGTTATAATAATTTTAATGATATCAACAGTACCTTTCCCTCCATGGATAGCCACTGCCTCAACACCTTTCAGTAACAGATACTCATGTATAGCATCTACATCCTGCTTCTTCTCCGCAAACACTAGTACCTATATAGAGGATATTGAATGAGTGTAGGTTCAATACTAAATTTACTGAACAAGCTGAATAAAATTATACCTGTGAGCCTTTGGCGATTACGATATTCTTTTATTCAAAATTTAGAATCGTACCTACTGAATATAATATTCTATTCATCATATACCCAAAAGAAAGACTTTTTAAAGTAAAAAGAATCAGACACGCCTATAGAGTAACTGTTATTCTAACATTTAGCCTGTTTTTACACTATGTTTGTATAATGCAAATGACATCACATCAAAATATATGCACGGTCGTGCAAAACCATTTTTAAGGAGTCAAAAAATCAGCATGGGTATGTGATAAATATATATGTATAAACAGGGGTTGATCAGGAAATGTTTAACTTTTGAAGAATTTGACATTGCAAACTTCACCATTTTTTTTTCCAGCACAGAAGATGCGCTTCAAAGTAATCCCATTTAGTTGAAAAATATATATGATAAATAAAATAGTGTTCAGGTTCTTTTTTAAATATATGGGCATAGAAAAGCACCAACAACACCTTAACAATATCAAATTTTGCACTTGATTGACTTCCTTCCCCTGCTGGAACCAAATGATTTACCTTTCTCACCAATCTATATTAAGCCAGGGCAGTCTGACCAAGCTCTATATACTATTAGCTTACCAGTTATAAATCATTTGATATCCCCTACATTGAAAATGGACAGTTCCAAAAATGAAAGCTGGACAAGTCCATTTAAGAAATTCAGCAAGATTGGGGTTTAAAACTCAGTGTGTTCTAATCATAGAGATATTCTCTACTTAATGGTTTTGAAAGTAGATTCATCTCCTGGACATTCTGTCCATTAAAGGAAACATGAGTAAAAATTTCTGACCTATTAAACTAACACTTACAACTGAAATTTTATATCAATTTAAATTACAATACATTTAACTCAATACAGAATTGGAGCAGTACCATTCCAGAAATCATGATCAAACAAGAGGGCCATGATGGCCCTGAGGTCGCTCACCTGTATATAGGCCCCCCCAACCCCCCCCCCCCCCCCCAACGTTGCAGGGCCAATTTAACCCAAGGGCTTTTATTTGCACAAACTCGGTAGACACCCATAAGAAGATGTTTCATGCTAAACATCTAAGCTCTAGCTCATTGGGCTTTATTGAAAGAAGATTTTTTTAAAGTTTTTACTATACACATATAGTTAAAAACAATGACACCCCTGGGGCCGGGCCAGTTTTGACCCCAGGGCTTTTATTTGAACAAACTTTGTAGACACTTACTAGAAGATGTTTCATGCTTAATATCTAAACTCTAGCTATTTGGGTTTTTTCAAAGAAGATTTTTAAGTTTTTGCTATACACATATAAAGAAAATCAATGACCCCCGGGGCGGGGCCAATTTTGACCCCAGGTCTTTTATTTGAACAAACTTTGTAGACACTCACTAAAAGATGTTTCATGCTTAATATCTTAACTCTAGCTATTTGGGTTTTTTCAAAGAAGATTTTTTAAGTTTTTGCTTTACACATATACACATATAAGGAAAATCAATGAACCCCGGGGCGGTGCCAATTTTGACCCCAGGGCTTTTATTTGAACAAACTTGGTAGACACCCATTAGAACATGTTTGATGCTATTAGCCATAGCTCTTTGAGTTCTTTAAAAGAAGATTTTTTAAGTTTTTACTATATGCATATAGGGAAAATCCATGACCCCCTGGGGTGGGGCCAATTTTGACCCCAAGGCTTTTATTTGAACAAACTTGGTAGACACCTATTAGAACATGTTTGATGCTCAATATCTTAGCCATAGCTCTTTGAGTTCTTTAAAAGAAGATTTTTTAAGTTTTTACTATATGCATATAGGGAAAATCAATGACCCCCCGGGGCAGGGCCAATTTTGACCCCAGGGCTTTTATTTGAACAAACTTGGTAGACACCCATTAGAACATGTTTCATGCTAAATATCTTAGCTCTAGCTCTTTTGGTTCTTTAAAAGAAGATTTCTTAAGTTTTTACTATATGCATATAGGGAAAATCAATGACCCCCCGGGGCGGGGCCAATTTTGACCCCAGGGCTTTTATTTGAACAAACTTGGTAGACACCTATTAGAACATGTTTCATGCTAAAAATCTTAGCTCTAGCTCTTTTGGTTTCTTTAAAAGAAGATTTTTTAAGTTTTACTATATGCATATAGGGAAAATCAATGACCCCCCGGGGCGGGGCCAATTTTGACCCCAGGTCTTTTATTTGAACAAACTTGGTAGACACTTATTAGAACATGTTTCATGCTAAATATCTTAGCTTTAACTCTTTTGGTTCTTTAAAAGAAGATTTTTTAAGTTTTTACTATATGCATATAGGGAAAATCAATGACCCCCCTGGGGCGGGGCCAATTTTGACCCCAGGGCTATTATTTGAACAAACTTGGTAGACACCTATTAGAACATGTTTGATGCTAAATATCTTAGCCATAGCTCTTTGAGTTCTTTAAAAGAAGATTTTTTAAGTTTTTACTATATGCATATAGGGAAAATCAATGACCCCCCGGGGCGGGGCCAATTTTGACTCCAGGGCTTTTATTTGAACAAACTTGGTAGACACTCACTAGAAGATGTTTCATGCCAAATATCTAAGCTCTAGCTCTTATGGTTTTTTAAAAGAAGATATTTAAAGTTTTTTCTTTCGGTTGCCATGGCAACCAGAGTTATGCATGGAATTAAATTCTTTGAACAATTTTTAAAGGTGACCACCAAAGGAACATTCCTGTGAAGTTTGGATGAAATTGGCTTAGTGGTTTATGAGAAGATGTCATTTAAAGTAAAAGTTTATGGACGGACGGACGCCGGACGGACGCCGGACGAAAAGCGATCACAAAAGCTCACCCTGTCACTTTGTGACAGGTGAGCTAAAAACAGAAAATTTTTTGTTTTTGCTGATTCTTACATTTTTGATTTATTATCGAATATAAATTAGTGTGTAGAGATAAATGTGGCATTTCAAAGTTCATTCCACTGGGTGAAAAGGTAAGAATTTAGAATATAATCATTCAAGTGTCTTGTCCGATATATACCGGAATACTGTATTTAGTGTGGTGCTTCAATCCTTTTTTTAGTCTCACTCAATTAAAATACTGTAGTAAGTATAAACATTGTACATATAACTTACTGGTGGTGCAGTTTTCTGTAAACATTCTAGAATATAGACTATCTTAGCCTCTTGTTTCACATACTCCACTTCCTGCACTACGTCAAGACTGGCCGCGCCTGCACGACCTACGTTCACAGTAATTGGTTGAACAAGAGCACTACGTGCAAAATTCTGTATCTTTTTTGGCATAGTAGCTGAGAATAAGAGTGTCTGTCTCTGACCCTGTCATATAAAATAAATAACTGAAAAATCTGATATCATTATCTACATAACTTTCAGCAAGATATCTTGTATAGCCATTCCTAGACTAAAAATGCCCTATTAAATAACATCATTGCAAATTTCTTATTCACTAGCTATAAAAAAATTCAAATCACCTATTCTAAGATCACTAAAATCTGAAGCTTCATGTAATGTAGGCAACAAAATGATTTTCTTAATTAATTATCAAAATAAATTAAAAATTTGATTATTGAATTTGTTATTGATTCATTCCATAAATTTACAAAGAAAACAATAAGACATTCAGCATATAATAAGTCAACATTCCGTGTACCTTAAAGTATGAGAATATAGTCCTAACATCTTCCTCAAATCCCATATCTATCATTCTATCAGCCTCATCTAAACATAGATATCTACACACATCTAACGTTATCATCTTCTTGGCTAACATATCCATTAGACGACCTGGTGTAGCAACCATTATATGTACCCCTCTGAAAATATAGATGAAAATATAATAACTGAAACATGTCTTTAAGGAGCTCAACTGTGGTCAAAAAGCATAAATTTGGAAAAATCTGCCAAGGATAATAGAATTGAATCGCACAGTGTGTTACTTAGCTAGATTTGTTCATTTATAAGTCATTTCTGAAAAAAAAATGCAACATTCATTATTGTTCCATATATATATTCAATTATGAGTTAAAGTGGCAAGTCATTGATGTACAATACAGGTTTGAACAGGGATCTATACTGATAGAAAAGGCATGTTTTTCTTGCAACTAAGTCTGAAAAGATTTGTAATAAACATACTATTCTTTACTTACTTGTTTATGATAGACATCTGTTCCTTCACTGCGATACCTCCTATACATAGAGCTGTACGTAAGGGAGGGAATCCATCCCTCTCTAAGTAGTCACAGAATTCTCGGATGATCTCATTTGTCTGTTTCGCTAACTCTCTCTGTAATTAAATATGTACATTTTAAAATCTCACTAAACTCACCTCAAACCTCGAGATATTCATCTAAATACAGTCAGACCTGTATGCAAAGGACAAAGTAAATGGAAACATGCTCTTTGTAGAAAAATGTACATATGTATTTAAAAAGTCTGATTCAATAAAATTCTTAGAGTAACTAACTTATAATTATTACACTGTAGATGTTAAAATAAAAATTTATTAAAATATATATGGTCGGGTCCGTTAACTCTGTTTATTATCATTATGTGCCAATGTGTTTGATTTTGCTTAAGAACTTTTCAATGATTAGAGGCTATTTCTGCTTCTAGCAGTCAGAACAAGGCCAAAATTACTGTGTTGTTTAACTGATATATCATACCAACAACAGAGGTACATTGACCTGATATCCTGTCTACTGTGAAATCATTTGATATCTCAATAAAAAGCAAATATCATCATCAAAACCAAGTGAACAAGAATTCACACACAAGAACTTGTATTATTTGTGTCTATGAACATAATAATTAGGCATGTCAGTTTGATTATTCAAAGCGAATATCATTACTCTATTTAACACAAACAAGAGCTGTCGGTAGGACAGCAACGCTCGACTATTCTTAGTGCTTGATAGTAAAAAAAAATGCTTGATATAGTTACCTCCTCCTGTTTACAGGTTGGGGTTATGATGGTGAACAAGTGTGCAAAGTTTCAAAGACATATGTCAATAGACTTTGAAAATATTTGAACTATTACAAAAACTTTAACGTAAATTCTAAGTCCAAAAAGGGGCATAATTCTGTCAAAATGCTTGATAGAGTTACCTCCTCCTGTCTACAGGTTGGGGTCATGATGGTGAACAAGTGTGCAAAGTTTCAAAGCCATATGTCAATGGACTTTGAAAATATTTGAACTATTACAAAAACTTTAATGTAAATTCTAAGTCCAAAAAGGGGCATAATTCTGTCAAAATGCTTGATAGAGTTACCTCCTCTTGTCTACAGGTTGGGGTCATGATGGTGAACAAGTGTGCAAAGTTTCAAAGCCATATGTCAATGGACTTTGAAAATATTTGAACTATTACAAAAACTTTAACGTAAATTCTAAGTCCAAAAAGGGGCATAATTCTGTCAAAATGCTTGATAGAGTTACCTCCTTCTGTCTACAGGTTGGGGTCATGATGGTGAACAAGTGTGCAAAGTTTCAAAGCCATATGTCAATGGACTTTGAAAATATTTGAACTATTACAAAAACTTTAACGTAAATTCTAAGTCCAAAAAGGGGCATAATTCTGTCAAAATGCTTGATAGAGTTACCTCCTCCTGTCTACAGGTTGGGGTCATGATGGTGAACAAGTGTGCAAAGTTTCAAAGCCATATGTCAATGGACTTTGAAAATATTTGAACTATTACAAAAACTTTAACATAAGTGGTTACGCCGACACCGACGCGGACGCCGACGCTCGGGGTACTACAATAGCTCTACTTATTCTTATCGAATAGTCGAGCTAAAAAGGACTAGTAATCATTTGTAGTACAACTATATAATTATTGTTTTTCCATCCATTAAATAACTATAAAATTTGAGTGATCCAAGTGATAATAAATGATTTTACAACCATTTACTATCTAAAACTATACCCTTAAAGGCTTAATGATGAAAAACTAGATTCATACTTACCGATGGACAAACAATAAGACCATAGGGTCCTTCATTACTGATGAAAGGCATTCTCTTCTCTTGTTCAAGTACAAACATGATTATAGGTAGTGTGAACACTAACGTCTTTCCTGACCCAGTGAATGCTATACCAATCATATCACGACCAGATAAGCTGTCACAAGAAATAAACATTTATAATAAACATCATTCATATAATTGCTAATATTTAGTAATAATAAAACTCGGGTTTTATTTTAACATCATTCTTTTACGCATGAATTAAAATATTAAAATATATATAAAATTGAGAAAGAATATTCAAAAGTTTGATTAACAAGAACTGTCAGTAGGACAGCATGCTCGACTATTCTCAGTGCCTGATAATTTAAGCTTGATAGTAAAAGATGGAGCATAATATTGTAAACAAGAGGGCCATGATGGCCCTAGATCGCTCACCTGACTTATCAAACTCATCCAAACAATTACCTAGACAAGCATTCTGACCAAGTCTCATGACAGGTGAGTCAAAAATGTGACCACTACAGTATTAACAAGGATTATCCATATTTGAGCAGTGTGACCTAGTTTTTTACCCAGGTGACCCATATTCAAACTTGACCTAGAAATCATCAAAACAAACTTTCAGACCAATTTCCAGGATACTTGGATCAAAACAGTAGCAACTAAAGTGTTAACAAGATTTTTCTATTTTTAGCTCCGGTGACCTAGTTTCACATGCGATTTCGAACTCATCTGAGCAATTACCTAGACAAGCATCCTGACCAAGTTTGATGATAATTGAGTCGAAAATGTGACCACAAGAATGTTAACAAGGTTTTTCAATATTTGGGCGGTGTGACCTAGTTTTTCATCCAAGATGACCCATGTTCGAACTTGACTTAGAAATCATCAAAACAAACTTTCAGACCAATTTACAGGATATTTGGATCAGAAAAGTAGCCACTAGAGTTTGATGATAATTGATGCAAAAATGTGACCGCTAGAGTGTTAACAAGGTTTTCCTATTTTTAGCTCTGATGACCTACTTTTTCATCAGAGATGACCCATGTTTGAACTCATCCGAGCTATCACCTAGACAAGCTTCCTGACAAAGTTTGATGATGATTGATGCCAAAATGTGACCGTAAGAGTGTTAACAAGGTTTTTCTATTTTTAGCTCCGGTGACCTACTTTTTCATCCGAGATGACCCATGTTCGAACTCATCCAAGCTATCACCTAGACAAACATTCTGACCAAGTTTGATGATGATTGATGCCAAAATGTGACCGCAAGAGTGTTAACAAGGTTTTTCTATTTTTAGCTCCGGTGACCTACTTTTTCATCCGAGATGACCCATGTTCGAACTCATCCAAGCTATCACCTAGACAAACATTCTGACCAAGTTTGATGATGATTGAGTCAAAATTGTGACCGCTAGAGTGTTTACAAGGTTTTTCTATTTTTAGCTCTTGTGACCTAGTTTTTCTTCCGAGATAACCCATGTTCGAACTCATCCTAGCTATCAACTAGATAAGCATCCTGACCAAGTTTGATGATGATTGAGGCAAAAATGTGACCGCTGGAGTGTTAACAAGGTTTTTCTATTTTTAGCTCCGGTGACCTACTTTTTCATCTGAGATGACCCATGTTCGAACTCATCCGAGCTATCATCTAGACAAACATCCTGACAAAGTTTGATGATGATTGAGGCAAAAATGTGACCTCTAGAGTGTTAACAAGGTTTTTCTATTTTTAGCTCTTGTGACCTAGTTTTTCATCCGAGATGACCCATGTTCGAACTCATCCGAGCTATCAACTAGATAAGCATCCTGACCAAGTTTGATGATGATTGAGGCAAAAATGCGACCGCTAGAGTGTTAACAACAAAATGTGAACGGACGGACGACGGACAATCATCGATCCTATAAGCTCACCCTGAGCATGCTCAGGTGAGCTAAAAAGCTTGATATAATGACCTCCTCTTGTACACCAGTTGAGATTATGATGGTGAACAAGTCTGCAAAGTCTCATAGCCATATGTAGAAGGATTATCTGATGTGGTACGCAAACTACTTTAATGTAAATTCTAAGTTGAAAAGGGGGCATAACTCTGTCAAAATGCTTGATAGTTCCCACCTGTGTTCAAGTCGGAGGCATGATGATGAACAAGTGTGCAAAGTTTCAAATATCCATATGTCAATGGAATTTGATAGCATTTGAGGCTGTATGCAAATTTTTACTCAAATTCAAAGTCGAAAAGTGTGCAAAGATTCAAAACCATATGTCAATGGATTTTTGAAAATATTTGAGGAGGTACTCAATCTTTAACATAAGTGGTCAAAACCGCCTCACCTGCTGGAGCTTAGAGATGCACAGACTCCAGTATTATCAAACCCATTTAGTTTCCTCTTACAATTATGCAAGGTTAAACGGTGGCTGCAATTCTAATGCCTCAACCGTAAAGGCTACCCCTCAGCCACAAGGGGCTAATTTAAGCAAGACTGCAAAAATTAAACTATGTCTTACACAGCTGGGATACCCTGTATCTGGATTGGTGTTGGATGTTGTATTCCTTTTTTCTTAAGACCATGTAGAATTGGTTTGGGAAACTTCATCTCTTTAAATGACTCTATAGGCGCTGGTTTGTTTTCTCCTTCCACCAGAATGTGGTATTTCTTGCGTACTTTCTCATGCTTTTCTTCAGGTTTATTCAGGATATATCTTGGGGGACGCCACCTTAAAACAATAACATATAAATTTAGATTATAGTGTACAAGCCAAGCAAAGCATTCTCTAAAGACATTTACATTCAATTGTTTTCAATTAAGGTTTATCATGTTAAAGAATAAAAGATAATAAACTATCAAAGAAATTTGAGATTCATTATTGAATGTTTACTTGGTGTTAGCAAAAATATGTTACAAAGAGTTCATACATTAAAAAGTTCATAAAGCTAAATTTTCTTAATAAATTACTTGGTGTTAGCATAAAATAGGTCACAAAGAGTCCATGCATTTAAAAGTCCATACAGGTAAATTTTCTTTAAGTCCCTACATCACAGTATTTTAAAATACATGTACTTCAAACTTTTAGATGATACACCTTCCTATTTGATGCTAAAAACAGTCACTAAGCATTGATTGGTTATACAAAAGCTTATACATGTAATTACAAAAAAGACTTGCTATCAACACGATGTATCAGATTTCTGTAACATGACACATATGAATTAACCGTTATAGAAAATTTAAGGCTTTGATTGGAAAGTTCTATATATCTGTAGACCAGTTTTAATATGTCATACCCTGTTTTTATAGGATCTGTGTATTCAATTCCTTTTGCCAATTCTGCTACTGCCTTTAAAGCTGAATGATAAAAGAAAGATCATGTTAATTTGTTGCCTAATGATACAGATTTAATAAGGACTATACATTACTTACATTTGTATTGTGGTAACAGAAACAAACTTCTTGTCAAAGCAGAAGCTGTACAATGTACATTAAATTTTGACATGAGCAGATTAAACAAAAGAATTTTTTTAATGGGAGTGGAAGGATTCCTTCCCTTTAATTTGGAGAAAAATATCATTTACTGTTTTCTGCCAAAAAAAGAAGTAAAAAACTTAAATTCAATTAATGGGGAAATTTGTATGATTTTAAAAAGAACTTTTCTGTTGGCTAAATTTAAATGGCAACTGTTTTAGAAGGAGAGAAAAAAAACCCCTCCAGTGGAAAAAAGAATGGTTTTGAAATAAAATTTAAAAAAACCCCGTGGGGTTATGTAAAAAACAAAAAATAATTTTAACCCTTTTCATGAGGAAATGACAAACATTTGAAAAAAAGGTTGGCCCTTTTTTAAATTTTAAGGCAAAACCATTTAACTTTAAAAAAAAAAAAAATAAAAAAAAAAAAAAAGTTAAGTTTTACATTATCCCGCCTTTTTTCCCCCAAAAAAAAAGCAGGTAAAATTAAAACTCTAACTTTCCCTCCCCACGGGAACGCTTTTTTAAACTCCTTTAAACCCCCCCCAATTTTTTTTAATTAAATTTGTAACATTTTCTCAAGGGGATTTAGCCCCAGGGGTAATTTTTCAAAACCCCTTTTACCGCAATTTTTTTTTGGACCCCGCCCCATCCAAGTGTCCTAAAAACCAACAAATAAACCCTTTTAAAAATTTTATTTTTTTAAAGTTTTTTTGGGATGAATGAAAATTAACCTAGGTTTCCCAAAAATTAAAAAAATTTAAACCCCCCCCAAATGGGTATCTTGTTTGACATTTTAATTTAAACCTTAAGTCAGTTAATTTTAAAATTTGGTTTTTTTTTTTTTAAAGAAAAATGGGCCAAAAATTTCCCTTAAAAAAAACAAGGGAAAATTTAAAAAAATTTTAAAAAATTAAAATTTTAAATAAGGCAAAAGTTTTTAAAAAAATCGAAACCTTTTTTTTCTTTAAATTTTAAAATTTTACTACTTTTTTTTTTTTATTTAAAAAAAATTTCTTCCCCCGGTAAGGGAAAATTTATTTTAAAATTTAAATTTTTATATCTTTGTTTAAGAAACCGTTTTTAACCTTTTTGGGGTTTTTTGGGGCCTTTAAAAAGGCTTTTTCTTTTAAATTAAAAGTAAAAATTTGGGAAAAAGAAAAAAATTTCAAGGTTTTTTTTGGGTTTTTTTTCCCTTAAGAAATCGTTTTTCCCAAAAACAAAAGTTTTTTTTGAACAAAAAAAAAAATTTTTAAAATTTTTTTCTGCCCCTTTGAAAACCTTCCTTTTTAAGTTTTTTTCCCAGGGTTTTTTTTTGTTTAAAAAAAAAAATCAAAAAAAAAATCAAATTTTACTCCAAAAAAAAACCCCCTAAAAAAAATAGGTTTTTTTGGTTTGGGGACATTCACCCGTAAAGTTTTCCAAAAAAATGTTTCGGGAAAAAATTGGGGCCCGGTCAATAATTTGACTGGGGGAAAAAAAAACCCCCATCTACCTATTTTTACATAAAAAAATTTTAAGGTTTTATTTTTGGGGGAAAAGTGTTTTGAAGTCAACAACTTTAACCATTCAGACACTCACACCCCAATAATTTGTGAAATAATTGCACCTTTACTATGTTATTGCACTAGCATACACTTCCAGACAAGTATTGCTGCTCATTTAGCAAACAAAACAAAAATTTCATGATAAGTTCTTTTCAATTTACACAGTATCAATTCTTCCTTTATAAGTATTTTTCATATTTCTTTTTGTCAAGGAAATCATAGCATTTCTGTTTGTTTTAGTATTACAAAGAACTTATTTGTTATCAAATAAGCACTAGAAACAAGATATCGGTAGGCAGAAAATCCCACAAATAGAAACACTTTTTTCTGGCATTTAGAATAGTTGATAAATCAAATTATTCACTGAAACAATCATTATCGAAAATAAACATTTTCTTAATACATGTATATCTTACCTTCAGCCTTCCGTTTCAAGTCACTATGTTGATCTAATAAACTGATGTTAGATTTCGGGCCAAGATTTATTTCATCATCTTCCTCCTCTATCCCGCCTTCAGACGTGCCCTCTGATGTCGACCCTGTCTCCTGCTCCTTTAATACTGCTACTCTTCCAAGTCTTTTCTCTGCTTGTTTCAGCTATAACATAATAATTATATAAGAACTAAAGAAAAATCAAACTCCCAAAGACAAAGATCTCATTTCTTGAAAAGCAGCTGTTTGTAGGACATCGCGCTTGACTATTCTCAGTTCTTGGTGGTAAAACAAGAGTCTGGATAATGTAGAATTTTCTAACTTCAAAAAGGGACATAATTCTTGCAAAATCCATCATACAGTTATGGGTCATGGGCAGTGACCTCAAATAAGTGTGTGAAGTTTTAACCCATTCCCTTCGGTAGATTTGGAGGCACCAACTTAATAAATTGTGGTGCCAACCACTGGGTGAGTACAATAATCTCCTTATTCTCAAATTGTCGCGCTAAAAATGTTTGAAATGCTTGCTATTATGAATACAAAGAAAAATACAAAGGTCTTTAAAATGATTTACTTTGTAAATACTGTAACAAACTATATTTTAAAATTGTAATTCATAATGATGAAATTAATCTTATTAAACTTGAAAGACAATCAATGTTCTAATACTAGTACAGTTGTTTAAATGTTTTTTTTTTTTTTAAATAAATCTGACAGTTATTTACCTGCATTTTCTTCCTTTGCTTCAAAGGGACATAAGGGGTGTATTCTTCCTCCTCAGAATCATCAGAGTTATCTTCTCTTGAACTACGCTTCTGTTCAAATAATACATGAAAATAAATTCAAGCTATTTTATAAATATCATATCAATACCCTTACATTTATCATTTATTGGTAATAAATACCTGCAACAAGATAAATCTTCAAGTTTAAAATTGTAAAGGACTTTCAGGTTGCTGTTTAATTCATAATTTGAAATATGTAGTGTATTATAGGAGATTTTGTAGTAAACTTTGACAATGGTAGAGTGGCATTACATGTGGAAGTGTTAACATATTTGTACAAAATTAACATAATCACTGCCAGGCAGGGGCACTTCTCATTTTTTTTTACTTTTTCTAAAAGCAAACAAGAGTTTAAACAAATTAAGCGTTTCATTTTTTATTTTAATAGGTCTGTTAGCCACCCTTCACTTCCATAAATAAATGAAGTTTCGAAAATATACTGGTAAGCAAAATTCAATCAGCTGACCCTTATGGTCAAGGTCATTTAAAGCTCAAGGTCATATCTAAATTATTCAACATTACTGTTTGGTCAAAGTGTTGTTTTGCCCATGTAAGAATCAAATCTGTACATAAATAACAAAATAATGAAAACTTAACCAAAATTTAATAATTTGACCTTGACAGTCAAGGTAAGCTCAAGGTCAAGGTCATTTCAACCTTTTATAAGGTCTTATCCAAAAGGTTGTTTTATCCAAGTATGAAGATAATCCATGATTAATTACCAAATTACCGCCAATTAAGGCAATAATCAGCTGTAGCAGGAGCGATATTTTCTATAGTATATTGTTCATTTCATACTATCTATATAACCATATAATTATGTTGGTATGGCCTATTTTGAACTACTTTTCTTCAGTACACTAGTGAGGGTTTATTAAAGGTATACACCTTGATTTTATATGAAGTACATTAGATGATTATACATGTATGCATAAGTTAACTTCTTTAATACGTTTCAGTAACGCAGTTATAACCCTGGCTTTTCATATATTTCAATTTTATAGAGTATTTGTCCTTAAACTACATGTTTATAAGGACCTGAAATCATTCTTTTTGGGCAGTCCTTACATTATCAGTGTATGGTTATACACCTTTAAGTTATAGTATAGCGTACTTGTACTTGCAGCATGAGATTTTCATGCTTCTTGTTTTTCCTTCCAGAGGGTTGTTAAATAATAACATGAACTATGTGTACAATTAGTTTCACTATAGTTTTATATATGCAGTCTAATGACAGTACTTGATTTTATGTTTATTTTGGTAACGTCCCTCAATTTAGAGAGAGAAAGATGGTTCAGTTCTAAGGCCTATGAAATAGGTAACACTTTACCTTCAGCTCGGCGACCAAAGCACTGAACGCTGGGCATAGGCTGGGAGCCTATTTATGCCAGGGATTTCCCGCCAAAAATTGAGGGACGTTACCAAAATAAACATAAAATCAAGTACTGTCATTAGACTGCATATATAAAACTATAGTGAAACTAATTGTACACATAGTTCATGTTATTATTTAACAACCCTCTGGAAGGAAAAACAAGAAGTATGAAAATCTCATGCTGCAAATACAAGTAACGCTATTACTATAGACTTAAAGGTGTTAATAACCATACACTGGATAATGTAAGGAAACCTTGCCTAAAAAGAATGATTCAGGGTCCTTATAAAAACATTGTATTGTTTATTGGACAAGATGTGACATATTAAATTGAAATAGTAATGAAAAGCCAGGTTAACAGACTACGGATAACGGTATTTATAAGGAAGTGTGAACTATATGCATTATCATGCTATATGATCATCTAATGTAGCTTCATATAAATTCATAGGTGGTAGTACCTTCTTAATAGAACCCTCACTAGTGTAGCTGAAGAATAATGTAGTTTCTAATAATTAGTGGTCCATAACCTAACATAATTATATTGGTTAAGTATAAGCATGTATGATATGATACAATATACTATAGAAAATATCGCTCCTGCTACACAGCAAAAAATTAATAATCAATAATTTAACTTTCAAGGTTATACATAGTAAAGGTCAATTTGTGTTTGATATACATGGAAGTCCTGACATAAAAGATGTCACTTTGAAAATATTTTATTTTATGTTTTCTCTTAATGTTTTTTAAGCATTTCTTTAATACTTGCAGGACCTAATTTTACTATACTAACGGAAATTCAAACGGATGAATGGTAAACTTAGGTCCCCTCTGAAAATTCGGTAGGGGATTATCTAATAATACTTTCATAAACCAGATAAACCTGACTATCCGAAACATTGCCATATCCGAATTTATAAACATTCAAGCAAAGGTGCGTATCGTTATAGATACGATATAAACGGTTATAAATTCCTCACATATGTAATTGAATTAAGCTTTTCCGTTACTTGTCTTACCCTTCTATCTGAACTCATGATAATACTTGATTTATCTGTTTTTAAACATTAAAATCGTTTATCCTCATCTTGGCTAGTTTAACGGACTCCGGATATGAGTATGACGTTTCCTGCACATTACAGTACCGAACGCAATTTTTAAAGTACTTCACAATTGTACTTATATATGGCACAGACATGAAAAATATCTTTCAAACCATTTTAATGCAAATCAGCTGAAAAAAATTATGTTGGTAACTATTGTATCAGATATTTGTAGACTTTCTGTTCTTCCTGCAACGCATAGCCCGGGGTTCTATGATATCACGGTACTTGACGTCTATTTAATAAGTCAACATTTTCCAAGCCTGTCGGTCAAAAATTTACTTCTGAAGATCCAATTTAAATGTTATTTTTTAAACTATTTTCAGACAATGTTTGTCATTTTCAGTAATTTCATAGGAGGTTACTATGGTATCACGGTAATCCCCAGAAATGCAAGTATGTCAAAATCTTCAAGTTCAGTTGTGAAAAATTTCCAACAGCTAGTTAACTTGCTATTATATTCAAACTCTAACACAGAAGATATGTCAGTATATGTGATTGTAATATATTTTAATAGACTAGCTGTGTAAAAACAATTAAGATAAATATATAGTAGTCAAATATGAAGATTTTATAAAATAGTTTTTTTCGCACAATTACATTTTTTATCCACAAAATTAAATGTCTTGGCAGCTGAAAATGATATTAGTACGCCAGTTAAAAACATATAAATTATGTTCAGCCCTGATTCGATCAGTGTCATTTTGACTACTCTTGTTCCTCTTGGTATGAAGGTATATCAAAACATTTGAAAAGAAAGTTACAAATTACTCAGTACAAGGTATTGAGATTTATCCAAAAATTAACACCTAGAACTTCTGTAACAGTGTATGAGTTTGAAAAATTAAATTGGTTAAATGTAGAAAACAGAGTCAAACAGTAAAGACTCAATCATATGTATAAGATTTTTTACAAAAAGAGTCCATCATACCTTAGAGCCGACTTTAGGTGTTGCGCTGATGTAAGAGTTTACAATACTAGATCAAGCAATTTTAATTTTATTGTCCCCCAATGTCATTCTGTGATGAAACAGACCTTTTTTATAATGGAATTAAAGACTGGAATGATCTGCCAGAATATATAAAATCCATTAATAATTTTGTGCAATATAAAAAATCTGTAAAAAGTACCTACTAGAAAGTTATAAAAGTCTATCAGAAGATATATATGTGTACAACTAATGTGGTAGACACTGTGATCCAATATTTCTGTGATAGTGATACTAGATTTATTTTTAAAAGGGCATACTTTTATAATATATTTCCTTTTTCAACCAAAATCTTGACCAAAGTTAGTTAGATTAGTTTTATTTGCTTTGTTTTTTTAGGGGGAAAGGGTTGTAATTATGTATTTTTATTTCTATGGACCCCATTGGAAAAATAGATTTGAAAGACCCTCCCAGGGCTGTTGGAAATAAGCGTTTAGCTAAATAAGCGTTTAGCTTAATGGGCTATCCATAGGTGCATATTTTTTTATGACAAAAGTGTGCTGTTTTATTATCTCATTTTATATATATAATTTATATGTTAGCTCTTAAATGTATGATTTTGTATCATGTGCTATGTTCCTAAAATGTATAAATAAATAAAAATAAATAAAGTGCGAGAATAGTCCAAGTGAATGTGGTTTACAACGCGTCGGTGCCCGTTAGCATAGAATTCAAAAAGACACTTACAACATTAAGCATTATATTAAAGATTTCCTGAAATATATTGCAGAGTAATTCGTCGCATTTTTATGAATATTGTTTCTTTGCTAAGTTTAGAATTTTGTCAATCAATATTCATCCTCATAAATTGCGTTATCCACTATTTGATTTGTTATTTGTAATGATGTAAGCGGGTGTAAACTTTTTCAACTTTTCACTTCCTACTCCGATTATTCTAACTTCCTTGTCGGCATTTGTTAATTTCTTTGCTTGATCAAGCTTGAACAAGATGGATGAAAGCACAATTGCTAAATCCGGGGAGTTATGTGTTGAAGAAAAACGCTTCTTGGTAAGACATGCAACCTTTGTTCATTAATGATTAGTGATCAAATTTTAACTAAGTTGGCTGGGAGTTTTTAGAGTGTCAAGTTTAACTTTTAAGATATATGTGGAGAAATTTGCTTAATGTAAATGGTTTTCCTAAATCTAGATAGGTTATATTGGTATTCAACTAATTGCCAAAGATGCATTGAGCAGTTGAGCTCATTTTGGACGTATCCTAGAGTCATTAATTAGTTTTGACGCCCTTAAGGTGTTTAACTAGTGCATTTTTTTATATTGAACTTGATCATTAAATAATATACAATATAAAGTTACTATGGCATGTTGTTTATCTCTGCAAACCATTTTTATGTTTGTTAAAAATTCAAAATCAGTTAAGTTTTGTACTTAAGTAAACAGACCGTGGAGGCATCCGTTGTTGTTTACAGTCATATGAAATGACGCCTTTTCATTGGGTGGTTATTTTAAAAGGATATTTCACTGTAATGTAATATGAACAGCAAAAGAAGTTTTTAAATGAGCAAACCTGCAATGTAACAACATCGTGAAAACTTAAAATTATAATTTATTTCATATAAAACTATCCATTATTTAGGAATGTCATACACCCTGGCAGTGGTCTTAATAGGTGTACCTGTCTCTTTAACATTGAATGTATTTACCATTTATCTTGATGAAATAGCATCTGTATTTGGCTTAAAGGGCTGAAAAATATATCTAAAATGAATGAGGTTGTAAAGATATGTATATGTTGATTTGAAAAATGATTTTTTTTTCTTTCTTTTTTAATCTTTATATACAATAATTAACCCATTATGAATTTTACTCAGTATCAATTAAAAACCAATTAATGTTTTCAAACAATATAAGCTGTACACCCTATGCTACAGTGAATATTAAGGACACTTTGCAAAGTTTTGGTCACATGACACTCATAAGACATTTTAAAATGGAGGATAGAAACAGAAAAGGGCAGGTCAAGATTTTTCAAAGGCTATATTTGCAAAATTATGGCTTGCATAAACATCAATTGAATTTGCATTAGTAAAAAGATGAAAAAATACAGTGCATATAATAAAGGTGAAGCATTTTCAGTGAAATGTCTCTGTCTTTCCGCATGTTTTAGTTATACGTTGTACATACATGCTTGCAATGCAGTCAGCAAATTATGACGTCATACGAGGACGTTTTCGTCATTTGTTTGGTCAAAACAAAAATGGCGTCAAAATAGATGAGCGTCAAAACACATGACCCGACGATACTACAGTTGTCTGTAAAAGGGGCTGAACAGTTCTTTCTGAATTAATTACGGCAGCACAATAAAATGGGACAAGAAACACTTAGGGGAGGGGTGGCCTTGTGGTTAAGATGTCTGCCTCTCAACACAGGGATCATGGGTTCGGGTCATGACCATGTTTCTTCATATGACACCAGTACTGGTTGGTTCCAGGAAGCGGACTTGATAGTGATTAATATAAGTTGCAAGAACTTGTTTTACAATAAAGCTTTTAAAATAAATATGTTTAAACACTGTTCAAGTGTAAAGTCTAAAGAAGCGAAATATAATCGAGCTTGCTTAACAGCTTATTGTTCTTTGAGAAACTAAGGAAAAAATCTTGGTTTTTGGGACAGGGGAAGATATTCAGCCCTTAGTGATAGGTTGAAATGCCAAGAAAATGGCCTGAAACATACATACCATAATTTCTAGACTTTATGTAATGAACTCAAGTTGCCTTTCTGCTGACCCTACTTCTGGGCAGATCTGCAAAACTACCACATTTTTTTTTCCATTGATTATTGAATGACCTGCAACAACGTTTATCAAACTAGTTTTTGTTCTGATTTTTTTATTGTAGAACACAATTTCATGATAACAAAAATGTAAAAACATAATACTAATGTATATTACAATAAAACGTGTATCAGAATACACATTTGATACTTTCAGTGGAATAATGAGCTACTCTTCAAATTATATAACATTATCATTTTCATTTATAGAAAACATCATGGGTGAAAAGGTTTTGTGTGCTTTACAAAAAGACTACTGACAGTCATGGATATATGGAACTGTATGATGACCAAGAAGCTTTCACACAACATAAAAAGAAAAGCAAAAAATGTGAAAGACGGATTGAACTTCATAATATTAAGAGTATTAAAAGTTCAAGTGAAAGTAGCGGAAAGGGAAATGAGTATCACATTGAAATACGATCAAGATTTCACAAACACAATCTTATGTTTAGAAATGAGAGAGACTTTAATGACTGGTTTGCAATGTTACAAGCTACAGCTGATATAGCAGAAAGAGGGCCGGGGGAAAACTCTGCGTCTTACAGTGGCGATATAGATGATGATTATTCTGATGATGGGTCTGATGATGAAGTCATTACACTTAATCAGATGTATGCATCAACAGATACAGGTGAGAATGTTTTCTGCAAGAGATACAGTGCTCTTGTTTTCTATCTGTAAGTGAGCCAGGTATTGTACAAAAAACTTGTGATGATAAGAAATTTTGGTAGCTGCCAATACATACTTAACAGTAACATACAAATGTACAATGCATACATTGACTGGAATATCTGGCTAGTGGGTATTAAAATGCTAAAGGCAGTTGGCTGTATGATATTTATTAAGTAAATGCTAGAAAAAATCAGTCTAATTTGAATGAGTGAATGTATAAACTATGTTTTGGAGATTCATTCGCTATTACTTCAATTTATTTGGTCTGTTCTTATCAAAACTGGCAGTTTTTATCAAAACTGCCAGTTTTTTTAATGATACTGTATAATCATACTGTAATTACCTGTAGTAGTGTGTAGAGTTTAGAACATACATGTAGCACAGCTTTTCTGTGTGTATTCAAAGTGTATTTAAAAGATGTTTATTTAGCATTTCAAAAGAGAATGTATAGTAATTATCAGATTTTTTTCTCAAATACATGTGTTAAATTTGAGCATAATACTCGTATATCTTTAAAAAACAAAAGAAAGATTTTTGTACTTTTTTGTACTTTCAGCACAACGATTTGAAGTGGAAGTCGAACCTTCTGACCTTGCTAAGATGTGTGACATTGAAGGTAAAATGACACTTTTAGTTGGAAATAATGACATAGCATTTGAGGACCCAAAAACAAAGAGAGTCAAGTATAGCTTTCAGTTAGCTTGGATGCGAAGATTTGGAAAATATAAAACGCAGTCATTTAATTTTGAGGTGGGCAGGAAGTGCCCAAATGGGGAAGGTTCAGTAACTTGTATAACACCTAGTGCAAAGTTAATTCACAAAACATTAACACAGAAATCTGCAAGTCGAAGCAAGCTGGTGATTCCTCATTCACATACAGAGGACGAAACAAATTGCAAAGAAATCAAATCAAGTAGACCGTCTGTGAACAGTGTAAAAGAGAAATTGGAAGAGTCTCCACCTCCGGTTAAAGAAAGACAATTGCCTGCAGTAAGCCAGCCTGTTGTTCCTGGTGGCATGGTACGCAAGCATCCTGGTAAAGCAAATACTCCTAGTCTTATTCCAATAGTTAGACCAACGTCAGGGGAAAGTGAAAGTTCCAATAGACCCAAGTCACCCCCACAGCCAGCTAGGCGTGGGTCTAAAAGTGGTAAGCTGCGTACTAGTGGCAAAGGTAGTCCAACGGAAGAAAAATTGTGTCCTGCAGAGGGCAACGGCCACGTTAGACAAACTAGTTACAAAGCAGCAGTTAATAGTGGAGAATTTACAAAAGAATTAGAGCAGAAATTACATCTTGGTAATGATGATGATTCTGAAAAAAATCTTGAACATGTCAAGAAAGATAGTGTCAAAACCAAGGAAGACAAGAGGCGTGAAAAAGAAGAAAAAAAGGTAATTTCTAGTTAGTTGTCTTTTTGCTCAACAAAACAAAGAACATTTTTGTAAGTACATTGTAGTCCATTTGATACTCAGGTTGACTGAATGATAGCTAGTTATAGTACTAGTATTTCATATGTAGCGGATGGTGTAATAAAAGCTCTAAATATTAAGTCAACCTTAGTCTAATATGGTTCCTCACTGGTTAAGTTCTTTAAAATATTTAAACATAATTATTATGTCATTTCTAATTTCTGAGTCAGAGTAGCTTTGACTTGTAGGAAGTCTCACTTTGTATGTATGTCTTTTGCGCTATTCATTGTGTCATACATGTATATATTCGGGCTATAGGAAGAATTTTACGCCCTTTGGAAAAAATAGGTTCTAATTGGATTGTTCAGTGCAGGCAAACTGTGTCAAGTTTTGTCTGGAGCATACATATTTCTTCTACATACATTGAGGGGTTTAAGTATACTTTTACATAAATGTTCACCACCGTGAGATGTGCATGGGTTGGGTGTGTAGGTTAAAGGTCAAGGTCTTAGTCTTACTGTAATGTTTGAGTAAATTGCTTATTTGGAGCAGAAATTCTACAAGCAGTGGCACAAATGTTCACAATTGTGAGGCAAATTGTTTATTGCAAAATTCAGGTTCCTGTGGCCAAGGTCAAGGTCAGTTTTTAAGGAAAAGGTCAGATGAAAATATAAAAATGTAACGTATTGACAATTAAGTAGTCTAGCATTGAGATATTATAACAGAAATGTTGACAATCATTTGACTGAGTATGACCAACCTAATAAAGGTCAAAATATGTCATGTCAAGGTCATTAGAGATGATGAAATAGAAAGAGTTTTTCCAGAACCTATTTTTCTACATACATGAGCACTTTGATTGAAGTATTAGTGTAACACTTGATACAATTGTTAACCACCATAAGATGTAGTGTATAATGCATAAAACAGTCTAAAGCTTACACATAGACTCAGTTATCAGAAAATGTTTTTCCAGAGCAAAACTTCTACATGTACATGTATATATAGGGCTTTTAATATAACTTGTTGACAACAAATGTTGACAATTGTAGGCTAGGATATTGCCCACAAAAGTCAGGTCTCTGTGGTCAAGGTAGTTGTCATATTTAGATGGAGTTTTAAAATGTTCAATTTATTGAATGAATATGAAATGGATGAACGTTATAATAATGTTCTTGGTCATAAAGTCAATGTTACTGTGCTGTAAATATTATAAAGTATTTGTGTAAAACTTACTATGTAAGGATATATATGTAAGGATATTATACTTTATGCCTTTGGTGAGCTTGTAGGACAAGCACAGTTACAGTATGTAAATACTCCATAAAACTTATTAGATTCATGTAATTGTATTGCAGTTTTATTGTTGGTAGATTTTTATTGTTTTTATTGCTTCTCAGCATGTATTTATAATTACATGCATTGTTATATGCATTATCAATATAGAAATCATGTATTTCCATGATATACAACAATGTCATTGTTACCCATTACTTATTGCCCATTGTTATACCTTTTCCAAAAACGAGTTTAGGATGAATAACACATACATATGATCACTTTCATTGCGTTTTAAAAGTTTCGTATTTTAGTTCAACTCTTTCGGTATTTGTCCCCTTTTGTTCTCTGATTACAGCTTTAAAATACCTTACAATTTACAAAACCTGTCTAACTGTACTTCACGGGTTCAGGATAATGTGTGTTTATTTTCTCTGTCTTTTCAGGAAAGAGAGAAAAGAGAAAAAGAAGAGAAAAAAGAAAAAGAGAGAAAAGAAAAAGAATTAGAAAAGGAGAGAAAATTGCGTGAAAAGGAGGAAAAGAAAAGTGGTAAAAAGGATAAACAAAGAGATAGCAATAAGGGTCAAGAGACTGCTGTTGAAAATCAGCGAATGATGAGAGAACGTATATATGATGAACCAGAAATATCACAGACACCGTCTTCAGATGTTAACGACCCTAACTGTATCTATGATGAGGCTACAAGTCCAATTCCGCAAAACACTCCTATCGAATATGCCCAGTCAGTGAAAAAGAAAGGTCATAATAGTAAGACTGACAATCTGTATGAAGACACAGATTCTGTACGACCAGAAAAGAAGTTACCAGAGAAAGTTGAATATGCCGAACCTTATAGTAAAAAGGGCGGCATTCCTCTAAGTCAAGAGCCAGTAATGTATGCTGATGTAAAGTCTGTTGGCAAAGATGCTTGGAAAAACTTTGGAAGAAATGAAGAGGAAGAAGTTTTCGAAGAAGATTATAGTAATATTAAAAGTGCTAGGGAAAGTGTACAAAAACAAGAACCACCCCCTATACCCGTTAAGAACTATGACGATGATGAGGGGGAAAACATGTACAATACTGTTGATTTGAAAAAACCAAAATCACCTACAAAAGCAAAACCAGAAAATATATATGGGATGGCAAGTGGAAAAGAAGTTGGTGAATTACCAACAGACATCCAAATACCAGAAGCAGATTATTCAAGTGATTCTGGAGAGTCCCTTCCAGTGGAGTCAACTTATGATGATCCTCAATATGAGGGTTATGAAGCACAAGCAGGTTTAAAGAAAACTTCCAAAAATTCCAAAAAGCCAACAAAGGTAGTTGAAGCTTACGAAGAAGCTGTGGTACAAGTCAAACCAGCACCACCCAAAAAACTCACCGTAAAAGTTAATTCAAATGATATATATGAAGAAATTTCATAGATGTCTATATTCATTCACTCCATTGTGATTCTTGACAGGATAGATCAAATTAATATATTCCAGACACTACTTACAATTAATTGAATCAAACTTAATCATTTAAAAGTAGATATGTAGTGGAAATGTGCACATTAAAACTACACTGCAGACTACAGAGGCAAAAGCATGTATGAGGTAAGATTAAAACTTTGACAACTTAAAAATTATCCACAGACATGTTTTTTTTGTTGATAAATTAGGACATCTGGTATAAAATCGAGGATATTGAATGTGTGTAGGTTCAATATTGAATATATTAAACGAGTTGAAGAAAATTGTAACATGCAAGCCTCTGGCAAGCAAATTAGATATTATTTTATTCAACAAGTTCAATTAATTCAGTAATGAACCTACACAAATATAATATTCTATTAATCACATACCCAAATTTAGATCATTTAAAGTGCAAAAGAATCATTTTTCATTGATGCACCTTAAGTGTAACGCCAACATTTAGCGCCTCTTTACACTATATTTGTATATCACAAATAGAGACTTAAAAGTCACATCAAAATATATGCATGGGTGTGCAATAACATTTTTACAGAGTCGCAAAATCGGCACGGGTATGCGATAAAGGAAATTTTCGTAAGCCAAAGTAAAAATCCATTTTATTCAAAAATTTTGTTGTAGTAATTTAAGAGTAACAGAATAGTTATTATTACCAGTGCAGGTTTAAATTTTGATATTATTTTTTTCTTGGAGTACATGTAGTCTTCCTTATGATAAAAAAAAATAGTTTAAAACAAATACTCTAAATATAATCAGTGGTATATATATTATAATAAGTATAATTATAAGCTATTAATAGTTTTAAAATGCTTTTCTTTGATTGGCTAAGACGCAACTTTTTGTAAAAAAAAAAATAATAGGCCAGTAACAGAGTATATTTACAATATAAATTTTTTTTTTAAGTCTCGCTAAAAATAGATTTTAAAAGTATATATTCGCTTGTTTTTCTTTAAAAATAGAATTTTTCTTGAAATTTACAGTAGAATGCCAGAATATGACTTGATGTTTTGTCTGTTTTATTGTTATGTGAAGAAGCTTTGGAAAAACGCAAACTTGTAAAAATTAAAGCAGTTTCATTAGCATTTTTTTTAGGGTTCTTGAGCGTTCTTTTAAGAAATGAGCCAATATTTATCATTTCTAGCAAAGCCCTGCACTCAGCAGTTTACTAAGGCAGTCCTGTAATGCATCTTGGACACTACTAGTAACTTGGTTTATACCATACAATGTAATAAAATCTATCACTTTTAGTGTTCAATCTTTCATAAGGAACAGAAAAAAGATTAATGTCATGTTTTGTAACAAGTAAGTGGGTGGGGGAGTGGAATAGCCAACAGGAAGTATAGTTATACAAGAACTGAAGCACTGGGAAATTGTATAATAAGAAAACTGTTGGGGGAAATGAAACTTGTAAGTAGAACTAAGTACTTTAAAGTAGCTTATTAAGGTTAAAAAAATGAGGAAAAATGCATCCCACTTGTGCTAAATAGCAAATTTAAATGTTTTAAAAAGTATGGTAAGAAAATAAGTTTTTATGTCACAAAAAAAAATCAAAATCATGATGCACAGTGTGTATGTTTTTGTTAATTTATTTTTGTTCTTTTTTTTTAATTCAAAAATATTCTTAGAACATCTTCATTTTCTGTTAATTTTATCTCAAGACTATCCTGAATTAAATGAAATGTTCAGCAAGGCATGTGAGCAGACTTCCACCATTAGTTCTGGCTAGACAAATGATCATGATGCCACCTTAAAAGATAGAGGAACTGCCCATCTAACAATTTTAGGGATACCAAACTTGAAAATTTATTTTGCTATTAGTATAGCAGAGTCTATTCTAGGTGGGGGGATGTGGGGATTCACTCCTATTTTTGAGAATCCCCCCTATTTTTTTCAGAGGCAGGCGGGAAATTTTACATAGAGAAAGAAGGAAAAAAATCAACAAATGTAATAAATTCTCACTTTTCAATAAAAATCCCCCAGTTTTTCAAATCCTAGAATAGACACTGGTATAGAGTCTGGTGGCGAAGGCAAATCATTTTGGTTTCAGTGGATTAACATTTATATCACAGCTGTAGTGACATACCCCCACTCACCTTGAAAAATACACATCACAGATTGAGTCAGTTAAACCATTTTGATATATCACTTCTATATAATAAGAAATATCATTTTATATTTTATAAGTTGGATGGGGATGGGTTATATTAAGGAATCATTTTGTCTCATCCTGTTCATTTTTCTTTTATATCTTTGAAAACATGTTTTGCATTTTGACACAGTTATGCCCCTTTTTACCAAGATAATGTCCTTAAATATCTTGGACACCTTACCAGATATTCACTTTAAACCAAATATACATTGTAAGTGTACCTGGGTGTGTTTTGAGGGACACAAACAGGATCAGCAGATCAAGTTTCATTACACTACAAAGGTTTCCCCCTCTTTTTTTAATGGTTAAACACACATTTACTATATCTATATAATTATACAGGAAATTTAAATGTTTAAAATTGGTTTGGGTATGAATCTTTTTCAGCAATAGTTCTTTTTTTGTCTAGTTGTTGTAAAAGTTCAAAGCTTTAAGATGCATTAAATCATCACAATATTAAAGTATTAAGAGTTTGTTTTTTTGCCTACAATTTGCATAACCTTTAGTACACTGTACAATTATAGCCGTAGATTCAGTATTAAAATTTTATATTAACTCTTAAATTTGTTTGTTGCCTTATGTAAGCATTTAATGATTAAATTAATTTACATGTACAATAATATAATAAAAAAATGTAATATACTGTTATTTATATACATAATTAATTTATGAACATAGTTAATATAGATCACTGAAAATTTACAATAATATACATGTAGATATAATTTTAGCGCAATAATTTACAGATAATTTTGTGTACAATAGCATGTGTGTACAGTCATATAAATGTACAATAATTTATAATTATATCAAACATTGTCATGTACAATTATAATAAACATGTATTTGTAAATTATTATGTAATTTCACAAAATTTTGTATTTGTTGAGACTTATTGTTTTGAAAAGACAAAAACAAACAAAAAAAACATTATTTTATAACTTTGGACTTTATTAGATACTTGAATATCTATTTCAGGAATTAAAAGATGCTTACATATCTGTTTCAAGCTTCATAAGATGCTTGAATATGTATTTCAAGCATTAAAAGATGCTTGAATATCAATATCAAGATTTATAAGATGCTTGAATATCTATTTCAGACTTTTAAAATGCTTGAATATCTATTAGAAGTTCATAAGGTGCTCGAATATCTATTTCAAGTTTTATTATAAATGTTAATTCTTGAATATATATTATAAGTTTTATTAGATGCTTGAATATCTATTTCAAGTTTTCTTTTTGATGCTTGAATATCATTTCAAGATTTAAATCTATTTCAAACTCTCATATTGCATTTTAATTTGCCCAGACACGGTAATATCAGTAACTATTGTAAGGGAAGATCACTTTTATACATATGTTTTGTTTACAGAAACAGAACATTTTCTAACCTAATTGCAATTCAGGAACATAAACTTGTCAATAAGTTGTCAGTAATTAGATAAGGCTACTATGGCAAGACATGAATGTTTTTGTTTTATTTCATGTGTAAATGATTTTAAATGGATCAATTTAGCTCTTAAGTTCAGTTTGAAGAGATAAAATGATTTACCGGTATATATATGTTATCTTGTGTTCCAGCTGTAATGTAAAGTACTAGTATTATGTTTATTTAACTGTGTACATAATTTTTATGGGGTTTTCTTTCTTATTGTTGACACTTTCAACTGTATATTTGGGCTTGTATTCATTGGTAAAATTTTTTTACATCATTTAAATTGATTTTAATAGGAAATCTTGCTTTATTCTGTCTTACTTTTTATGTTGTATGAAATATAATGTTACATTACCAAAATGCAATGTGGATGGAGTGACTAACGCTATGATATCCACCTTACTTTTTTTCATAGAACACTTACTTTATTGTTATTTTTGAAAATGAATTTGATTTATTTGGGACCAGCATATTTATTTACTGTTCATACTTTCATAAATATTCAAGTAAGATATTTAAATATGTATTCTCTTGTTTATTTCATGCTTATCTCTGCAAAAGTGTACAAGGTGAGCTTTTAATAATGTTATCCCCATGTGGCTCACTGAGTCATGCATCCTTCAGCAATAATCCTGTATATTGTGAGGAATATCCTTGCAAAATACTTTTTGGTCAAAGTATAACATACTTTGCAGAAAGTTGGATGCCATGGCAAGATGACTGAAAATCTTTGGAAATCTCCAAAACAACAAGGCTTTCAAATTTGGCAAATGGTTTGTAGCATCAGTAGTCCTATGCAAGATTATAGGGTCAGTTATTGCCCTGCCTCTGAAGTCATTATTTACAGCATCATTTAGTGCCTTTCACAAAGTTCTTTCAAATCATGCTTTTTGAATCAAAACTGCTCTTACCCCATGAGTCAGTTATTTTCTCTATACCAACTACATGTTGTTTTTTTAAAATGACATTTTGATGGCTGCCAAAGCTGCATGACCATGAAAAGGCCATTGAACTTGTGGATATGTGATGCATAACATTGGATAAGTATTCCCTACTTACATATTTTTTTCCCTTTCATTTATGGCTTCCAAAGTCTAGTTTTGTTTTGTCATAAAAAATTGATAAAAAATTGATCTTGCATAACAACAATTTCATTACAACTCATTTACCTAGATTTCACATTTTACCACTAATTCACTTTTTTGTAAAAAATCAAAACTTAACTTGGGGTGACCTTGAACATGAAATTAAAAGAAATTATAATCTAATTTAGTAATACTTTTTCCATTGAGCTATTTAGAGCGATGATGGCACTTGTCTTCTTTATGCATTGACTACATGTATATATATACATTGAATTTTTAATGAATATATTAAAGGTAATAAAGAAATGATAAATATTTGAACTGCTAGATACAAAGGATCATTCATATATTTCTCTAAGTTTTGTAATGTTTCAAGTGCTTTTAAAAGTATCAATGAGTGACTTTACATAAATCTCTGTATTGTATTATATTTACCCTCTTGGTGAATATCACAATATATTGTACAACTGTTTTAACAAAAGAAAAATTATTTCAAATTCAATGGTTCAATACTGTAGGTTGCTTAATTAGAAACATTTTGAAATCAAACCCCTATAAACATAACAAAGCTGGACAGTTCCATTGTATATTTGAAGCATTGCGAGAGTTTAGGACACGACTGATGATATTGTCAAAATTCATGCCAAAATTCCTTAAAGAGTTGATGGACGCTCTTTAAACCAACATAAAGAACATTTTGTGCATACATTATACATACTAGCATTACATACAATATAGTCCAGAATTTTTACTGTTTGACCTTTGATTACGAAGTATGCTGTACTTAAATAATATAGTCTTTCCTCTATTTAAACTTCCTCAAAGATGTAGATTGTAGGCATGATAGAAATAATTTTAGAGGCTATTTATACAAAATATCTTATACTTCCTTGTTTAATCTATATGTTATATTATATACAAATGTAGCTTGTTACATAGTTTTTTATTTTGAAATTTGGGGACTAAAGGTAGTTAGGTAGCGGAATTTGACTGTATTGTCAACCCATATAATCAAAATAAGCTAAATAGACATACTTCTAGATTTGTACATCTGTGTCTGAATAGATTTTTTTAACTCATTGTAATTTATATTTTTATAGATTTATTGTTTGACTTTTTATGCCCCCGGGCATATAGTAATTGAACCGTCCGTCCGTCCGTACAAGGTTAACCTAGAACGGCAAGTTGGATTTTTCTTAAGTTTTACCTGTACCAATCGCTTCTAAGTTTACACACTTACTAATCAATACAAAGTACATGATCTGGGCAAGTTTCATAACTCTGGCTTTCATATTTACAAAGTTATTGCCCTTTTCAGCACTTAGAAAATGAATAATGGTTAACCTAAAACGGCAAGTTGGAAATATCTTAAGTTCTATCTATACTAATGGCTTTATAATTTCCACACTTACTTATCAATACAAAGTACATGATATTGCCAAGTTATATAACTGTGTCATCCATATTTCCCAGTTATTTCCCTTTTTTCACTTTGAAAATAGGGCCTTGTCTGGTTAACCTATTTCGGCAATTTGGATTTATCTTAAATTTCTCCTAATTGCTTAATTTCTTTAATGATATCTTTCATATTTAGTAGGTGGATACCTTTGATGGTCCTCTAATTTTTGTGTCGCCACTACGGCCTCTACGGAGTAGTGGCGACATATAGGGATCACTTCTCCGTCGTCTGTCTGTCCGTCTGTCTGTCTGTCTGTCCGTCCGTCACAAAACTTGTCCGGACTACTCCTCATAAACTACTGGTGCAATTTCATCCAAACTTTACAGAAATGATCAGTACCAAGTCTAGTTGTGCATATTGTCAGCATTTTCCGGTTCAATGATTTTTGTCAGAGTTATGGCCCTTTAATAATTTTTAATTTTAAAGTTTGTCCGGACTACTTCTCTTATACCACTAATGCAATTTCAATGAAACTTTACAGGATTGATCTGTAGCTCAAGTCCTTGCGCATATTGCACGGGTTTTCCGGTTGAATGATTTTTGGCCGAGTAATGGCCCTTTGATAAAAAGGTGTTTTTTTCTGTGTGTTGCCAGATACACAAAAGCTTGTCCGGACTACTCCTCATAAACTACTGGTGCAATTTCATCCAAACTTTACAGGAATGATCAGTACCAAGTCTAGTTGTGCATATTGTCAGCATTTTTCGGTTCAATGATTTTTGTCAGAGTTATGGCCCTTTAATAATTTTTATTTTTAAAGTTTGTCCGGACTACTTCTCTTATACCACTAATGCAATTTCAATGAAACTTTACAGGATTGATCTGTAGCTCAAGTCCTTGCACATATTGCACGGGTTTTCCAGTTGAATGATTTTTGGCCGAGTTATGGCCCTTTGATAAAAAGGTGTTTTTTTCTGTGTGTTGCAAGATACACAAAAGCTTGTCCGGACTACTCCTCATAAACTACTGGTGCAATTTTATCCAAACTTTACAGGAATGTTCAGTACCAAGTCTAGTTGTGCACTGTCCGTCTGTCTGTCTGTCTGTCACAAAATTTGTCTCAACATGAAATTGGCAATCATGAGGCGACACATGTGATCACTGATTGCTCTTGTTTGTGGAGTAAGCGGTCTCTAGGGTCAAGGTCACTGGTTTAAAAAATAAATATAAACATTTTTGCTCATACAGCCTTTATATTTTAGTTGTTGTCTTAGTTTAATACAAACATGCCAAGGGAGGTCCTTCTTCTTTAGGATTAGTAAGGGGTCATTTGGGTCAAGGTCAATGTTACCAATGCTAAGGTCACCAATGATAAAAATGGATTTTTACATTTTTACAGGTGTATTGACCTTATTCTATAGACAGATGTTATGTATAATTGATAAAAACATAAACTTTGATGGAGTTAGTGGTCAGTTGGGTCAAGGTCACCAGTGCTAAAAATAGATTTTACACATTTGCTCATACAGCCTTTATTAAGTGACAGATATATTTTATATTTGGTAGGAAGATAACTTGCATGGTATTCTTCCTTTTGATTGGGGTAGGGATCAGTTGGTCAAGGTCACTTGTGCTAAAAATAGATTTTTACACTTTAGCCCATACAGCCTTTATATATTGACAGATGTATTTCATATTTGGTAGGAAGATAACTTGCATGGTATTCTTCCTTTGGATGGAGTAAGGGGTCAGTTGGGTCAAGGTCACCAGTGCTCAAAATTGATTTTTACACTTTTGCCCATACAGCCTTTATTTATTGACAGATGTATTTCATATTTGGTAGGAAGATAACTTACATGGTATTCTTCTTTTGGATAGAGTTAGGGGTCAGTTTGGTCAAGGTCACCAGTGCTCAAAATTGATTTTTACACTTTTGCCCATACAGCCTTTATTTAATGACAGATGTAATATTTTTCAACTTCACAAGTCAGAGCAATGACTTGGCAACTTATATTTTTCACAATTACAAAATGCCATGACTTTGTCAAGCTATATAACTTGTGTTTACAATTTTTTGGCAATTTTTCTGTCCATAACTGAGTGAATGGGTAAACATTTTTTGAAATATTGCTACTGACAAGAATCTGAGCCGGGGGCATTTGTGTTTAACAAACACGTTCTTGTTTAATGTATGGATTTCATTGATATTATGATTAATATGTTAAGGTTTTTGTTTTGTTTGTTTTTTTTAACTTGCCATAGCATGTAGTGCACAAAGGTCAACTGTTCGTGTCGGTCAGTTTTCTGTCAATTGTGACGTTCACAATTCGAGTTGTTCACACTCTAGAAGTTACAGTTGTCATTTGATCTTTCCATAATGGTAGTAATTAATAATAGCTTGGACAAGTTCCAACTAGGTCCAGTCATAGGACAGACTATCTTGTTAACATATTAGAGAGGCAGTATTAATGCTTGCTTGCAACGACTGTTTTGTCAAGTTGCTATGTTGGTTATGTTAGGTAAAAAACAAACAAAAATTAGGTCACTACCTTATATTAAAGAAAAACACCTCAAAGGCCATGCGATGGTTTTCTGTCAAATTGTTGCTTCATAATAAGTAAACTACATCAATTAACCTTTTACCACATGAGCATATTGTGAAAAATGGCCGTTTTCAGTTACAAGTTCAAACTGCTATAAAACTATGAAAAATGCTTCAATACTGATGAAACTTGGCACAAATGTTGACTGAACCATAACCTCTGTATCTTAAATTTCCTGTTACCATGGCAATAATGGGGGGACGTCTCAAATTGCGAAAAATCACTATTTTGCATCAATTTTTTCCATCAAAACTGATTTCAAAGTGCTGCCACTTCTCAATGCATTGAGATAGAATAAAAGGCTTTTCAGCGTTGGTTACAGGTTGCCTTAGGATCGACCTGAGGCCATTTTTAGCCTGTCACATGTCCAAAATTTTCTTGGCGATGAGTGGGACTGCCGCCCCCCATAGACCCCCCAAACAGAAGGGCCATCCTTCTTTTCGCAACCCCCTGATGTATCATTTTGATGGGTGGCCTCGCTGAAAAAAGTGATCACTTTTTTTACAACATTTCTCAAACGAAAAACAGTGTTTTGGGCCTAAATAGGGCATTTTACATTGTTTGAGGCCTCAAAAAGGGGGAGGGGAGGGACAAAAAGCCGTCAAATCACGTCTTTATAAGGGAAAAGGTTAACACTTTAACAACATTAAAGAGACCATGTCGATTTTGATGTCTGCATGAAACTTTGCTTTTATGATTATCTATATGGGTCATCTTGTGTAAAAAATATAGGTTCACCAGGTTTAAAATGAAAATAGGGCATTTTACATTGTTTGAGGCCTCAAAAAGGGGGAGGGGAGGGACAAAAAGCCGTCAAATCACGTCTTTATGAGGGAAAAGGTTAACACTTTAACAACATTAAAGAGACCATGTCGATTTTGATGTCTGCATGAAACTTTGCTTTTATGATTATCTATATGGGTCATCTTGTGTAAAAAATATAGGTTCACCAGGTTTAAAATGAAAAAAAAAGTAATGAAAATCTCAGCTGATGAAACTTGCTCACTTGGGATCAAAACCTCTGTCACTGGCTTAAATTTTTTTTTAAACGAAACAAAAAAAAACCTATTTTGGTAACAGAGATGACAGCACTTCATGTTCTGAGAACAAGACAGCAAAAAAAATACAAGCAATGATAAGGCCATTAAGGCTCTATTGTTAGAATATGGAATTTATTTATTTATTTTTTTTGACATTCACATTTGATAAAGTTAAATGTATATAGTTTCCTATTAAACAAAATTTATTTATATATATTAATGTAAAATTTGTTACTAAAATCGTATCATATATCAAAGTATGGTTTTAGGCTTAAATGAAGATTTAATAAATTATTTGAAATTCAGATTTAGTTTATGTATGATTAAAATTGTGGTTAATAAATAAATGTATAGTTTTCATTTAAGTTAAGACGTTATTAATGTACAATATCTTGTTGTATTTTTTCAATGAAATTCAAATAGGACAAAATTTATGTTTTTTTTTAATAAAAGCTTTTTATCACATTTACTTACAATTTCACTGATCTCTCAAACTTATTTGTATTGATCTTTATTAACAAAACAAACTATCAAACAAATACAGTTATGACTTGTATTTTTTAAACCTTTGAAATTTATACTGACTTTATATGCGAAAGTTTATCAATCTGGCTGCTGAAACATTGTTAATATTGTCCGTTCATGTTTCATTTTATAAACGGCTTGGTTACCCCGAGAGGTGAATGGTGTTACTAGGAGAAGTGTAACTTAATTATTAAGAAGTAATATCACAACTTGCCATGTTTAGAGGGCCTGGAAGCATTGAAGTAAACATTTAACATTTTACAGGCAGTCAACTGAGCTAGATTTGTTCTATTTTTTTTTTGTCAAACCACTCATGTCACCTTGAATATTATATTATTTTCAAAACCTGCTGTCACTTATGTTAGTAAAGAAAGAACAAATTTATTGAAAGGATATAATGAATTATAATTGTAAACCTCAGTGTAAGACTTTTGTAGAGATATAGATAATTTTGAGATCAAAAAGTTTTGTATACATTAATGATAACATAACTGTAGGTTGGTAACATAACTGTAGATTTTTAATTTTTGATAAAAAAAAAGGTCTTTGTAGATTTTATAGCATAGAAGGTATATTGTTTATATATAATAAATTATTAATTTTTGAAATGTAAAAGTGTTTTACTTTAAAGATTTTTTTACAGTTTCAAACTAGACTTTTTACTTGTATAAACTAATTAAAGATATGTGTTCAAGCTGGTGATTTATCTCATGGTTTAACTGGAGCCCTTTGAAATTATACAAATGTTACCTTTTGAATGTTTAAAAAACTTTAAATTTTTAACATTCCAGTTTTATTTAAAGTGTATCTCTGCTGCCTGCAGTTTACCAAATTTGTGTTTTAATTTTGAAAATGTATTGTATGAAAGGAATGTGCTGGATTATTTCCTTAAAGGGGCAACATTCGCTGCCGCGGCAGCGAGTATTTGTGGGTGTGACTAATCAGTGATGTAAAACTGTCTGTTATAAACCATGAGCTAAAAATAGAATGCAGTGTTAACCTGCAGAGAGAATGTAAACAAAACAGCTGATTTTACACAGGAGAGGTTTAATGGATGTTTTATATAACTCACAGATTAATCAGATTAATTAAAAGACATTATCAAGCCATCTTGTCCAGATATTATTTTTGAAGTCAGTTGTTTTTCATCAAGTCAGACAACTATGTCCAAATCCAAAGGATGTGCCTTACATGGGACATTTCTTTTAAGAAAAACTGCTAAAAATGATCTTGACAGGAATTTAAAATATTTTTAAACTATTAATATATAAAAATTTTATACAAATGATAAACATTTGTGAAATGTAATTTTGACTACAAGATATTTACAACAAAATATAGTGTAAATGAAATATACCTGGAAGTTACTTTTACTGTTTTCATGAAGTTTAAACCATTTAAATACAAGTTGAATCAGTACTTTGAAATTAAAAAAAAATCATAGATTAATGGATTATTGTAAATTTGTTGGATATAAATACTTTTTGATAAAGTAAGATCAGTAAAAGTTATTGTTTTTTCTCATAATGTATTCAGCATTCGAATGTGTCGTCTGCTGAAAATCTCCCTCCCTGAAATATATATCGTCTGCTACAAATCTCTCTCACTGAAATAAACAGTGCCACGTGCATCTGTTTACTACTGAAGGTTCAGGACCTGTAATGATCAGTTGGCTCCTCCCATGGAAATTCAAATTTCAAATTTGACAGCCAGTATTTTTTTCCAGAAACACACTTAACAAAATTTTATTTTGAATAATTTTGGTCAATCTATATCAAGAATATCTATGCCTACATACATGCCAAGTGTTGTTTAAATGCATTTGGTAATTAATCTTAAATCTTTGAAAAAGGGTCCCTGAAGTGAAGCATGCATAAAATTAATAAGAAACCTGCCCTAGCGCCATCTGCTGGCTTTTATAGTCCAGTTGGGCCTTTAAGAACGAATGGGGCATGCTCAAAAATCATTGGTAAAGGGTTCAAATGCTACTTGAAATAGCAGGATAATATTTTGTTGGGGAACATTTTATTCTGTTTAATATATCAAGTTTCATAGGTGTTAAATGACAGTTACATTCTTTGTAAAAACTCTTTCGATAATCACTGCAAAATTATAGAAACAAAACGTAATTGTACCATTTTACAATTTTGTAGAAAAAAAAAATTCATTAGATATAGCTTTATAACCTTTAACATAGTATAAACATTACAAAGAAAATGTTTGAATACTGGCATAGATCAGGTATTTTTATGATCATCTTATTTTTGCTATATTCGCGGGCAGGCTTACACTTTCCCAAAAATAGAACATCAGATGGAATTTGTTCAAGATACTAGTATACAAGAAATTACAATGTTATGCTATAGTATTAGTTTTAGAGATATATTTTTGTTGTGTATGAAGACTTTTAAGGTAATTTTAGAGTCTATAGTTCCCAAACAATTATCACATAAATTGTTATGTATGTAAATATATAAAGCTGTTTGTTAATTATTATTATTTTAATACATGTATATTTTGTATTGAAAATTGTTATTCATATGTTATTTGTATATAATTATTATATATACTAAAAAAAAAAGTACCAAATTTGACCAGTATGTTCACAATTGTTTTTTTATATTGTTAATTTTTAGTAGATATATGTGTATATTTTTTACAGATTTATGTACATGTAGTCATACAAAATATTTTTGTATGCTTGTTTCATGTTATTATATAAGAGAACGAGTTGAAGAAATTCAGTAGAATATGTATACATGTAGCAGGATTATACTTGTTACTATTTATAAACACATTAACTCTTATTCCGTATAGATAACACTGTAGAAGTATTCTGACTGCAATAAACTTTAAAACATGCAACCTATTTTTGTCATACATTTGTATTTCTCTTCCTTTTCTTTTTAAAACACACTTGGCCAGCTGTACTAGTAATTCTGAAAGGCACATTTAAATATGTCTCAGAAATAAATATTTTTTGAAAGGGCAAACATGAATTTTATAATGTTTAAATAATGGTTTTAGAGAATGTTAGATGCTTGCTACCTGAAAAAAAGGCAACAGGTGAAAAAGATGGATCATGTAATTGGCAAATGAGTAAATTTTTGGAGTCATTAAAAGTACACCAACATAAAAAAGCTTTTGAGACATAAAAATAAAAGCATTTCTTATGCATAATGGGCCTTTAAGGAAGATCTCGGCCAGGACATCTGTCTCTCATCAGAGCAAGGTTTGAACTCGTGGCAGTACATGTATGTCAGTGGTTACATGATGTATAGAAAACAATTTTAATCACTGTCACAGATAGACTCATATATTTTCAATCAAATATTAATTAAATCTTATTTAAGTCCTGGTGGTCAGGTGTGTACTTGCAAACTTATCCCACAACTGTAGAGTTATAGGCCATACTGTGCATCTAACCTGGCCTCAAGGTTTTTCTGAGTTCTTTCTCAAATCTCATGATTTTTATTGGTCAGTGTGCATTATGTGGCAATTTCTGACCCTGACCAATCAAATGCCTGAGATCTGAGTTTGAGCTATGAGACTTTCTTTATAACCTCAGACCCTGGTTTAATACAGTTTGCAGCTCAATTATTCAATATTAAAATAATTTTAATTACTGATGAACTGTTCTAAACTCTAAGCAAAGCAAGTATTTTATACAAATTATGCCATTTCAAAGAACATATCTGATTTAATGTCAGTAGTAGATGGATAACTGTAAATGATACAAGTTGAAGGAGTGAAAATTTATGATAATTAAACCATCCTGTATGTTAACAACTTCACTATCTTTGTAAGCAGTTATAAGTAACTTGAAATAATTAAAATTAATTTCCTATTAGTCATGTAGTGGTTTGCTGGAACAGGCCCAATAATAAGAGTTTACATGGACAAGACTACAATGATGGTACGCTCCCTGTCGCAGCTTAGTGAATACACTCTGTTGCTTCACACGGTAAGGAAGTAAGCGACAGTGAAACATTGGACCGATGCGCAGGAGAGTAGAATAAGATTGATCAACTTGAAAATTGTTTCTTATTATCCTAAAATGCGCGACACTTTGTATTGAAACACACCCTGTGGGGGTACACAAGTTTATATTTGTGTCCAATAGTTTTAGTCATATTGTTTGGCAATATTTACCAGAGACTGATTAATTTGCGGCAGGCTTTTCAGTACTT